CCCAGCCCTGCGAGGTTGAGCAAGTTTCCTGACCTTGATGAACTTCAGTTTCATTAACTGTAAAGTGGGTTTGGTTCTCATCTACTTCGTTTAAGTTGTTGGAAGTATTAAATAAATATTTAGTGCTCAGCACAGTGTCTGACACATAGATACAGAGTAAATGGCAGTTTTAGTTTTCTATCTTTTTTCTTTCCCTATTTTTATTTTCTTTTATTTTCAAGAAAAACGATTTTAAATATAATAATCTTACATACAATAAACATTAATATTTCAAGAAAAACAATTTTTAAGTGTACAGTCTTATGCAGTCTCCACTTTCGCTCCTCAGGGGTCAGGGTTCTCTCCCGCGAGCTTTCCGTTGATCATTCAGAAAGTTTTCTATATTTTAGTTGTAATACCAGTTTGTTCCTGGTAGCATGCCCGTGCAGCATCCACTTACTCTAGCTGCCATATTTTTTTTAAATATATTTTATTGATTTTTTAGGTTCTGAGGATGTTTTGTAGCAATCATTTTTCCCCCCTAAATCAATATATTTACAGAGAGGAAGAGAGAGGGATAGAGAGCTAGAAACATCGGTGAGAGAGAAACATCAACCAGCTACCTCCTGCACACCACAACCAATGTACATGCCCTTGACTAGAATAGAACCTGGGACCCTTCAGTCCGCAGACCTACGCTCTATCCACTGAGCAAAACCGGTTTTGGCTGCCGCCATTTTTAATCTCATGTTCCTTTCCCTCCGTCGCAGTCTCCTCCTTGGCTCTGGCTCTGTTCTCTTCTCTTTGTGAGGGATATTTACAGAAGTCCCCTCTTTTCATCTGACTTCTCATTTTCCATTCTATTTTATTCCTAAAAGTACTGAAAACAATAAATAAGACTCAACTAAATGGTTGTCACTTATAGTAAAAAAAATTAAATATCCCCAATCCAGTTGTATCCCTCTCTTTCCTTCCCATTCTCCTGGACACATTAGTTATAGCAAAGAAAAATATCAGAATCATAACATTGGTGGGCTCCTACAGCACTGGCACCGGTAAAGGTCCTCTACTATTAGGTGATATTTATGGAGAGCTGCCTAGATAACAGTGTTGCTGTAGTGTTAAAATGAAAACATGCGTGTAGAGCCTTTAGTGTCCAGAGACTAATCAATGAAAATTCATTATCTTCTGAATCACAAGTATCATTTGCTATCACTATGTGTCAGGCACTGGTAGATATTTTATCGATATCTATACTCATTATCTCATTAACTCTGCACATTTGGATCCAGCACTGCTAGGGATTCAGGGAGATCCCAGATCGTCTGAGAGGTACAGCAGACTAAACTCCTGGAGAATGTAGAGTTGCTTCTCATCACCTTTGAGTCTCAGTTCCCAGCACAATGTTTCACCAGATCCTGGATGAAGGCAGAGCTGCATGTGTAAATGAATGCTAAGAGAGTGATAGACCATCCAATGTAGGTTCTGAGAATGTCTTGTAGCAATTGTTTTTCCCCCCTAAATAAAAAAGGATACTTTAAAGAAATGAAATGAAGAATTCTAAACCAATGTGTTTTTTTGTTTTGTTTTGTTTAAAAAAAAAAAAAAAAAAAAAAAAAAAAGCAGGCAAGGATTTATTGAAAAACTGGCCAGGACTGCCACAGGAGCACCACATGCAGGTGGGCCCCACAGGACTGCACTGATCCAGGTGTAGGCAATCCCTTTTAAAGCTTCAAACCACAGGAATTTCCCTTTCTAAATTCTAAAGGCTGGGAACATTGGAATGTGGCCCTATCTTGCCATAATACAAAAGCAGAACTCAGAGGTTAATCTTTAAAGGTTATCTATAGTTTCTACCCCTGAAGCTACTGAGTCGGTGGGAGTCAATCTCCTGTAACTACCCTATTGTTTAAGTCAGATAGCAAGGTTAAAATTCAAACAGCAGTTTTTACCAAAGTATGATTGCTACCATATTTCATTCCCCACGGGTTTTTATGTACTTGAGTCAAATCATTGACTCATCCTACTTCCTTGCTCTCCAGTCCCCTAGCACATCTAGCCTTACTTAGCCCCGGACTTTCTCTCTGGTCAGCAAAAATGTTCTTACAGTTACCAAGATCCCTAGTACCACAGTTCCCATCAGTACTGTCCTCACTGAAGTCCAATTCCCCTCCTGCAAGCATCAAGTCTCCTCCTGGCTTGTGTGGAGCCCAGGCTAGGAATCTCACGGTGAGGCTGCTGGTTGCCAGGATCCCGGGAGTTTTCTGTGCAGGAGCTGGGAGTGGTGTAGCCAGGCCTGGGTGACGTCTACTTCAACAGCCGTGGGCGTGCTCAGGGTAACAGTGTAGCATCCCTTTCAGGTTGGGGTGAGTCCTTGGGCAGTGAACTTCTTTACCCACACTGAGTCTCTGGGCTGGAAGGGGTGTACAGGGTCTGCTGTGGGCACTAGCAGTGCATCTGGAACAAGCTTATGGGTGGCTCTCTGGGTAAACTGCAGAGCCTGTAAGGACTTGAGCAAGGGAATGGTTATGAATTCTAGCTTTCAGTTTTTCCCTGACCCTGGGAAGGATGGAGGGAGGTCTACCACACATGATCTCAAAAAGGGGGGAAACTCGTCCCAGTAGAGGGTACACATGGCCCCTAAGAGTGAAAGGCAGGGGGTTGGTCCTATTTTCACCGGTTTTTAGGACAAATTTAATTAGAGTCCTGTTCATGCCTGTCCTAAGGCTTGAGCTATACTTTGAGATACTTTGGCTACGAAGGCTGGGCTGTTATCTGCTCCTATGACTACTGGCAGCCCGAATCTAGGTATAATCTCCTGGAGTAATTTCTTGACTACTATAGAGGCAGTTTCTGTCCTAGTGGGGTATGCTTCAACCTAATCTGAGAAAGTGTCTATAAAAATTAGCATGTACTTGTACCTTAATGCTGGTGGCTTAATCTCTGCGAAATCCACCTCCCAGTGCTCTCCTGGGAAATTTCTCTGGGGCCCGAATTCCTAGGGGGACCCTCTTTACCTTGCTTAGCATTTACCTGTGCACAGACAGTACTTCTAGTGACTATGCTTTTACCTTACCTAAGTTTCGTAGTATCTGCCTCACAGAAGTTCAGAAGTCTTGATGATGCCTAAGTGGGTAACCTGGTGTAACTGGGCAATTAACATCTGACCTAGAGCCTCTGGGACCAGCAGTCTGTCATCTGGTCCTTTGATGGCTTGCTTCTGTTCAGCCAATTCCTCCTCTTGTTTGGTGTAGGTCGGGGTCCGGCAGGGTTACTAAGACTTGTAAAGGCCCACTGGCTAAACCAATGTTTTTTATCTGCTGGTTGACATCCATTAATGGATGATTAGATCCAGTAGGTCACAAACCGAGATTTTTATTTACAAGTGGCACAGAACAGAATGGAATAGAAAAAAGTCTGTGTGTGTGCATATTAATGATAGTCTTTGATAAAAGTTGTTTTGTGGATTTTAATTGTAAAAAGTTTGAAGAAATCTGTTTTAACAGACGAATTACACACTATCTGCACCCTGTGATATTTTTATCTCATTGAGAGCTTTTTAAAAACCGGTCTTACGTTTTCCTTATTCATTGTGTTCTGGTTCTGAGGATAAGGATTGGTCCTGGGAGAGCACAGTGGTCCCAGAGCAGATATTTTTAGCCTCAGTGATCACCTGGGGTAAAGCCAGGCCGAGCGTGTACTGCTGTGAAGGGCACCAGAGTTTGTGGGACAAACGCTCCAAGAGCCTAGGTTTCTGCTCCAGTTTATTGAGGTGCTCTGAGGACAGTCATTGCTCTCTTACCAGAGATCGGTTGGAACAGTGGTCGGCAAGCTCATTAGTCAACAGACCCAAATATCCACAGTACAACGATTGAAATTTCTTTGGAGAGCCAAATTTTTTAAACTTAAACTTCTTCTAACGCCACTTCTTCACATCACACTCGCCCAGACTGTGGTATTTTGTGGAAGAGCCACACTTAAGGGGCCAAAGAGCTGCATGTGGCTCGCGAGCCACAGTTTGTCGATCACGGGGTTAGAACGAAGGACTTGGAATTTATTTGTAGGGAAATAATAAGTTTTAATGGATTGTTCTTTGTAAAGTGCTTTGATATCACGTCTTAAAGGCATTTCCATAACTTACTCTCCGTTCTAGGTCTATTTTCTGAAATAGAGATCCCATGATTATTAAAGTGGTGTTTTAAAATCCCACTCTCTGGGCACATGAACAGAAGTCTCTTACTTGATGCCTTGGTACTTCGTCAGACACCATCCAATGTATAACTAGGTCCTTGCTGCTCAGCCTGTGTCAGATAAGAGATACTTTTACCTAATGACATTGCTCTTCCTCCCAGAACACTGAGAAGCTAGTCTTCCCGAAGAAACTGGACTAGAAACTGAATTCTTGTTAAGTTGCTGTTTGAGTTTTGTGCCCAGATCTGCTGCAGATGGACCCAGGGTACACAAAATTTCCTGGCTGTGAGTTTGAGAATTGGTTGGATCATGTATGACGAGAGACATGGAAATGGACCGCAGTGCTGTAAGGGGAAAGAGTCACAGACTCTTGCACAATGTCCAGCACAGCAGAAAGCAGACAGATGGTTAGCTGCTGGGCGATGCAGTGCCGGTGTCCACGCCCTGGGTGCACAGACAGGCCTGACGTGGTGTTCAATTTATGGGCTTTAAGGGAGAGGCCGCCCTTTTAACACTTTGTTTTTTAATTGGATGGACTTATTGGTGCTGAGGTAGGACAGATAATAGCTCTGAGTCTTAATCTTTTAAAAGCTGGCTTGCCTTTGCTCCCCCCAATACTCAAATTATATTGTTTGCCCCTGTCCTGTAGTCTGAAAGATTAGAAAAGGAGTCCTCAATTATAGCTTTAGGAATCAACCTGACTAGTACCTACAAGAATAAAGCCGGAGAACAGGCACCTTCTCCCCCGATTTCTGTGTGTGTGTTTTCTACCTCCTCTATAACGTTGTCACTTAGAAATAACATTGTTCTCTTTCCTTCATTCCTTGCAGACTCGCTCTTTACTGAGTGTATTTGAAGAAGATGCTGGCACCCTCACGGATTATACCAACCAGCTGCTCCAGGCCATGCAGCGCGTCTACGGAGCCCAGGTATCCTGCTGCCCCTCACCCGAGAGACCGAGTGGGGGCCTTCTGCCCTCATCTGCAGCTTCTCTCAGGAGGTTGAGAAATTTGGAGTAAAACACCATTTACTTTTTTGAAATAAAATCAGAATTGTTTTTCTCACTTCTGTCCACCTTCAAACACTGAGGACAATCTATTTTTATTGCTGGAGGGGAAAAAAAGAGGGTGATTTCTCTGTAATTAGTAGAAAAAGGACCACATCACTCTTTTAATTAAAAAAAAAAAATACATTTCATTGATATTTTACAGAGAAGAAGGGAGAGGGATAGTTAGAAACATTGATGAGAGAATAACATCAATCAGTTGCCTCCTGCACACCTCCCCCTGGGGATGTGCCCACAACAAAGGTACATGCTCTTAACTGGAATCGAACCTGGGACCTTTCAGCTCTCAGGTTGATGCTCTATCCACTGAGCCAAACGGGTTAGGGCACTCTCTTAATTTTTTAAAAAATTCAACCCCAATGGGAAACATGAGTCTCCTCTGCCTTTTTGTGAATGAGTGGGCTTAGTGTTATGAAACATGCCCTTTGTCTGATCATAAATGGGCAGTCTTAGATGTCAGTGCGGGCGAGTAGAGATGTTTTTTCAAGCGCTTCCTCTGAAAAGATTTGAGTCACAGTTCTGAAACTATTGGTGGCTTTTTTGTTTTGAGGAACAGCTATCTCTGGCTTGCAAAACCATGGAAAATAAATTGCTGAGTAGCAAAAGCGGAACTTTTTAAGATCAAGAAGTGCCCATGTATGTTACTTTTCAAGAGAAGACTTGAGAGTTACTTAAAAATAAAATTCATTATGTTACACATCAAAATGTTATGCCAACTGATGCTTTTGATTATTGATTTTTTTTTGTTGCAGATTTAAAGCTGTACATGTTAATGTTTCTTTTCCTCAATGATGCTCTCTAAAGAAATACCACATTCAGTACATAATTACAATATATATTAATACTCATGTATAGTCATTATTATACTAGAGGCCTGGTGCACGAATTTGTGCATTAGTGGGGTCTAGCCAGCCTATCCCGATGGGGGCCAATCGGGGCCATGGTAGGGTTTGGGGGGACCTATTGGGGCCCTGATCAGACCAGTTGGCCACTGCAGTGCTCATCATAGCTATCGGTCATTCTGTCATTCCAGTCACTTGGCCTTTATATATAGAGAGAGATAGCTCTTAATATTCTATATAATCATTTATTGTTATCATCATTGTTTTATTAATCATTTATTTATGTCATATGTGGACTCACTTCTTGCCATTAGGAGCTTACAATTGGGCTGGGAAATAGAGCAATTACCTCAGAGTGTTAGTGCTAGGAGAGAAGGGAATCCAGAGGAATTGTGTTGGGCCCCTAAAAGGAGGATTGTGAGAATTGAGGTTTATTGAGTACTTGATCATTTCATTTAAATTCCCCAACTCTATGAGGTGGGTATTATTCTTATCCTCATTTTATATAGGTCAAGAGGCTTACGGATTCTGGTGATGAGTAACTTGTCCAAGTCCATCCCATTAATACATGGCAGAGCAAGTCAGCCTGAAGTCAGAGCCCAAACCCTTAATACTAAGCATGGGTATGCTAGCCTGAACTAGAAATGGAAAGAAGTGGATGAATTTCAGAGGCATTTAGTACGAAGATCAGAGATTGATTGGATGTGAAGAGGTTGGGTGGATAAAGGATGAATCAAGAGTAATGCTTGGGTTTTGAATTGAACATCAGTGTGGATAGTTGGGAAAACACAGGAAGAAGAGTGTGTGTGTGTGTGTGTGTGTGTGTGTGTGTGTGAGAGAGAGAGAGAGAGAGAAACAGACAGACAGACAGACAGACAGAGACAGAGATGGCTGATATGTCAGTCATCCAGAAGTCAGGCCAGAGATAGAAATTTGCAAGCTAAAATTATTATGCAACTATAGCTTACTAATTGGTACTAATTCTTATGACTAACGAATTGTAATGTTGCATGTTTCTTTGGTATGACATGCAGAAACTGGGCACATATTTTGTCAGTTTTCTTAAGCTCTATTATGTTGTATACATATTTTTTCCTAATTATTCAGAATTGAAGAAAATAGGAAAAAAAATTTACTGGGCTATATCTGTGCTGGTTTGCTGTTCAGCAATGTAAACATTGTGGTGAAATGATTTTTCTGTAAGGTATAAGAACACCAGGCTTAAGGGACTGTTGTGTCTCTGCCACTCCCAGGAGTCTCTGCTCTGCCTTTGCATATCTGTCAGAGTCATTTGCTGGGAGATGTTCAAGCACTCTCTTACGCGTTTTGTCTTTTGAGCCAGAAAACGACGTTTTGCCAAAGTTAAGTAGGTTTTGCTTTCCAGAAGGCTGTAACTGGCTTTTCGTTCACACCACATGACCATCACATGGGCTCTCCTCCCAGCCAGAAACCCTTCCTCCTGCCTCGGCATTTCCTGCAGCAGAGACCGGCGGGAACAGCTGGTTAGCGCTTCCAGAATCAGCAACAGCGCTGAGCCTTCCCAGCAGCTGGGTCAGGGTCGTTGGTTTCTCAGATTTAAAGACTTAGGTGTTTTGTTTTGTTTTTAATTTTAAAAGAGAAAACTTTCCTGACTCCTCTTCGATGTGTTTATTTATATATGTGTAGTATTATTTCTCAATGTTTTCACTCAACTTTTTTGACTAAGTTATGTTTTTATGGTTTATTTAACATTGTTCCTTAAATATTTGACACCCAAATCTGTTGAGTTAGATTGATATAGTTTTATTTTTTTTTAAAACAGTGGTACTTAACAAGATGTAGTTTTTCATTATATTTTAAAAACCAGGTTTATGCTTCTGACAAATGTTTATAAAAAGATATTTTAAATCGGTCCACGTAGTAGATTGCTGTATTCTGATATAGCAAATGCCCTTCGTACCTGTTTTAGGAAGAGGAAGGGCAGGGCAAGCTAGAGGAAAGTTATGTGAACGGGTTTGCTGATTGGGGCTGGTTTGGGGAGATTTTAAGTTTTATTTGGCTTAAGTGCCAGAATGAAGTGACAGTGTCAGCTGTCTTCAGCCTCTTATAGCAGTCCTGGAGTCGCATCTGATCTTTTCACTGTCAGATGTGCCTTTGCACATGTGGGAATGGAGTACTCCATTATAGGTTTTTCGAGCTGTATGCATTTCTCAGGTGTTAACAAAGCAGAGACAGGTTACTTAGAAAGATCTGCTATGTTTCCAGCTATTGGCTAAAGAGGTGAGAAACCTCTGCGGTGTCTGAATAGATGCATAGTCTCACCTGGGCTATTGTAGCGTTCTCCTAGATGGTCTTCCTGTCTTCAGGGAGGTGTCCCCTTCAATCTCTCCACCACCCTACAGCTCCGTTTGTCGCATGCAAACCTCCCTTCCCTCCCTGGCTTCAGACGCTTCTGTGGCTCCCTGGGACGGCGCAGCAGAGGTTAATGAACTGAGCATCAGCCTCACCTTTGGCTCTCCTTTGCTATGAACTGAGCATCAGCCTCTCCTTTGGCTCTCCTTCCGGCTGCCAGGCATCCCTCCCTTCCCCTCCCTGCTTTTAAGACTGACCTTAGCCGAAACTGGTTTGGCTCAGTGGATAGAGCGTCGGCCTGCGGACTGAAAGGTCCCGGGTTCGATTCCGGTCAAGGGCATGTACCTTGGTTGCGGGCACATCCCCAGTAGGGGGTGTGCAAGAGGCAGCTGATCAATGATTCTCTCTCATCGATGTTTCTAGCTCTCTATCTCGATCTCTCTTCCTCTCTCTAAAAAATCAATAAAATAAAAAATAAAAAAAATAAAAAAGACTGACCTCAAGTCCCAGATGTGCCTGACACCTTCCTTTCTAACTTTCCCCCTTTTTGGCCAGAATGCCCTGTGTGCCCAGCTGTCTGTTTACTTGTTGGTCAGGCCACTTAAATACAGCACGTGGGGTTTCCTTGTCCTTCTGTGGACTGTGAGCTCCCAGGGAGCAGATTCTCTCTGTCTCCTATGCCCAGCACCATGCCCCGCCCCCCTGAATGACACACAGGTGTTGAATGAAGGGCTGAATTCAGAAAGTCCCCTCCTGGGGTCCTTAGCTAAGGGCGCTGTCATCCATCCATCATCCAGACTAGAGCCCAGTATTCTTTGACTCCCACCTCGTTCCGCACTTAGAGCTGCTGTTTTTGCCCCTTGGCTGTGGGCAGCATTTCTGGCCACATAGTTGGAATACATAGTCAGAGCAGATGCCTCCATGTGGCTGAGGCTAGTGGGTTTCCTCTGCCCCTTTCCCGTCCTCTCCATCACACTCCGCATGGAGGGCGTGTCCGCAGTGGCTTTGGGCTCTCATGTGGCATTTGCATTGAGAAGCGCTCTGCCCCTGTCAGGTAAACACTCCTTTGCCAAAAGCTCGGTTTTCCTTTCGGGTTTGCTAATCGCTGGTCTTCCTGCCGTGGCGACAGCCTTAGGAGGTTCTGTTTAACGTAGGAGATCCATCAGTAAACCCTCCAGCGGGTCACCTTTTTAAAGCATTCCTAGGAAGCATCAAGTAGCAGAGGTGGTAAGCAGCTGGCTGTTCAGAGCATCGAAAGAATCTTCCTCTCAGAAACCCATTAAGATTGAAGAGGCCACCTTTTCCGGACGACAGCTAGAACAGTGTGGGGTCTGTGTTCCTGTCACAGGCCCTGCGGGGCCTGCCCGATAGATACTAACTAGCTATCGCATGGCGTTTGGGTTAGGATAGCATGGTGGTAAGAACTTGGGCTCTGGGTTTTGAGTCTGTCAGGTCTGACGTAAGTCTTTGCCAGTTACAAGTTGTGTGATTTTAGAAAGCTGTCCTTTCTGGTAGACACTGTCTACCTTGTAGATGCATTCTAAGAATTAAATGTGATCATATATGAAAAACGTTTAACAGCAAGGCCACGTGCTAGGAAGAACTCAGTGACTGTTGGCAGCTCTCTTTATTATCATGATAACCAATATTTACTCTTTACTCAAGCTCGTTTTGCAAGTCTTGCTGCAGAGATAATTGTGCGGGCTTACCTGACAGGGCGTGGATTCATTAGCTGATGATGGTAAACATTTCATAAACCTTTGTCTACAGAACAGTAAGGTGAGTCAGGTGCCAGCTGGTCTTGTAAGGCGTACTGTGCAGACGAAGATTGTTACTTTTCAGGATGCATTTATGACGGACCACTTTGTGCTTCTGGCTTGTTCCCAGGGAAGTTGTGCTGGGAGAACAGAGTCTTGCTGCCTGAAGTCACACACCTGAAAATACACAGCTTTTCATATGGGGTTTCTGGGGGACACGTGGCAGAGGCCCCTGGACTCGGTGGTGTGGGAGAGCAGCTGCTGCCAGTGTGCCCCGCGTCCCTGCGCTGCGGCTGGTTGTGTGAGCAGCACACGTGCTCTCCTGCGGCCGGGCGCAGTCTGGTGCTGGCAGCTGCCTGGCCAGTTTTTCCAACACGTTTGCAGCACTTACAGAAAGCTCTGAAGAAGAGGAGAAGTCAAACAGCCTGTGGCCCGTGCTTGTTTTGAAGGCAGGGAGGGTGGCAGCATTTCTGTTGGTCAGTCTCTAGAGGATACAGATTTGAGGGAGTAATATTTAGACTTATTTAGACTTAATATTTAGACTTTTTTAGTAATACTAGACTTATCAAAAAAAAATAAAAAAGAATGAGTTAGAAGAATAGAGAATGATTCTTGAATCTGAGATGTTGTAGCTCAAAGGAGAGCCTCCTTAGGTAGCAATGGCAGAGAGGTGGGCCTCCTGAGACATTGTCCAAAACAGGATCGGCAATACCCTGTCCTATTTATTATTATTATTTTTTTTTTTTTTGGTAAGTAGAGTGTTTTTGTAATGAAGTTAAACTCATTTATGTGTTGTCTTGGCTGCTTTCATGCTAAACAGTAGAATTGAGCAGTTGTGACAGCGACCATATATCTCACAAGCCAAAAAGAATTACTCTCTGTCCCTTTAGTGGAAGAGCTGGTCAACTTGAGTATAAAGCAGAGATCTTCTCTCCTGTCTCTTAGCAGGGCTTGGGATCTCAGAGAGTACTGTTCAAGCATCACCTAGACTTGGATTCACATCCCAGCCCAGCTACTGACTGGCTGTGTGACCTTGGACAAGTGGCTTAACCTCTCTGTGCCTGTTTCTTCATCTATAAAACTGAGTTAATAATTAGAACCTGCCTGTTGAGCTGAGGCCTGGAATGCGCTCAGGGTGGCATCCGGCATGAATTAATTGCCCTGTAAATGTTAGCTGCTGCTGTTAGGGCGATTCTGTGGGTCTAAGAAGTGTAGTCTGTATGGTGCTGCCCCAGGCAGATGCCAAGGTAGCTTGAACAAATCCATTTCAAACCGATTGCTTCTAACTCAGAGAAGTAAGATTTAGCCAAGTGGCTGAGCTAAGTCCCTTGTTCCCATGCACTCTTATCTTCAAAACAACACTGCTGAAGATGGGCTGCCTTCTGGCTGTTGCTTCATCCTTGTCCAGTCATGTGTGACGTTTCCTTGTAGGATTAGGAAGTATTTTTCTCCCTGACACCATGATTTTCTGGTATTGTTTTAAACTTACAATTCAGACGAATCTTCTAAACTTGTTTATTCATTCACCAAACACTTGCTGAGTGCCTGCTGTGTGCACATCCCTGTCTGGCTGCTGACACAGTGCTTGTGGACTGGTCACTTGCCTTCCTCCTGCTGCTAGCTCTGGCTGGTTTTGAAAGGGGTAGCAACCCAGTATGATGCCAAAGCCAGGAACTTTCATTATATTTGCTTGGCTTTATTTTGGGGGGGAAGGGGAAAGGGTCACATTTCAGAGTCCATTAATGCCTGTTCCTTGGAGAAGCTGAAGGAAGTCAGGGAAGGGGTTAGCCAGTCGGCTGCAAATGGTGGTCCAAAAAAGGAATATCAGGCTCTGCTGGGTCTTACAAAGGAAGACATGAAAAATGGAAAAGTCTCTGCAGAACCGAGGCCTTACCCCTCATGGAACAGCCAGCTCAGGAGAACCAGCGCCAAGGCAGGCCAGCCACACCTCTCCCTCCTCCATCTGCTCCAGGTTGGACCTGCTGGTTCTGCCCTTCTGTTAGGAATAAGCCGGGAATCTAAAGAGAAGCTTTAACTGAGCCTGGGAAACATAAGACACGCTTTCTAGGCTGGATGCATTAGTGATGGGATAGTTATAGAAAACTGCTGTGCAGCCAGAGATTAGAGGAATGAGTAAGAGAAGAGGGAAATGGACAGAGAAAACTGGCACAGAATGGGCCGCCCCGGGCTTTGCAGCTGTGCTTCTGTGTACCCCTCCATCATTACAGACCCAGCGCTCTGTTCGGTAGGATCGGGCCATGTCCTGGTGGCTGCTGAACTCCCCTCTGCACAGAATGAAGTCTAAATCTGGGCCCCCGCGTCCTGCCTGCCCAGGCTCTGCCTGCCCTGCCAGCCTTGTCCCGCCTCCACGCCTGCACCCCTTGCTCCTCTCCTCTCCCCTTATAGCTCTTCCAACAGGATGTGCGCTTTTCCACAGGAGAGTCCGTCCTGGAAAGCTGTCCCCATGGCTCCCTCCCAGTCTTTGTTCAGGGTCTGCTTAAAACATCTCTTCCTTACAGACCCTCCGGGTCTTCCTGTCAGACCCCTAATGCATCCAGTATTCCCTTTGTGGTTCTCATGCTTCTAACTCTTTTTTTGATGTCTGCTTTCCCAGTAAGCCCTGTCGGAGCACAGGGACCATGTCCTTGTTGACCCTGCTATCATTGTTCCTTACATTTGTTTATTGACTCAGTAACTAGGAGCAGTAATTTGTAAATGGTTGGGGGTGGGGCACAAGCTTTAACCTTTTATTTTACAAATAATTTCTGGCAAAATAATTATTTTACACACATATTTTAAAGGAATTCTCCGAAGTACCATTTTTCAGTGACTGCACACACATTGGACAAGTCTTACTTGCTTTTCTCTTCTCCACAGAATGAAATGTGCTTGGCCACTCAACAGCTTTCTAAGCAGCTGCTGGCATATGAGAAACAGGTACCTTGACACTTATATGGCATGTGGTGCTGTGCTCAGGACTCTCTTAACTGCAGCTCTTTAGAAAAAATTCTCCAATTTCTTCCTCCTGCTCCCTTTCCCTCTCTTGATTTCCATAATCCGTTTCCATTTTTTCTTGCCTTTTCCTTTCCCCTGATAAGTTGTCACTGGTGATTATCTTAGAGTCTGTATGATGCCTTCTCAGAGGCCTACTGGCGTCATCAGCTGCCCTTGAGGGAGGGCTCATGGTACCTGAGGGACTACAGGTGAATTGACACTAACAATTCCAGGAAATAAATGCACAGATACCATTTATTCTGTGTTACCGTCCATCATTGCAGACCGAGGGTGATGGCCAATGAAGAAACCGTTTGGGAGGGGCAGTTGTGTGCTAGACGCTCTGGCCTGGCCTGCTCTTGGGAGAAGAAAGGAAGTTGGTGTGGGGGTGTGTTGGTGGGGTGATGCTGTGGTGCTGAATTCCCAAGCATTCTGTAACCCCTGGCTCTCTCATTCTTCGGTCTTAGAATTTTGCTCTTGGCAAAGGTGATGAAGAAGTAATTTCTACACTTCACTACTTTTCCAAAGTGGTGGATGAGGTAAGTTAGCAACATGGCAAAAAAAAAAAAAAATTATTTATTCATTTTTGAATTTTCTTTCAGCTTTTACTTTGGTCCACTTTCCATCTTTAGATATCTACATAAATATCTGAGATGTTCTCTCAACTTGTTGATATTCCAAGGTTTGTTTCATAAAAGTGATTGTATACTACTATCCTGTTTCCAGTTTGAGGGGAAGGGTTTTGATATACATAAGCAATAGGTCAAAAGAAAGATTTCCAAGAATTTAGTTTCCTAAGGCGGGTACACTAGCCTCTCAGGAGTGCTGTAATAAATTACAAGTAGGCGGCTTAAAACAAAAGGAATTTATTTTCTCACAGTTGTGGAAGCCAGAGTGTGAAATCAAGGTGTTGGAGGGCCATGCTCCCTCCGAAGGCTCCAGGGGAGGATCTGTCCTTCCTCTTCTGGCTTCCGGTGGGTCCAGGTGTTCCTTGGCTTGTGGCAGCATCACTCCCCTCACCCTGCCTCCACATGGCCTTCCCAGACTCCACCTCACCCCATGGTGTTTTCTCTTTCCTGTGTTCTCTCTCCTCACAAGGACACTTGTCATTGGATTTAGGGCCCACCTGGATAACCCAGGATGATCTCATCTCAGGACCCTTTGTTGCATCTGCAAAGACCATTTTCTCAAATAGTCACATGTCGGGGTGGACATTTCTTTTGGGAGAGCACAATTCCACTCACTGCAAAGGGTTTCGTACAACTGTCCTGGTATCTGTATTGTATAATCCTCTCGGAAGGTTTGTGGTAACAGGTATTATTGTAGGAAAAGTGCATAAATCCTAATTGTGGTGAAAACAAACAAACAAACAAACAAAAAACCGCTCAGATGCTACTAGTGCTGGGCAGAATCCTCTGCAAAATTAGGTAAATTTAAACTGTTTCATCTTTCAAAGAGTTTGCAAACTTGTCTTAGAAAGTCGTCATAAAGAATAAGAAGGAAAAAAAAAGAACATGGAGATGGCACTGAACTGTTGAATCATTAATACGAAGTAGCACTATGTACAAAAAGTGCTCCAAATGGTGGTGCTGATGGGGTTCATTTTTATTTCTCCTTGACCACTGACAGCGACGGGCTTTAGCAAGGCCTTGAGATAGGAGGGGAGAAAGAATCGGGAGCTGTTAGAACTCTCTGGTGTGGAGGATCCCATGTGGATACAGTCGTCTCAATCTCAGAAAGGCTCTTTTCTAAAGAGCAGAGGCCTGGAGTCTGCTGAGCTGTTTCAGGAGGGAGCTCTCTTTGCCGGAGCATTCCCAGGCCCAGGCCCGCAGCTGGCTGTGATGTCAGGATTAGGAGGCTCCCAGCAGGCCTGCCTTTCAAGTGTGACAGCCCTCTTCGAGGGAGAGCTCACAGTGGCCTGGCGAGAGAGGAGAGAGGTGGTGACTTGTGCTGAGCACTCCACCCAGTGAGCTGTGCTCACTGCAAGCACATCAAAATTCCAGCTCCCTGAGGGGTGGCTTAGCCTGAGAACACCGAAGCAGAGTCTGCTCTGTAAGCAAACTCTCTATGGCTCAGACTCCTGTAGCAAACTTTACCGGTCAGTTAGAACCTCACCTTAGTGTTTAATACCTCTAGGCCAGTGGTCGGCAAACTCATTAGTCAACAGAGCCAAATATCAGCAGTACAACGATTGAAATTTCTTTTGAGAGCCAAGTTTTTTAAACTTAAGCTTCTTCTAATGCCACTTCTTCAAAATAGACTTGCCCAGGCCCGGGGTATTTTGTGGAAGAGCCACACTCAAGGGGCCAAAGAGCCGCATGTGCCTGGCAAGCCACAGTTTGCCAACCGCTGCTCTAGGCCAACATCATTTACTGCTTTAAGAGGGTATGTATTTGCCAAAGAAGTGTAACTGAGCTCTCTAACCATTCAGAAGTGTTCGTCGCGATTTCTTGGTGAAATAAGACAGTTTCAGTAAAATAGTGGATATCATTTTCTTCAATAGATTTCTCTTTCTTTTAGCTTAATGGTCTCCATACGGAGCTGGCTAAACAGTTGGCAGACACAATGGTTCTACCTATTGTACAATTTCGGGAAAAGGATCTCACAGGTAAAGTAACTGAATTCAGTGCCCGTTACCTTTAAAATGTTAGTCCATTTATTATAACAATAATTCATACTGCATTCATTTCTTTAAATGCGTGGATTACTGAGAAACGCCCTATCTTGTTGAGTATTTCAATTTAACTAATTAGCATTGAATCCCCGCTGTGTTCTTGGCTCAGCTAAAGGAGGTCACAGGCTAATAAGACAGACTTGGAGTCGGACAATGGTAACATCATGTGATGAGGGCAGCAGGACAGAGATGTTCAAGGAATAGCAAGAGGAACAGAAAGACGTCATTGCTTTTTGGTGCCAGGGTGCCAGGGAAGGCTTCCTGGAGAAGGTGATCTCCTAGCTGGGCTTTCAGAGGTGAATCGTGTGTACCGAGGATAAACACAGAGATAGCAAGGCTTGTATCGTCGCCCGGAGCATTTGCAAAGGCACACTGTTCTCAGGGTGTAAGGTGGGGGGAGGCTTGGATATCATTTTTAACCATTTGTACGCCACAAGCATCTATAGACACAAGCAGTGGACCTTTTTAAATTAAATTCAAAATATCATGGCAGTTAACTGGTTAAAAGAAATGTTCTGGAAAGAAAGTAATCATCCCCTAAGGACCAGGGTTGTCTTTTGGCTTCTTTTTTGGGAGGCAAACCTGGAATTGAGAGTGTCTGCCCACAGCTTTGGTGACAGTGGCCTCATGACTCCAGGAGAGCTAAACGTGGATTAGGAGTGTTTACCCAGGATGGTGATTTTAAAAAAAAAAATTTTTTTGCCGAAATCGGTTTGGCTAAGTGGATAGAGCGTCGGCCTGTGGACTTAAAGGTCCCGGGTTCGATTCTGGTCAAGGGCATGTACCTTGGTTGCGGGCACATCCCCAGTAGGGGGTGTGCAAAAGGCAGCTGATCAATGATTTTTCTCTCATTGATGTTTCTAACTATCTCTCTTCCTCTCTGTAAAAAATCAATAAAATATAAATAAATAAATAAATAAATAAATAAATAAATAAATAAATAAATATTTTTTTAAGGAGAGTATCAATGAAAAAAAGTTAAAGTATCCTTTTCTGATGATACCAGGACAAATTTGAAGTGTTGGTGCAGGTCACACTTGAGTTAGCATTGGAACCAATTTAGAATCTGGCACCCCCTTACTTTCTCTGCCCCCTCCCACCCCCCTACCACTCCCCACTCCCCCCCCCCTTCATCCCCACCCCAGATGGTGGTGTTTTCATTTTGCTGCCTTACTTGTTTGCTTACCAATACAAGTATGGAATCTGGATGAGGGCAGCACAAGAAATGTTAAGAAAGCTATTTAAATTGTTAAGGAAAAACATCACAGCTCTGCTCCAAAAGGAAGAAAAAAGGAGAAAGAAGGGAAATGCAGGAAGAGAAAGTACCCTGATATCAGGAGAGTAAGAAATAATATGAAGAGAAGTTAAAAAGCTGGAGGCAGTTTTGAATTGAAAAGCAATCTAGATGATGTGAAAATGCTTGGCTTTGACAAAGTAGAAATGGAGAGTGTTAAAACTGAAAAGGATCACTTTTTTTTAGGTGTCTGTGTTTTTTCTTTTAGGTATTGAGTTTTTAAGTGTTTCACCTTGGACTCCCATTGCCCTCATTGATATTTTGGGGGGTTTGTCTTGGACTTTGTTTAGCGTCTTTGTATGCAAAGGGGGTAGTGCCCACGTAGAGTAATAGTTGTTAGTGTTGGCTTGCTGAAAGTCCAGTACACGGGATTGCTTCAGATCTTTTTCATGAAAACAAGCACCCATGTTCTTTCATCAGGTTTTAAATGGCAGTGACGGCAATCTCCAGGGTTTGGGATAGTCAGGGCATTGTGAGGAGAGAGGTCTGAGAACACGTGGGGCTGAAGAGGCGGAGCTTACACACTCCAGGTCTCTGATAGTCCCTGCCACCATGCCCTCCACCTGGTCTCCGAGGTCCCTCTCCTTCATAGACCCTCAAAGGCTGCCTGGAGGGAACTGCTCCCTGCCCCGTGGGCAGTCAGGGTCCCTGGGTGTGGGGTGCAGCTGAAGCCACAGGCTCCAGTGAGACCGGAAGTCCCAGCCGGGCCAGGGCCCCGTGAGGGCCGAGGGCCTGAGGTGCTGGCAGCGCCTTCCCGTCCGCGTAAACACCTTTCTTTCCTGGGCGAGCACGCAGCCCTGGACCGGCTTGTATTGTCTGTCTCGGCTCTAAGACGTCTCTTCTCTCTTGTGCAGAAGTCAGCACTTTAAAGGACCTCTTCGGACTCGCCAGCACTGGTAGGCGCCCTCTCCATTCCTGTGTGTGGGTTTAGCGAGTCTGTGGGCAGAGATGCTGAATGAATGTTCTTGCCTTTCAACCCGTCTGGGTGCTAACGTGTCTCTTTACTCTTAGAGCATGACCTCTCCATGGCAAAATATAGCAGGCTTCCTAAGAAAAAGGAGAATGAAAAGGTAAGAACGCCCACCGTTCATGTTTTCACCTCTTTTGCGTAGCTCCTTTTGTGTCTTCCCACTGTGAGTTTGTGGCATTGAGGGTGTCTTGGTGAATTTCTTCTCTTTCCCCATACATAGATTTTTAATTTTTTTTAAACATATTTTATTGATTTTTTTTACAGAGAGGAAGAGAGAGGGATTGAGAGTTAGAAACATCGATGAGAGAGAGAGACATCGATCAGCTGCCTCCTGCATACTCCCTACTGGGGATGTGCCCGCAACCAAGGCACGTGCCCTTGACAGGAATCGAACCTGGGACCTTTCAGTCCACATGCCGATGCTCTATCCACTGAGCCAAACTGGTTTCGGCTAGATTTTTAAATTTTTTATTCTAAATCTCCTAAAGTAGATTTTTCACTTCCCAGTTCTAGCTTTGAAATTAGTTTTCATACACCAACTTGGGACCATCGTAAAATTAGTCAGACTATGATTTTAACGTAAGCTGGGCACCTCACATGATTGACTCATAGACACTCAGGCACTTGCTGGCTCTGATTCTTTAACTCACTCCTGTAGGTAATACAGGATGTTTTCAGGCACCTGAAATGAAACGTACCTTTCCTTTCTGTCACATGATTTCCTTAGAGGATCTCACAGGTGGCCAGAACATGTGTGGCCTTCAGCGCACTGGCCATGTTGTTTTCCTAATGGGTGTGGTGCTGGGAGTGCTACCAGGAGAGGAACTGGCTCCACCCAGGGCAGCCTCACAGCACGGACATGCTGTCACCCTGGATATTTGAAAACATGAGGTGGAACCTTATCTGTGTTTCATTCTTTTGGTTACAAAAATGGTTCTCATGTAGAAATGAGCCTGGTTTGGAGTTGCGTGCTCCTACGGAATTGCCACGTCCGTTAGCCAAAGTGACGTTCTCCTTTCACCTCAACAGGTGAAGACGGAGGTGGTGAAGGAGGTGGCAGCTGCCCGGCGGAAACAGCACCTCTCGTCCCTTCAGTACTACTGCGCCCTCAACGCGCTGCAGTACCGGAAGCGCATGGCCATGATGGAGCCCATGCTGGGCTTCGCCCACGGACAGGTAGGCAGTCCTTCCCTGAGGCGCAGGACCTACGCCAGCTACGGAGGGCAGCACGGCCTTCTGCTGGGGGATCACAGGGGGTACACAAGCAGCGTCAGAGGAGGAAACACATGCACAGCCTCCCAGAAGCTCTCAGAAGCTCGGCACCTGGAGAGATTGCGGTGGGCTGGACCGTCAGCGGAGCCTGGGCTGCACACGCAGGAGATGATGGCCTTGATTCCTTCCTCTTGTGGGCAGGCACCGGCATGGCCTTTGTCTCTGATCCAAATGACAGCAGATGGGGCCCGATTGTCTGAGAAGCAGCTTCCTGTGTGGGCTGCGGAGCCAGGCTCACAGCTGGGACTCCACATAGCTTCCCCTGCTCAGTGTGGTACAGTCACCTTGGTGGGGCCTGTTCTCGTGACATGTGGCTAAGGCAAATGCCAGCACCTGGGCACATAGGACCTGGGAAATGTTGCCAATGAAATCACGGCAGAGTATTTGTGTGCAGGGAGGGCCCAGGTTCAGGGTGTAGCCTTGGCTGTGGCTCCAGCCTGGCAGGGACAGGAATGGTGAGAATGTGAGGCAAGTGGCACCAGCCTCACCCGCCATCCCTGCCCTGCTGTCGTCCCACTTAAGTTGACTCCAGACTCACTCCGGCTTGTGAGAAACGCATCTGGAAACTTCCTCTGATCTAGGAACAGACAGGGATGTGAGGAAGCAAAATGTTGAGAAGGAAAAGTCAGCAACTTAAAAATCTTACATGTGAACACCTATTATTTTCATAATACATTTAAAAAATACATATTATATCTTTTATGTTAATCTTCACTCAAGGATATTTTCCCATTGATTTTTAGAGAGAGTGGGAGGGATGGGAAGAGAGAGACATCAATGTGAGACACATCAATTGGTTGCCTCCTGCATGCATCCTGACCAGGGCTGGGATCAAGCCAGCAATCAAGGTCTGTGCCCTTGACCAGAATTAAACCTGGGACCCTTCAGTCCATGGGCCCACGCCTCTATCCACTGAGCCAAACTGGTCAGGGTTAAAAATACAAACATGTTTAAAAAGCACATCTCTTTCATTCAGGGAAAGAAGGAACCAGAGAAGATTTTTAAACATCTAAATTCAGTTGTCTGTCATCTTAATGTGGTTATTACCTTGCTGAATAATGCAGACACTAAAGTCAGCTTATGCCCTTAGTGGTAATATTTAATAGAACAATGTAATCTTTCTGTATCACCTGAGTGAGCTGGGCTAAACCAAAAACTAGCGCTGCCCCGCTGTGGGCTGAGGCTCAGCAGATCCTAGGGTTGGGCCAGCTTCCTCACCATGGCACTGGTGCCCGCATGTGTGTCTTCTCTGCCATTAAGCATTGCACCTCTGCCTGGTGGATAATCCCACTTGTTAGAGAAGGCCAGGGCCCCTCCGCTCTCTACTTCACACCTGGGCATGAAGGCATGGGGAAGTCATCCCCCCTGGGCCGACAGGCCCGGCCTCTGGAGCAGAAACCCCCGCTCATTAGAGACCCAGGGCCAGGGAGTATCTGGAACTTAGTCTCAGGAAGGTGCCCGCTGCAGGCCTGGGCCAGCCTTGGGAGGCTCGGTAGAGGAGGGTCCCTAAAGGAGCTAAAGGATGGGTTTGCTCCGGTTGCTTTCACTCTTCATGGCCGAGAAGTACACCGCTTCCCCCAGCCCAGACCTTTGAAGCGAATGCTGCTGGCTGTGGGGGTGAGTGGAGGGGGGGCAGAAGGGCTGTGGGAAGGCAGAACGGGGCACACTGTTGTTGGGGGCTGAGGATGGCACATTTCACTTTTCATATGAAAAGTCTCTGGATTTTAAGACACAAGACCAAATAGCCCCTCACCCTGCAGACTTTTTAATCCTGGTGAAATTGTAGTTCTTACTCTCAGTCCTGGTTGTTGTCTGACCCCCTGACTCTTTGGATGGTTCCGAAGCAGCCTTTTAAATCAGTGTGCGTTGAGCATCACTTGGTTGGCTGCTGGTGCTTTGACCATTGTACTTCCCACTGCTCACGGCGGCTTGAACTTTGCTGTTTGGATGACTTTCCTCTGAATCAGACTTCTCGCCACCACCCACCACGGTGGAGGCTGTTTGACTCCATTTCTGCCTTCCCTGGCCCTCGTCAAACAGGTTTTCAATTAAGTCATGACTAGGCCTCCCTCCTGCAGACTAATAGAGGCATTGTCAGCCTGTCCAGGTTTATGAGGGCACACACATGAACTCTAACATAGTATTTACACGGTGAGCAGTGTGTGACGTGGCTGTGGAAGCCAATATCTCATCCCTACCTTCCACCCATTCATCTGGTTTTTGAGGGAATACGGAGCCCTGCCCTCGGAGCTGAGAGCTAGTGGAGGGGCTCAGACACAGACGGGCGTGTGGAATTCAGGGAGGGGAAGGTGCGGGACAGCCAGCATGAAGTTGTGCCCTTAGAAATGCATAATGCTCCTTCAGCCGACTCTGATATTTAACATTTCAAGGATTCAGAATGCTCATCTCTGTATGACTCAGAGATCACGGGCCAGAACCCCCTCCTGCTCGGATTACTTTGCATTGGGTCATCCAATCATCAGCTGCTTCTGTGCTGTAAGGACTAAGCACAGGTGTGTACGCACTTCCCCAGGCCTCAGGGCGGTACCGAAGGGTCCTGCTGGCCTCCTTGAGGTGAGAGGTCAGTGCTGTGCCCACCACCCAGGCAGGGGCTGCTTCCAGATCAGACAGCCGGCTCTGTAACGGGAGAGGACGCCCATGTCCACGCTGAGTGTTTGCTCTCTTTCATGATGGAGGTTTGCAGCCATTACTTCTCTGCAGTCAGAGGTGCAAAATGGAGTGGCTTATACCATATTCAGGTTTTTAAAGGCCTGGCCTTAGAAAGGGACAGAAGCTCGAGCTTTCCGGGAGGGATGGTTGTGGATGTCAGTCAGGCACAGAGGAATTCCTCTTCTCGTTCCCGTACCCCTGCCCTTCAGGGCTTGTCAGGGGACCCCCACCTTCTGGGAAGTGAATACCTAGGAATCACAAAAGTAAAGAATCCCTTCTTTTGGTTCCCAAAAAGCCAGCAACAGCAGTTTCATTTTCAAACCGGGTCCTCAGGCCTTCCCTGGGCAGAGAGAGCGCCCACCATAGGCACAGGGAGCACCATGCAGTGCCAGGGCCGCCTGCTTCCTGTACACACACGTCCCCCTTCAGCTCATGCCAGGGTTGGAAGAGCCGTCAGCCCAGCTTTCCCTCTGGAATTTCAGCCATGTCACCGTGCAGCCTGTGTCCAGAGCTGCCCGTGGCTCCGGGACGGGGTCAGTCAGACGGCGACCCTCGCCTCTCTGAGACCCTCCTGCTGCGTGTCTGTCTCTTGTTGGTGCTGAGCATGTCATTGGTCACACACCGATGTACCCCTACAGAGGTGAAGAGGACCTAATCCTTGTCCTAGAAACCCACTGTCTAGAATTCACACGGGAAAAAGGCTGACGATATTGAAATTAATTATCGTAGTAATTACTGACACACCTGGTACGTGCCAAGTGCTTAACTTATATGTTTCCTGAGCTTTACAGGCTTTCCACAGAGTAGCCTGTGTCACCATCCCCTTTCTGCACACGCACCGGGGATCTGGGAGTAACTCTGAGCTGGTGGGGTGGGGGCTCAGGGAGGTGCCGCCAGTTCTGCGGGCGAGGAGCCGGCCAGCCGGGGTCAGCCGCCCCCCATCAGTCCCAGTCCACGAACTCAGCCGTCCACTTCCTGAACGATGTTCAGAATATCGTGATTTTATCTTTCAGATTAACTTCTTTAAGAAGGGAGCAGCGATGTTTTCCCAAAGTATGGACAACTTCTTATCCTCCGTGTCCAACATGGTTCAGAGGTAATGCTGCACCCCGGGGTCTTGGTGCTTTTGCTTTCTGCCAGATCAGCCTCTGCGGTGGGGGGTGGGGTAGAGGGGGAGGGTTGCTGGCTGCAGAGGGTCCCCTGCAGCTGCTGTCCACTCCCTGAACTCCCAGGAACAGCGCCTCCTTAGCTGCCGACGACGTTAGTGAGCAGTGTGGTTAAAAAGTAAAGATCTCTGCATTTCCCAGCTCACATGGAGCCCAGAGTCCTATCCACTGCATTTACATATTGTAAATCAATAAAAGATTAAAGGATCCCAGGGGGACTTTTCTATCAAGTCAGAGTTCTTCAGATCTTCTGTAACAATAGTTTGACGTGTTAGGAGCCTCTGTCCGTGAAGACTTGCTGTGGAAAGACTGCTTGTTCTCTTCTTGGAGAGCTAACGGCTTAGCAGCCAGAAGTGCTGCAACTTCTCAGGAACCCCTGGTCATCACACTAACGTCTGATAAACAAGGCAGCAAGCCTTTTTGAAGTAATTTAACAACATGGAGTTCAGTCTCACGGTTGCTTATTTTTTTTAAAAATGCATCCTCTCTGCAGACACCCTGCCGCCCTTAATGCTGCTGAGGCCACTCTGACTCCCTTTGCCCCCTCTTGTCAGCGTCCGTGCCGGTGAGCTCAGCGGAGGCTCCGGGCACCCCCGGCACCGGGCTTATTTCATTGAGGACTTTCCATGATTTCTGGGGATAGACACATGTCTGTCTGTGGGTGCACATGAGTATTTCTCTGAGGAGAAAATTCTTACCTTTCATTGGGTCCTCAGTTTTATCACCCACAAAAGCGTAAGAAACTAGGTGTTTTGTAAAGCTTTGCTCCCTTCCACCTGCCTCCTCTTGTACTGCTCCGTTCTCCTAGCGTGGCAGTGACAAGCAGGTGTAGCTAATGAGGTCTGTCCTCCAGCTGGCCCGGCCCGAGGCCACCAGCCTCGGACTCCTGTCATTTCATCCCAATGTCAGAGTAGCCAGCCCTCACCTGCATGGCAGCTTGCATCCAGCTGCGTTACATGGTGCAGACGGCGGGCATGGGCTGTCCTACAGCAGAGTATGCATATGCAAGCCCAGACTCACTTTCCTGCAGACCCTTTGAGAGAAGATCCTGAGGAACTCACTCTGTGAAACAAGAGGCAGCTGGTCCCAAGGTCCCCTCTGAGTTAACATCTGCAGTTCTGTCTCACCTCCTCTAACACGGCGAAGTGGAACACGCCTCCAAAGTTCGCTTTCTCGGGTGGATGGGTCCTGTTGGCAGTGTGTTCAGGCCTTTACAGCCCAGCTGTCACCACCGGGGGCAGCAGGCGTGTGGCTGGCAATCTTAAAAGGTGCCCTGGCATCGGTACCACTCCTGGTCATTCCCCCTCTCCAGCAGCCATCTCCGGGCTCTTGCCTAAGCCAAAGGGATAAGGAATGACTGCTGTCCTCGCCTTTCTGGCCCTTTCACAGGCCGCCCGCAGGTGTCGCCCCTCAGAACGGGCTCATTGAAGCTTTTCTCCTGAAGCTTGTATCAGCCGTTCTGAGCATGACACCTCTGTCTGCAGAGGAACTGTTTAGCTGGGTTCAGGCGTTGTCCTGTGGGACCCCTGTGTTCTGTTTTAAAACAGCGGTCATGTGAACACAGAACAATGCATCCTGGAGTCATTTAACAACCTGGGGTGTCTAAGCTCCAGCTTCCAGGCCTGAGAGAGGTGGAGAGCTGCGCCTCCGCCACCTGCTGCCCAGCGGTGCGGGGCAGGCCAGTGCTGAGTGACCGGATGGACACCTTCTGTCTTAAGCATTCAGGTGGAACTGGAAGCCGAAGCAGAGAAGATGAGGGTGTCCCAGCAAGAGCTCCTTTCTGTGGACGAATCTGTTTATACGCCTGACTTCGATGTGGCTGCACCACAGATCAACAGGAACCTCATCCAGAAGGCCGGCTACCTGAACCTTAGGAGGTGAGGATGCGTGGCCCGCCCCGTGGAGTGGCTGAAGAGCCGAGTGTCCGGTCGGAGCGTGGGGTGGAGAGATCGGGGGGGACTCCCACTACGGCACCCCTCCTGCCAGGGACCTAGGCATAGTCGTATGAGTAAGAACCCAGCTTGTGGACTCCAAACACCACAGGCCATCCCTGTTCCTGTTCGTCATGGCCATTGGTGGGTTGGTGGGGACTCGGTTGTCTCACCCATAAAACAGAACTGATCAGTGCACCTACATCATAAAGTAGCTGCAAGGGTTCAATGAGATATTTCTTAGCAGGCAGCAAGCACTCAAATGTTAGCTATGACCCTCGTTGGAAATTAACTGAATAAGTATTGGGGCAGGAACCTAGTGCCTCACACGTAATCACTGCCCAGTAAGTACTGAGTCAGGCCGTGTATCTGATCTCCCCTAGTCAGAGGGTCTGTGCAGAGGAACTGGCTTCTTACTGGGAAGAAAGGTGTGTGGGCTTCTTGGTCACAGGCCAAGTGATAGAAACCTCCACAAGGTCCTGGTGTTCCTTGCCAGGACCCGGATTTTCCTCTTGTAAACGGCCCACACACCGAGAATAACATCCGGTTGGAACAAAACTGAATCTGGTAAAAGCCCCCGAGTTTCTGATACCAGAGGTGACCCTGGTGACCAAGTGGCTATCGAGCAGTGCAGCTCCATGTCTTAGAGAAGTGACCTTCCAGAGTTCGGTTCCTAATGGTGACGACTAATTCTCTTCATCTGGCTGAGGGGCAGGCGCACCGCCCACTTCCTGGCCTCGGCCCTGGGACTGGCATCCCCATGTGAGCTGGCCCGTAACCTCCCAGATCCTCCAAGCTCAGCTGCACATCTCCGCTGCTCTTTGCACTTGAATTCTTTCCAAGCAGTTTTGCTTTAAAGGAACGCATTGTTTATAAAATGTCACTGATCCCCACGGAGGGCAGCAGAACTTTGAGGTGCCGCTCATGCTTTCTAACACTGACGGGCTGTCACACCACCCCGCAGTAAGACGGGGCTGGTCACCACCTCCTGGGAGCGGCTGTACTTCTTCACCCAAGGCGGGAACCTCATGTGCCAGCCCAGGGGGGCCGTGGCCGGCGGCCTGATCCAGGACCTGGACAACTGCTCTGTGATGGCGGTGGACTGTGAGGACCGGCGCTACTGCTTCCAGATCACCACCCCCAACGGGAAATCGTACGTCCCGTGGCTCCGTGGTTTCACGTGGGCGGAGAGCCAGTGTGGTGGCCCCACCCGGCCCAGGGCCTCCCGGCTCACTCCTCTGGGAGCGGCTGTTCGGGCAGCGTGGCCTTTGGGAGGCGGGTTTGCATTCTTTAAGCTCATGACCCACATGGGATCCACCTGCCTCACATAGGAGTGCCCGCGAGGATGTCCGTGCTTAGGTAAGAGGTGATAAAGGTGGCAGGCGCTCTCCTCACAGAAGGCTGTGGCTACCCTCACCGCTCCTAGACAAGCACGTGTGTGTGTGTGTGTGTGTGTGTGTGTGTGTGTGTGTGTGTACTGGTGCAGGGCAGGGAAGAGGAGGAGAGTCAGGAGCTGTTTCCAGCTGAAACATGTGAACGGGACGTTCAGCTGCAGGAGGGTCACTCCTCAGTGTGCTGTCCCCATACATTACGGGCCCTGAGGTCCTCCTTTCCCGATGGCAGCCTGTAGTCCCCAGTGGGCGCCCCCTCACTTAGAGCAGGGCCCGGGAGGTGGGAGGCGGGCGGTGCCCCGGGTTCCCTGCCTGGGGGAGAGGGTGGCCCGTCCTTGTCAGAGCCGCCTGCTGGCATTGGCTGCTGGGGTTGAGACTTTATCTGAACTCTGGCATGGGGAGGGTGGGCGGTGTTGACCAGCTCCTCTCCCAGCCTGGCAGAGCGTTGTCCTTCCTCCCAGAGTGACATGAAGTGCGGGAAATGAGCTGGGAGTGAAGACGCCCTGTTTCTAGCCATGCTCCTAAACAGTCACTCAGTCCTCTGGGCCTCGGTTTCTCAGACGTGAAATGGGGATGAGATCCCTGTTCCCCGGCTCCTATAGATGAGATGGGGACAAAGGAACCAGATGTGGAGCCTTCAGAGTTACACCCCCACAGAGGCTGCGCAGTACTTGTCTGCACTCCCAGCCCTCCTTACGCAGTCCTTTCCGTTCTTGGGGAGCAGCGGAGGGCGCTATTCCTCCTTGGGCGGGGCTGGGAGGGGTGGCTGGGAAAGGGGCCAGAGGAGGGTCCGCACTGTCAGGATCCCAGGCTTGGGCCAGTGGGTCTGAGCCCAGCCTGCTCCGCTTGTAGACGAGAAGCCAGGGCCCAGGGAAGGGAAGCGTGCGTTTGTCCAGATGACTGACCAGAGCCACAACCCCCTTCTCTCTCCTTCCCATTTTGCTGCCTTCCCGCCCTTTCCCCTCGGGCCTCAGTGGAGTTCAGTTCTGTGGGGTAATGGTCAGTCACTGCATCTGGGAAGCACTTACTTGGATGCACTTTATTTCAGGGGGATAATCCTCCAGGCAGAAAGCAGAAAGGAGAATGAAGAGGTAAAGATTCTGTTTGTTTCACCTCCTTCTCAGTGTAGTGGGGGAGTCAGGATTCAGCAGGTTTTTTAATGTCCTCCACAGTGGATCTGTGCCATCAACAACATCTCCAGGCAGATCTACCTGACGGACAACCCCGAGGTAATCAGCAGCCACTTCCCCGCACCTCACCCTTTCACCAGCCTGGAAGGTAAGCGTCCGCCTCCTGGGACTGAGCCTGACTCCTGTGCATTTTTAGGCCGTCGCCATCAAGCTGAACGAGACGGCTCTCCAAGCAGTGACCCCCATTACAGGTTTCAGAAAAAAACAAGAAAGCCCGTGCCCCAGGTAACTAATGGACAAAGGAAAGCGAGCTTTTGTGGAGCCAAATCAGGAACTTGACACAAGTTATTTCATCCTCCCACAAGCCCCGGGTGGGGTCCTGCAGAAGCAGTAGCTGGTCAGGAGGGGTCCTGGGTGCTCAGCGCAGGTGAGGGCAGAGCAGGGATCCAGACCTTCTCCCGGACCAGCTGCTGCAGCCAGAGTGCACAGGACCACACGAGGGCGCTGCTGGTCGGGAGGGGCCCTGCATTTTCTAGCAGCATCAGCAAAGTTAAGGAGCCAGGACACAGAGGAGCAGAGCGGAAGGCTTTGAGAACAGGAGTGGCAGTCAGAACCAGGGTAGCTCAGGAGGCACACGGAGGCACAAGACTGTCCCTGCGACTAAGAACCACCGGAGTGCAGAGGGAGCGCGTCAGCCTGGCTGGAAAGGTCTAATGAATGACTGGGAATTTGAGCTGGTGGTGGAAGTACGAGAGGGTTGGGTGAGCAGCGTAATAGGGATGAGACAGAGAGGAAGAGCATATGGTGTGCTGGTGTAGCTATAGCGGGGGGAGTGCATTAGGGAATGGAGGAGGAAGCTCTCAAGAGAAATGGGAACCAGGTTGTGGCTGAATGCTAGGCCAGAAATATTAATCATTCCGTTAACATTTCTGACTACTATGTACCAAGTAATAAATATTATTTAGCTATAAAAAAAAAACTCTGTCTCCCACAAACAGGAAGCCAGTTGTACTGTGATAAGCAGGATAACAGTGCAGAATGCTCTGCAGCAGAGCTACCTGTAGGTTTTGGGAGACTAAAGGATTCAACCAAGGAATGACTTTTCCAGAGAAGTACTTGTAGGACGCTGTGAAGGCCTGAAGTCTCCATCAGTATTCGTTGGGTTGTGAAGGCGTAAAATTAAAAGGGATTTGTTTTTCCCTCCTCTCTGCTACTGTACTCCAGCCCAAACCTGGAAAACTCAGAGGTGAAAAATGACAACACTGTTCCCAAAGCAGCCGTCAGCGTACCTGAAGCTGAAGAACTCATTGCGCCTGGAACACCCATTCAGTTTGATATTGTACTTCCCGCCACAGAATTCCTGGATCAGAACAGAGGGAGCAGGTATGTGCCGCGGGAGGCCTCTGGGGGAAAGGAACATAAAGTTGGCCCTCCGGAGACTGTTGCCACCTGCCTTAGAGCTTGGTGCTAAGTGTCCTCTCGCTGACCTGTAGTGACCGTCTGACTCTGGCTCCCCCCCAGGCGTACGAACCCTTTTGGTGAGACTGAGGATGATGCGTTTCCAGAGGCAGAAGGTACGTGGGACATTTGGGGTGCTGACTCTCTCCTCTGCACGACCGCCAGGGCCACCAAAGCAAGATGTGACATCATGTTCTAGAGAGCCAGGACTTGAAATATGTTCATTGTTCTTGGAGAACTCATTAGGACTTGGGTAAAACTGTGACGCTGTTGTACCACTAGCCACATTCATACCTTTTGCACTCCTGCCCTGAAAGGTGCCAAGACTAAGTTTGGTGTCACATTATTACAAAAACAAATTCAGAAGATAAAACGATCGCCTTAAAATGCAGCCTGGGTGAGGCATACACATGCTCTTTTTTTTTTCTTTTAATATATTTTATTGATTTTTTACAGAGAGGAAGAGAGAGAGATAGAGAGCCAGAAACATCAATGAAAGAGAAACATCGACCAGCTGCCTCTTGCACACCCCCTACCGGGGATGTGCCCGCAACCAACGTACATGCCCTTGACCGGAATCGAACCTGGGACCTTTCAGTCCGCAGACCGACGCTCTACCACTGAGCCAAACCGGTTTCGGCTACACATGCTCTTGTATTTCAGAAAACCAAAAACACAAATCACTCCTTGAAGTTTAAGATCACATGAATGTTATGCTTTAAATTCGTATCTTGTTTGGTTTACATACTCAGTTGGGCTGACCACAGCCTCCTGCTCCACAGAGAGGACTCGAGCTCCCAGCCAAGGCAGCTGAGGAGCTAGAAGAGCTGGCAGGGCCTCAGTGTGAGCCAGCAGGACTGGAGCCTGAGAGCCCCATCTGAATGAATGAAGTGCCACTGTTTACATGTAAAAGGAGGACTTGAGAATTGGCACTTAACCCTTTAGGGGGGAAAAAAAGTTGCCTCAAACCCCTCTCCACTTACGTCTAGCTGACTTCTAATGCAGTTCAGTTTGTGAACAAAAATATTCCAACCTGTAAAAACACTTCATATGGGAGTAACCATTTCAGTTATATTTTCCTAGGACATTTTTAACTCGTTATTTTTAGGGGCCAGGATACTAATGGGATATTATACTTTATTGGCAAAAAGACTTAAAATGGCGGGTAAATGAGTTATTCTGATTTAAAAAAAAGAAGAAGAAGAAGAAGTTTTAAACTGTCTTCATGGTTTCCAGTTACGTGCCATCATTCAGCTTTGTCAAGTGATACGCTGTCAGCAGGAAGCCAGTATTGGAAGTTCAGGGGCTCAAATAAGCAAACTTAGTTTGGGATCTCCATTCGTTTGTGGAGCATATCACTGCCCTTCAATCATAAATGAGTAAGAACCAACGTCAGGTCTTATTTTCTTCAAATAAGTTTTCTTTTGTAAGACAACTTAATCCACAGGCCAAAGGGAAGGATTTCTGTTGCCAGTGGAGAAAGTCCTGTTTTCAGAGAAAAGATATGGTGCATACACTGCCACCTTGTGTACTCACCTAGGTTTGCAGGAGGCTGTTTATCTGGTCGCCTCCCTACTTTATCGATGGAGGAGAAGCAGGGCTTTTCTAGGCTAAGGAAGTAGTCCAAACAGACAAAGTGTAGACAACAGAAGACTCAGAGCCTGGGCAGTTTGCGTGGGGCCGTAACAGCAGAGGATTCAGAAGTTTGGGTGGGAAGCCCTGCACAGGAAGCAGACCAGTCCTGAGATACTGGGTGCCGGTCAGCAGGCAGGACCTGAGTGTGATCCTGAGCAGAAAATGCTCTCTTGCAGATTCTCTTTTGCAACAGATGTTCATAGTTCGGTTTTTGGGATCGATGGCAGTTAAAACAGACGGCACTACCGAAGTGATCTACGAGGCGATGAGACAAGTGCTGGCAGCACGGGCTATTCATAACATCTTCCGTATGACAGAATCCCACCTGATGGTCACCAGCCAGATGCTGAGGTACATGCGGCTTCCCTTCGACTTTCTCATAGCTTCCTCAGCCCCCTCTGAAGGCACAGTCCCCCACCTGCAGCTCATAACTAGAGCATTTGACTGGATTAAGTGTACTAGTGTATTTCGATTTTGTAAGATGTATTGGATAGAAGATGCTCCCTTAATGATAATCTGGGAATTTAGTAGTGCGTGAATCCTGTTGTTTATAAGATTGCCATCATTCTTAGTTACTCTCTACATCTCTGAACTTGAAAATGGAAGGTTATTTGTTTTTACCATCTCTGAGAGTACTAATTGCCTGAGATAACTAATCCACCACAAGAAAATCTGATCAGTATTTGTTGGACTGAAAATAAAGAAGCCAAGTAATTTAACTACCTGGTTTGGGGGCTTCGGCAATAAGGTCTTTATGAACATGGCAAACGACGGTCAGGATATGGTTAAAACAGAGGCGTTACGAGCTGCACTGTTCAGTACGGCAGCTACAGGTAGCCAGTCTGAACTGAGATGAGTTGTCAGTGTAAATATAGGATATAGCAAGTCTCTAAGGTCTCGTCCTGCCCCCAAGAATATAAAATATCTCAATAATTAATATTTCAGATCTATTAAATAATATAAATGGGTGTCAGAAAAATTTATGAGGTTTATGCCCTATTTCTATAGGACAGCAGCCTTGCATTAGAGCCAGAATGTCTAGGCTTATTTCTGGCTTTAGCATTTACTAGTTGTGTGACCTTGGGCAAGTTATTTAATCCCTGTGCCTTGGTGAAGTTCTTCAGGTATAAAATGAAAATAACTGTATCTACACCTCTTACTGTTGTCATGAGGAATAGATATGAAACCTTCACAACTGCAACTGGCACCTAGAAACTGCTCAATAAACATTAGCTTCAAAAAAGTGAACTAGGCAAAAATCAGGCCTTTTCCTTTGTTATAAACCTTGTAAGAATTGGATTCTTAAAAATAAAACATATTTATTGACTTATAGCTATAAAAACTTATAGCTTTTTTCCAAGTTTGTCCTGGATCTTTTATAGGCATTGGTTCATTGTTCTTATAATCTCCACCAAAAAATGAGCAAATATATATAAAAACACTGAGAAACTATAGTGCATCAAAGAACACTATTAAGTAGCGACAGCCCCACAAATTCTTCTAAGTTCATCTAACATTTGTGATATAATGTTATCTGTTAAAATTTCAGGTTAATAGACCCTCAGACTCAAGTATCCAGAGCCAATGTAAGTACCCTCACACTTGCCCATTTTAGTGATTAGCTCGATTCATCCTTGTAACCACCTTAAACACAAATTAAATGACTGTCACTAAGAGTGCACTTTTTTATAACTTTTTCCATAGTGGATGATTTTGTCTGTTGTTTAGTTCCAGTTTGTTGCGTGATATTCAGTCTATTATTTTTTCCAGTTTGAGCTCACCAGTGTCACCCAGTTCGCTGCTCATCAAGAAAACAAGAGACTGGTTGGCTTTGTGGTCCGCTTGCCTGAATCCACAGGTGGAGAGTCTCTGAGCACTTACGTTTTTGAAAGCAACTCAGAAGGCGAAAAGGTCTTATTTTTTTCATCTTAAGATTCCATAAGATCTCAGTAGGAAAGAAAGATATTTAAAGGGTGTTTGTTACACCACTGCCTGGATAGTTGACTATTCTGCAGGTCCCCATTGAGGAGTTTAGAAAATACATCCTAGGAAGGCCCCACTGAAACAAAACTGCCTGGAAGTAAAATTTCCCTGGGGAAAATATGTACTAACCAAAATAGATTGACTAGTTAAGAGCTTTAATGCTGAGCTATAATTATTATAATTATAGCTCAGCATTAAATTGTTAAAAGCACCTCCTCTCAAAGCAGAAGTTACAATGGAGGAAATCTAGACTCAGCAAACCCAGGAAGCAGAAATCAAGAAAATACACCTAAACTGTTCTCTTGTTTAGTAGAAAAACTTTGTGACTGCATTCGAATTAATAAAATTTAAGCAATCCTTTCAGCAAGTGTCTGTTTGCCACTGTGTGTGAGCATGCAGTGGCTAATGTGGTCAGATAAAGGGAACAGCATCCTGTTAGGACTTTCCAACGCTGGAGTAACCTCAGTTGCCACTGGCTGGATATGTTTTGTACACACAAATTGTCAACAGGAGACCAGGGACAGTAGACACTCATGTTGACATGAGTAGACAGTGACCTCATTGTACTCTTATAATCACATATCCCACCCCCCCAATAAAATTCTTTATCCTTTTCCACCTTTGCCAAACACCACTTTTCTTGTCTTTTGCAGATATGTTACGCTATTAATTTGGGAAAAGAAATCAATGAGGTTCAAAAGGTAAGGTCCACTTTAGTGCTTGTTTAGCAATATTGGAAATATACCTACCTATTACGTGTCAGGCTGTCTCTCCAAATGGGAAATGATGCTCACCTGGCAGTGTGGTCAAGTTTGGGATCTTTTTATGTATTCTAATCACATTCTTAATCAGCTAGTTCCACATGCATTGGCAACACTTGGAGTTCTTAAAACCATCACTTCTGTAGCCCTTGCTTTCCTTATTTATTGCTTGCTGCTGTTGCCTAGATTTCCTGTCTTTCAAAGTAGGATGACACAAGCTTAAGCATCTATCTTGTGCTCTTAAGCCTTGTTCCTTGGTCGTCACAGACCAGCAACACTGACACACTTCAGAGACTTATTGGAAATGAATAATGATTCTGACCTCCCTGTCTTTCAGCAGCTTACAGTCTCATTTATTTGGAGCCTCGTTTATAACAAGAAAAACCCTGGAATTAGAGCAGGGAGCAAGACAGATCAGTTCCAGCATGGGGGTGGGGACGTGCGCTTCTATAGAGTTACTGTCCAGGAGAACTTTCTGCAATAGAAAATATGCAAATTGAATGTGGCAAGTATGACTGAGGAACTGGACTTGTAAATTTTATTTGAATTTAAATACTCATGCAGCTAGTGAATAGCGTATTGCTATGATTCTAGGCTTATAGGGAGGGCAGAAGGACCAAATGAGACTGATGTACATGAAATGATAAGCACTGCAAGTTAGTATTTTATGGTCTAGACCTTGTCAGTAAAGGGCTAGATAGTAAACCTTTTGGGTTTACCGTCTGTCTCATGACCTCAACTCTGCTGTTCAACACAAACGCTGCCAGAGACTGTATGGGCATGACTGTATTCCCAAAAAAATGTTTACAAAAACAAGCCTGATGGCCACAGTTTGCAAACTCTTCATATAGATTAAAAGAGGGAAAAGAGCTTTAATGCTGAGCTATAATTATTTAGTAGAGCTGTTTTATTTAGATAAAACAAAGATATGTTGTGAGGGAAGTTCTCTTTGGACTCTTTCTGGGAAGATTATGACGACTTGGCTAGATGGTGATATTTTTGGCTGAAAGGAAAACCAAGGCCTACTAGATTCTAGGAATAATGCAGTTGAGTTTTTTTCAGAGAAGCAAGGAAACCCACCTGCAGGCACACATAGGAAAGTAAGGAGGAGTAAGGCTAGACTACATAACAAGCCAAGCCAAAGAGGTGTTAAGTGCATTTTAAGTGTTTTCTTTTCTCCTTCTTAAACTCCCATAACTTCAGGATCCAGAAGCATTGGCTCAATTAATGCTGTCCATACCACTAACCAATGATGGAAAATATGTACTGTTAAACGATCAGCCAGAGGACACTGATGGAAGTCCACGTGAAAATGCGGGCGCAGAATCCGAAGCATAACTCTTGCGCTTTTGGGGGAAGAGCACCCAAGGAGGAGAGCTACCTCCTTAAGGGTTTTCAACTTCTCTGATACACAGGCCCACGAACTGGTTTCAGAACCCTGACAATCGCTTGTGGAATGGACTCTCGATGCCCTGGTACTGAGACTTGGGAGGGAAACAGTAAGAAATGGTTGACAACATTTCTACCCATCTGCAAATGTTACTTTAGGTGCTTTGTGGTAAGTCCTTTTCTTAGATTACTATTGAGCGCTCAGAATGGAAGTTATGAGAAAATGCATCGTTCGCTGTATTGGAATATCACCTTTTTTCAGTTTCCAGTATCCTTTTTTAAAACTGGCAAAAGCCTAGATTTATAATTAAACACTAAATATTTCCTATTAATACTCTATTTTTGTATTTTACTTAATAAGCTTTAAGTGCCTGTCATTCTGAAAACTGTGTATTTATAATCAAGCTTGTCTCCTAATTGGACCTAATAAGCATTAACCTGTGCAGTGAGGCTGGAGCCCCAGCAGCACTGCAGGTCTGGTTCTGGTCGCTGTCCCAGGCATCAGGCAATGAAAACTAGCAGCCGAGTCCCACAGATGATGTCGTTTTACAGTGGGTCCTCAATGAACCAGCATTCACCAGTTTACGGTCCTGTAGCTGTTACCGTTTTTAGTGGTGGATCACCATGAACAGCTCTGCCAGCTCCCGTTTCTTCTGAGCCAGACCCTCCTCAAGGAAGGGGCCAAGTAATTTTAAAACGCACTTGAACAGTTGGTTTAAAGTTCCTATTTCCACTCTGGCACCCCAGCCCACTCCACCATTCCCTTCTACCCATGAAATAAGTATCATGATCTTGAATTGGTACAGTGTGTTTAATTATAACCAAGTTCAACAGAATGTTATTGTCTTTGTAATAAATTAACCTAGCAGTAAATGCTAGCAAATAAAATCTATCATTCTGTTTCTTTTGCTTTTTGTGGTTATTTTCTAGAATATCCCTGGGAGAAAACTAGATTGGTTCTATAGCTTTTAACAGTTAATTTGCAAAAACTAGGGGAGCATGAAATCACAGCAGAGAGGATGACTATCAAAAAATACCTCTATTCAACCTGAGTAATGGAATCTCAATGCCAAGTTTTTAACAGGTGTTGCTTTTAAAATGACGGTTAATAAAACAATTTTTGCCACCCCAAGGTAATGTTATACAGGATCCACTGAGGAATTCACTTCTATAATGTGTACCGTCAGAGACACAGTGAGCTGGGCCAAGTTGGTATGAAATTTTACACTAATGCCTTACAACTTATATATCATAATCATGTCAGGTCGGAAGCGCTCTAACAGGCTGCAAGAGCCACAGTCCTCTGGGTTTTTTTCTTGCTTAGATCTACTCAGGTGGGAGGGGAAGAATCTCAAGTCATGAACAATGCTGGAAACCAAAATCAAGCTTTAAAAAAAATGTCTTAAAAGAATGAGTGGCTGAAATCGGTTTGGCTCAGTGGATAGAGCGTCGGCCTGCGGACTGAGGGGTCCCAGGTTCGATTCCGGTCAAGGGCATGTATCTTGGTTGCGGGCACATCCCCAGTGGGGGGGTGTGCAGGAAGCAGCTGGTTGATATTTCTCTCTCATCCATGTTTCTGTCTCTCTCTCCCTTCCTCTCTGTAAAAAATCAATAAAATAAAATAAAAATAAGAACTTAAAAAAAAAGAATGAGTGGCTTGACTAAGTCACAAAGCATGCAAATCATAAGGAAAGTAAAGACTGAAATTCAGTACAGTACGATTAATCACAAAACACCAGAGAGAATGAAAACAAAAAGTTAATTGAGCATATTAGCAAGCATTACCCACAAAAAAATTATTCAGAATATACAATTGGGAAAGGATAGTTTCTTCAATAAATGATCTTGGGAAAACTGGACCACTATCTTATACCACACACAAAAATCAAGTCAAAATCAATTAAAACAATATAAAATCTGAAATCATAAAACTCCTAGAAGAAAAACAGGGTAAGCTCCTTGACATAGGTCTTGGTGATCTTTTAAAATCTGACACTAAAAGCAAAAATAAGAGGGACTGACTACAGATTTTGCACAGCAAAGAAAATCAACACAATGAAAAGGCAACCTACTGAATGGGAGAAAGTATTTGCAAATCTTATCTGATTAAGGTGCTAATACCCAAAACAAAGAATTCATACAACTCAGCAGAACATTCTGGTTAAAAAGTGGGCCACAGATACATGAAAAGTTGCTCTACATTATTAATCATCAGGGAAATGCAAATCAAAACCACATTTCACAACTGTTAGAATAGCTATACTCCAGAAGAAGAGAAAAAAAGCATTGGTGAGAATGTGGAGACAAGTGTTATTGGAGGGAATGTAAATTGTTGTAGCCACTATGGGAAACCGTATGGAATGCCTCAAAAAAAAAAAAAAAAAAAATAGAACCACCATAAAATCCAGCAATTCCACTTCTGGGTGCTCATCTAAAAAAGAACATCTGCACCCCCAAGTTCACTGAAGTATTACAATAGCCAAGTTATGGAAGCAACCTAAGTGTCCATTGATGGATGAATGGATTGACAAACTGGTATACCTCTACAACAGAATAGTCTCCAGCCATTTAAAAAAAAAAAAAATGAAGTTTTGCCATTTCCAACAACATGGATCTCGAGGGAATTATGCTAAATTAAATCAGGAAAATAAATTATAATCTCAGGTGGAATCTAAAATAAGTAAAAATAAAAGCATATAGATACAGATTGGTTACAGTGGGAAGGGAGAATAATGGGTGAACTGTTTCTGGTTTCATTTACATAGATTTTTAAAAATCTGATAGAAATGCTTCATTAATGTTTATTTTTTCCCCTCATTTTAAGGATGAGAGCATTGCTATCGAATGTTTCACTACACACAGACCTCATATATGTGTTCTAGAATGTATAATCCTTGAAGATGATCCCAAAATTAAGACAACAGATAGTGAAGGAAAAATAAATTCCATCTATTCTCCTGAATATGTCTCCACTAATGGGAACTGGGACTATCAAGTAAAGGAGATGGTGAAGAGCCAAACTATTAAAATAGAAGGAAAAGTTTATAAACTTGCCCATATAGACTTTATACACTACATGTAAGAACTTACTGTATAAACTAAACTCAACTTTGCCATCACCATCTCTCATTTTACTGAATAGTCCTATGACTTCACTTAATCTCTACAGATTTCCCACTTATTCTGGATTTTGTTTTTAACCAAAATCTTTGGCAACCTGCTAAACTATTCCTAACATCTAAAGACCTTCTTTTACTGTAGCATGAAAACTTTCTTAAATGGAATACCTTCAACCTGAAACTTTTTCAACTTTAGCTGGGTAAAGAATTGAAAATTATTGAAACTGGTTAAAGTCTATCTTTTAACACTTAGCCAACCCGGCATAAAAGAGAAACATGAGATGTATGTGGTGGTATTATCTCATCTTCCTCACAGTCTTAAAAATGTAATACCTCAGAAAAGGAACATCAATCAGACTTCACCGAGGACAATGTCTGCTGCTATTTAAAAGGCTCGTGTGTCATCTCCAGCATAATATTTAACAGGCACTCACTGCCCTGGCTAGGTGCTCAGATGGTTGAAACATCTGAGCACCTAGCCCGTACGCCAAAAGATTGCAGGTTCGATCCCCAGTCTTTGTTTCTCGGTCGGGGCGAGAACATGAGGCAACTAATTGATGTTTCTCTCTCCCCTTTGCTCCTTCTTTAAAAATCAATGAAAATATCCTCAGGTGAGGATTAAAATAAAATAAAAGGCACTCAATTATTGTTTTAGTTCGACTCATGTTTGCAAATGGCATCTCAGTTATTTCTGACATTAAACATTGCAAATTAATGATCCTTCCCCAGGTTTAGTATTTTAAGTTAATCGTAGAGGTTCTTTTTATATGAAAATAGCAAGCAACAGAAAGATAAAGAAGGTACAAAGGCAAGAGTGGAAAAAAAGCCTTTATTTGGGATGCACGGAGAGGAGCCAATAATAATCATACTTCCAATTCCTTGCCTAATGTGCATGCAAATATTTCTTAAGATAGAGTCCATATACCTTATTAGATTAAAGGGACTCTAAAACGGTTAATGTGATAAACTGTTTTAAGGTATTTAATTTTGAGGGGGGAAAATATTTTCAATTTTGGCCTGGCTGGCATGGCTCAGTAGTTAAGCGTCAACCTATGAACCAGGAGGTTGATGGTCAATTCCCGGTCAGGACACGTGCCCTGGTTGCATGCTTGATCCCCAGTGTGGGGCGTGCACCAGGTAGCTGATCAATGATTCTCTATTATCATTGATGTTTCTCCCCCTTTCCTTCCTCTCTGAAATCAATAAAAGTATATTTTTAAAAATTATACCTATTAAGGTAATTCTGAACATAAACATCCAGGGGAAGTAAATTTTTGAAATTACATTTATTGTTTTATTATACATATTGTATTCTATTAGAACTGAGGAAAGGGAAGGCCCCACTCAAGTAACAAATTTGCCATCTTTTACAAAATGTAATTAGCACTGACAGTGTTATGGTTAGCATTTAATTCCTGAGACTTTGAACATTATGAAGTTTTCTGTGAAATTACAACAAATGCTCACACTAATTTTAAATTACAGTATGTCTGAAAAAAATGAAAATAGCATTAATATGTTAGCAAAGAAAACCATCATCCAAATGTGTATATTAGGTATGAAACTCAAGCCCTGTTAACTCAGCACTTTAATAACATTTAAATATACGTAATCTTTTCAGAGATTTTATTTCAGCTATGTGCACTTACTATAATTTATCCAGATTGTAGTGACATTCTGACAAAAGGCAAATAATTAGCCTATCACTTCCTTCTCAACTGCCAGTCCCCATACAGTTAGCATGTGAATTCTACCTAAGATCGATAAAATAACTGACATGTGTGGAGACAATGAACAAAGATACCTGATTCTCTTGTAATTACATTTTCTATCCCTTTTAAATTCTATCCTTTTTAAAGGAGATGATTTTAGGGAAATTAGAGGGGGAAAAACAGAAAAGCAATACTTTGCTAATGAAATGGTGACAAATTTAGTAGAATCCAATGCAAGATCATTCATATAAACATTTACAACAATGAAAATATAAATTATTAATTATGCAGCATGCTTTAGGGCCATTTCTACAGTTAGAATGAATTACAAATATTAAATGCCTTTAGTCCATTCACTGTCCATAATTCGGTAAGTCACCTTTACACAATTAAAAAAAATATTTCCTACCTATTCGTTTCTTCTGACTTTTAACGCGAAAGCATTTATCTTGGGCTGGGAAAATGACCCTGACTATAACCATAAATACGGAGAGGGCATTGTACACCTTTTCCAAAAGCTGGAAATCAAACAACAACGTGAGAATTACTTACAGGATTTACCTGAAGAAATGCTTCATAGGCAAGTGCAATGGAAAATCAAATATTTCCCAAAATGACGTTAGTATTACATGTCAAGTTTTAAACTTCCTTGTTTTGATTGTAAATGTATGTGTTTTATATTAAAAGATTATAGGCCATGATTAATAACCATTTAACTATTAACTGACAGAAGCTTTACAAAAATAAATCTAGTAGCTTGCTAGGAGCTAAATTTACTCAAAATCTTTCTATACGTTTTAAAGCAGTAAATGATTTATTAGAAACTTTATTATCACAGTGGTAATTTTTTTAAAGTCTACACAGTGCTTAATCTGATGTCTTAGATTATACTTGGTTTAAAGAAAAAGTCTGCCCAAGCCATCACCAAGATTTCAGTTTAACCCAAAGAAGAAGAAACCTGAGTTTGGATTTAAAATAAGCAATCATTCGTTTTTCTCAGGTATAATACATGGTGTCTTCAACCCAAAGTGAAGCTTCAAGCAGAACTCTATGGCTTTATCTGAATTTTTTTTTCATCCTGTGTATGAAGTAAATCTTAAAGCGGCTGTTAGAGGTTAAATGTTCTCAAAGCAATGTAAACTAGTATAAAATGTCTCACCAAGACATCAGTAGCTCTTGTGAATCCCATGAAATTAACAATAAAATCAGTTTATACTGTACATAAAGGATATATAACACACTGTGCCTCGTCTCCAGTATCAAATCCATCTTGATACAGTCCTTTTAAAATATTAATATGTATGCTTCATAAATTTCAGGCTCAATTCCTTTTGTTTAAAATGTATTTACTGGCTGTACATAGCATATACATTGAATTTCCAATGACTGGACAAATATGCAAATACAAATTCTAAACATTCATGTAGATTACAAGAGATCTGAGATGGCAGTTTAGGAATCTGGATTGGCCCTTTTATAGCTCCACTTCCTAGGCACATCTGGCCTAAAGTCCAGGCAAAAATTCAACTTTAAAGTCTCACTCTCAACCTTTGAGAAGTTGAGCCTTTGGAAGAAGAATGGACTCCTCTTTAGAGCACTGCCTTAGAGTCCCAAAATATTTCCCAGCGGTGTGGCCAGGAAACACCTCATTAGCTTACTGACATCCATGTCACTGGCAATAGTAAGGACACATTCCGATGCTGTCACGGGCACCGCATACCATCGGTATCATTTGACAACACGATCTGCAGGCCCAGTGCTGTCAGCCAGGTCTCCATTGCTTGTTTTAATCTCTTCTGGAAGCGTAAGTGAAAGTAACAATGGTCATAAAAATTAAGTAAATAAAAATTGAGAAGAGCTGTATTGCTAAATTTCAAATTAAGAAAATGTTGCATCCATCAAATATTTCTCTAAGATCACAAATTATATCCAGATTGCCTTAATTTTTTTGACTGCTTCTTAGAGTATACATTATGAGAAACAAGAACAGCATGGGGGGGAGGGGGTTCTCCACATTGCATGTATGAACTGCTATTACAGTGTAGGCTATTACACAAACATGGCTGCAAATTCATATATAATACTGTCCAAACTAGATAACTTTTCATTAGTTATAATTTACTTTTAAAATCAATTATTTATTATGATTGTGAGAAAATAAGTTCCTGGCTTCTTGTGTAAAATGTCACATGCACATATTTCTGTAACAGTGAAAAACTGTGACTAATATATTCAGCAATTATGACTTCATCCCTGAGCAACCTTTAACTAAAAATAGAACAATCTAGCCACGTGAGTGATGTATATCAACCAGAAAGAACCCAGAGTTCCTTAAGTCCAAAACAAGGTGTTCCACGGAGACCAGAAGGTTTGTTTGTTTTGTGTTAATGCTTTAGGCCATGGAGATGAGGTTCTAGCATTATGAAAAGCTGACTAAATTCTTCCAAATGGCTTTGGTAAACATTATCTGAGAACCGAAACATAACATATACATATTTTCATTTAATAAATACTGACTATCTTCCAGGTAACAGCCTGAAATTTTTAAAAACACAATTATTTACTCAGTCTAGATTCCAAAAATGCCTACATATGCTCCTTACCAATAAGCATTATTTAACTTATGGGAATAAGATTGTTGGTATGATTGGTCTATCCAATTCAATCACCTCTATTTTTTAAAAAATTATAAAATTTGACAAGATTAATAAAAACATTCTGATTAAATATGTTTTATTTTGATTTAAGAAATACAAATAAAAAGTAAAGAGCATACATGAAAACTTTCAACTCAGTTACTTACTAATTTTGAGCTTCCAAGTGAAAAGGAAAACCTAAATTACTTTATTTTCATGAAAGAAAAAGGAAACATCCATTCCTCAGGGAAGACAACTGTTCCGAAATTTCAAATCTGAGAGAAATGTGTCATGGTGGGTGATGGTGGGGAGAGGGGGGAGAGACAGTGTCCTTAAGTGTAAAACACTGAGCAATATTCTTAAACAATAAAATATATAGATTGAGAAAAAAAGAGGGGGAAAAAAACCCTCATGGATATAAGCAACAAGGGGTTGAAGAACATATGGGTGGGATAAATGGTAATGAAAGATTTGACTAGAGGTGGTGAACACACAAGACAGTGTACAAATCATGTGTTGTGGAATTGTACATGAAACCTCTATTATATGTTAACCAGTATCACCCCAATAAGTTCAATAAAAAGGAAAAAAAATAAAATATATAAATATTTTCCCACAGTCCTACATAGAACACAATGGACAGAATCCTTTCCTTCATGACTTAAGCTCATTACTATGACTACGGGTTATTATGGCTGCATTACACTCTGACTTCAAGGCTGGCTATGAAGAGCAGGAAGCTGTGCCCAAGCCACTAAATGGCCTTACCACTTTATAGCTGCCTCATCACCCATCTCATTCAATGTCTAATTATTAGCAACTCTCTGACTCCAGCAACATTTAGTGTTTCCCTCCAAATTGTTCCTTCTCACTGATATAGGGAAGGGGTGAAAGATAAACAATAAGTTTGTTAATTCTAAATTAAGAGATGAATGAAACTGAATACTGAGTTATTCCAGAAGGAAATGCATTACTATGTCACTTTCTTTTCAGTTCCACAAATGATCCATGTAGGTTTTATTTTTTAAAAAGACATTTCTCATCTGAGTTATTTTTAAAAAGGTAAAAGGAGCTGGAAGTCTGACCAGATAAAATGGGGGATTAGTGTCTACTATTAAGGAAAGATTTATTGGTTTTTCCAAATTTAAGCCACTCACTGACCTTCCTTCTCTTTCTTTTCTTGGTTTTCTTCAGCTGCAGTCTTGTCAGCTCTGAAGAAAATTCTTGCACTGCTCAGTGAGAAATAGAGCAACTCAAACTCCTGTGTAAATAAAAAAACTTTGAAATGAAAGCTGAAAATGCTGCTTATAAGCAAAATATCCAAATCATACTTAATGTCTCTTTTTTATTTCTAAAAAGCTCTAGTAGAAATCATAAACAAGAAACTGAAATAAATAACCCATCCACTGTTAAGATGAGTCAAATGGCTTCCAAATACCATTCATTTTAAAATATATTCTAATTACCTCTATTCATCTCACATATTAAAATGGAGGTTTTCATATGATTTATGTTTTTTTCAGGTATCAAAAGGTCAAAGCAGATTTAACTATTACTCTTGTCTAACCTGTAGATAGACATCCAGTCGCTTCTGGGTGAGGTTCATGGTTTGTAGCAGTTTTTCATCTTGACTAGCTGACTGCACATTCTGTTGTTTGGCAACTGCTCTTATCTCCTTCAGATACTTCTCTCTAACAGACTGGAACCAGTGAAGTGAGTCAAATTCCCGGTACTGATCCAAAAGCTTTAGAATGTAAGCCACACCTGCAGCCATGAGCAAGACCAAAGCAAAAAATAATGAGTATAGAAGTTGTGTTCCACTCTATCAATAACTACTACTAACATTAAGCTAACCATTTTGAATTAATTCTCTTTTAAACTACATTTTATAGCATAAGTGAATAATTCTAGAAATGAGGCTTAATTCCTCCTTTAAAAATGTGCAAGTATAAAAAATGAAAAGCAGCCGAAACCGGTTTAGCATCAGTCTGTGGACTGAAAGGTCCCGGGTTCGATTCCGGTCAAGGGCATGTATGTTGGCTGCGGGCACATCCCCAGTAGGAGGTGTGCAGGAGGCGGCTGGTCGATGTTTCTCTCTCATCGATGTTTCTGGCTCTCGCTCTTCTTCTCTGTAAAAAATCAATAAAATATATTAAAAAAAAAAATGAAAAGCAGGTCAAGCAAGAAGAAAAAATAAATGAGATGGCCATGAAAATCATTTGGAGACAACATATGGCTGTAGGGATGGGAAAGTTCCACTGCTAACTAGACCATGAAGGAAACCACTGGAAAACCAGGAAAACTAAACACAAGATGCTAAAACTGTAAATAAAGCCTAACTGTTAGTCCAACTACACTAAGTGATTAGCAATACTAAGGGAGCATGAATGACAAACTACGAAAAACAAGTATCAAGCAGCTAAAAAAATAAACCATAAATACTGCTCATGAAAAACAAATTTACAAAGAAAACACAGATCTATTCTCTAGCAAATCCATCTTAGGAGAACATAAAACAAGGGGAAAATAACTCCATTAAACTTACCCATGGCAAAACCATCATCAGTAAAAGCAGCTCCAATTTTATTTTTTTTATTCAATTTCTCCTTGCAGCTAATGGAATGCTCTACAAAGTTGAGGGTCTAAAACAATATGACAACATATTAGAAAAACAACTGTGCTAAAATATCTTCAGAACTCAGTTACCAAAACAAAGATTTCAAAAAGTGTAAATAGGGTCTCTTCTAGATTTGAAACATTTGCCTCTTGGAGAGGTCACAATCTGTGCAAGCATTTTTTCTAAGTTCTTTAACCGAGAGCCCTCCCCCTCAATCACTGCCTCCCCAAGCACAGTGCCGTTAGAGTCACCATACAATATCATGCAGATTTCACACATGAGGAATCTGAGGCTTGAGAGGTTCAGTAACTGGTTGTATTGATACTCTAAGTGAAAGTTGGGTTCAGAAAATTAGGCCTGCCTTACTTCAAAGCGTAAAGTGCTCATAACCATGGCGGTTCTTACTTCTGCCCACCCAATTCGTTCCAAAATACCATTATCATATTCTTACGTAAAAAGGATGATAAAGAACATTATAAACTGAAGTACCAAAAGATAGATATAGAGACAGTAAAGCAACAAGCAGATTGTCAAATTACAGCGGGGAGGTTAAGGGAGATCTGGGGGAGATAAAATACCATTATCATATTCTTACGTAAAAAGGATGATAAAGAACATTATAAACTGAAGTACCAAAAGATAGATATAGAGACAGTAAAGCAACAAGCAGATTGTCAAATTACAGCGGGGAGGTTAAGGGAGATCTGGGGGAGATAAGAGATCAACCGAAAGACTTATATACACGCATATAAGTACAACCAATGGACACAAAACTCTGGGGAGGGAGGACATGTATGGTAGGGGGGAGGGGCAATGGTATATGTACAAAGATAATAATTTAATTTTAAAAAATTAAAAAAATAAAAATAAAAAGGATTAGTAGTCATTTGGGTAAACGAATGCCTAAAAGAGCACTTCCCTAAAAATTCAGCTCTAATCCCTCTCTAATCTTATCATTTATTCAACAAAGATTTGCTGATGCTTACTATATTAAGCAATTACGATTACAAAATGAATACCATCAATAAGTTCATGCTCTCTAGCAGCGCTCTCAGCAGTGGCAGACACGCTATGTATCGTGTATTGCCCAATACCGTGAGCCCCTAGATCACAAAACCAATGAGAGCCCTTGAAATGGAGCCAGTAAAACTGAGGAACTGGACTTTTTATTTGATGAAATTCTAATTAGTTTAATTGGTTTAAGTAGCCACTTATTTCTACCTACATATAGTAGCACAGCTCTAAAAGGATAGAGACCTGTTTAAAATTATGATACAGTGTGATAAGTACTGTAATAGCTTAGGCTGGAAACAAAGAATCAAGTTTCACTTTTATTGCTTATAAAACTTAGTTGGTAATTAACTACATATTTGTGAAAACTTTATCAACTGTTAATTTAGCGATCTTATTTATGTTTGTCTTTTTTTCTGGAATGGATCATAAACTCAAGCACAGGGGAGTGCTCTTAATCCACCTGGTTTTCTCCATCACTAACTTAATTCTGACAGCTGCCCTGAAAACTCCACTCTTCCCCAGACTCACAATGATTCCCCACTACTGTTTTCTACGTACAGCTGGAGTATACTGCCTGCAAATTTAAAAAAAAATAATGGTTTGAACTCATTCTAAGGTAATTTACACTGTTATCAAAGTATAACTAAGACAGGCTCCTCCAGTTTGACACTAACGTAAGTTGGAAAGATAACTCTTATCAGGTAAATATGTATATTTTTGCTATATGATAATTATTGTGATAAAACAATAATAAATGTATAAAAGAAACAGAAAATTCATTAAGAAAAAAAGCTGTCAATAGACCATCAGCTACTTTCAATGGCTTTGACATGCAAGAAGATATGTGTAATTCAGGCAGCAATATAAAAGTCATTCCTCTTAAAGTTAATCAAAAGCTACTAGTACATCTGCTTAGTGATATTTAGATTATAGATCTATTCATTTTAAAAGCAGCTTGATATAGAAACCTTTAGGGAAAAATAACACCACTAATATATACTTCTCTAATTTAATTCCATTTTCCCCACTGTAACAATTGCTTTTATAATCCAATTCTGGGTAACTTGAGCTCGTTTAGATGGAAACTATAGAATTAGAGCAGAACACACTATATGCCAGAGGTCACCAACTGGTGATCCACTGACCACTTGGTGGTCCGTGAGGTTCAAAAGGTTGGCGACCACTGCTATATACTATAAGGAAGCACTAAAATTTGTCTAGATGTTAGTATTTACTACTGAATAGTGAGGAGCTGTCCTCTAACACAATGCTTTAAAGAGATGTGGTGGAGCCCAGCTTGTGTGGCTCAGCAGTTGAACGTGGACCCATGAACCAGGAGGTCCAGTCAGAGCACATGCCCCAGTTGCAGGCTAGAACCCCAGTAGGGGACTGTTTCTATCCCTCTCTCTCTCTTCCTTCCTCTCTCTAAAATCAATTAAAAACATTTTTAAGAGAGGTGTTAAGACATAACTTCATGCTGTAACATAATGTGATTAAAGTTAGTTTTTTATTTCTTCTTCAGACAAGGAGCCCTGTAGAACTCCATTAATCACTTAAAATCCTTATGTGATATAATTCAGCCCCAAAATGATATATATATGTAATGGTATACACTCAAGTAATTTAAATCACACTAGATTTCTCTAGCAGTTATATATATATAACTCAACACATGAGCTGCTGAGCTGCAGTGACTTGGCAGCTGTGGTTCTCAGGTAACACACCCGAAACCAGAATTCTGGGTTGTATCACCTGAAAACCCCTCACAATCCAGAACCTCTCAGGGGATGTTAGAGAACATGTTTTGGCCCGATCCCCGCAGGCCAGGCCAAGGGACCTCACTGGTGCATGAATCCATGCACCGGGCCTCTAGTTAACAAATAAGAATCTATCTTAACTATAAATAAATCTCATTCTGCATAGCTAGTAAGTAAAAATTCTGGCCACATTCACTGTAATCACATTTAGTTTTATCTACAACCAGAAAGACAATAGTAATACAGTCTGTGTGAATTCTCTGCTGCAAAGATATTAGATCCACTTATTAACATTTTTAAAAATTCATTTTGAATGCTAAAAATACTCACCAGGGGGGGAACAATGATATAGAAATTTCGGAGATGTATATTCTTTGGCCTTCGAAATTCTGGTGCAAAAACATCTACAAGCATTTTGAAATACTCTGTGCCTTCAGCAGAATTTCGTGTGTGATCACTAAGGACTGAATCCAAATGCCTAAAATGCAAAAAAGTATTTACTTGGTTCCTTTCTCAAAAAAAGGTGTGACTTTTTTTTTTTTTTTTTTTTTTTTTTTTTAAATATATTTTATTGATTTTGTACAGAGAGGAATGGAGAGAGATAGAGAGTCAGAAACATCGATGAGAGAGAGTCATCGATCAGCTGCCTCTTGCACACCCCCTACTGGGGATATGCCCGCAACCAGGGTACATGCCCTTGACCGGAATCGAACCCGGGACCTTTCAGTTCCCAAGCCGATGCTCTATCCATTGAGCCAAACCGGACCCGGCAAAAGGTGTGACTTTTTAACTCCATCTCTCATCACCTTAAATAAGAGCATATAAAAGTAGAAAACATTATAAGACAATTTCTAAGTAAATTTTCTTAAAGGAGTTCAGAACGAACTCATTTTCTCACTGACAGAAGCTGATCAGTATTACTTAATTAAACTTAGTCCCTAAAATAGAATATGTAGGGCATCTTGCACTTAAAATATTTTGAGTTTTTTATTCCTTCTTCAGACAAGGAGCCCTGTAGAACTCCATTTCATTTCAATAGAATGCTCTTCATCTTAAATCCTTTCACTATTGTTTCTTCTCTCAATTTACCTCAACTGAAATCTTGTTTTTTTTTTTTCAAGGACTTAGAATCAATCCCTTTCAACCTTCAGAAACAGCAGCTGTTTTTCTCCTGCATCCCTCATGTATAGCTACTACCACTTTCAAATTATTATTCCCCCCAGCACTAGCAGGTAGAAGTCTCCTGAGACTCACATAATCCAACTACAGTATACCCAACTACCTAACTACTTCCTCCTATAAGCAGGCATCTTTACTAACCTTTTAACCACTACCCTACATTTATCTTGGACTCTGAAACCTACAGTTCCCCTCATGATTCTGGAAGATTCACTCCCCATTCAGATCATCGATTCATCATTACAACCCCACAAAACTTAACTTCACCTGCCATGAACTTTCCTTCACTTAATGTTAGTCATCCATTCCTTTGCACAGATCTGGAGATCTTAAAAGACAATATCCCACTCTGCCCTCAATGAACTGCTTCAAAATATTTTTTAAAGGTCATCAATTTTGAAAAGAATAACATCACTTAGTAAGAGGTAAAAATGGTCTGATTTTCTCTGATATACAAGCCACAAACTTTTAGTTATTTTAGGGCATGTGATTTCAAATAGCTTGTTATCTGCTCTTGGCTTCTTTAATTTGGCGAGAAGTAAGCTATCTAGCAGGATATTTCAGAGCAAATCTTCTGTATGTGTTGGGATCTTATTCTCATTAAAATGCACATATGCATTTTCAAGCATATTTTCTATTTTTATTTTTTAAAAATTAAGCCTATCAAAAAGTTAAAGTATAGTATAATGGGCACTAGTATACCTTTCACTAGTTCACCATTTAACATTCTGTCAACATTTGTTTTCTTTCATCATGAAATATTTAGAATGCAGACCTCATGTCACTTAGCCTACAAACACTTTCATGTGAATCTATTAAGATATAAGACATTTCCCTACAAAGCCATATTATACCCAAAAATAAAATAAATATATAATACATGTACAAATTTCCCCAATTCCTCCTCAAATCTTCTTCCTTTATCACTATTTTTTTTTCCTTATCTATGATATGATTAAAGATCATCCACTGCATTTGGTCATTAGGTCTCTTTAGTCTCCCAACCTAGAATAGTCTTCTTGTCTTTTTTGTCTTTCATGACATGTGAAATTTGAGTCAAGCCTAGGTGTCTGGTAGAATGCCCAACATTCTGGATGACTCCAATGGTTTCCTCAGAATACATTCAAAATAAGCATTTCTGGCAAGAATACAACATAGGTTCTTGCTACAAGTATTACATTTGCAGCAAGATGCCACATAATGTCAGTATGTACTGTTATTGTTGATGCTAAGTTTGATCTTCTCTTGATGAATGTGAAATATAGCAATCTCTCCACTGTAAAGATAATTTTCCTCTTTGTTATTAATAAGCAATTTATAGGATAGTTTTTTGAAGAAATACTCTAGTCTCCAAAAAATATTTTAGAATTCACTGATGGTTTTTTGTCTGCTTTCAAGTGTTACAGTAGTGATGGCAAAATCTTCCCCTAAATTTCCTCAACCCTTCTTTATTAGTTAGCATTCTTCTGTAAAAAGGAACTTTCCCTCTGCTCCAACCTTTATTATTTCTATGACTCAGGGTTTCTATTTTTCATTCAATGTGTTAATGTATTTTATTCAATATATTACAATAGATTTTTATCATTATTCTTTCTGAAATTCAAATTGTCTCCATCTTGCCTTTTCATGCCTGACTCAATAAACTGTTATAATCCTATATACTATAAAGCTAATATGCAAATAGACCAAATAGCCAATCCATGATTATAATCACTGATGTTTTTCTCTCTCCCCCTCTCCCTTCCTTTCTGAAATCAATAAAGGGTGTGTGCGTGTGTGTGCGTGTGTGTGCGTGTGTGTGTGTGTGTGTGCATATATATATATATATATATATATATCCTATATAATAAAAGGCTAATATGCAAATTGACCAAATGGCAGGACAACCGGTCACTATGACACGCAATGACTAGGGGACAGACGCTCAATGCAGAAGCTGCCCACTGGTGATTACTGCACTTCCACAGGGGGAGCACCGCTCAGCCAGAAGCCAGGCTCATGGCTGGCAAGTGCAGCAGTGGTAGCAGGAGCCTCTCCCATCTCGGCAGCAGTACTAAGGATGTCTGACTACTGGCTCCAAGGGGAGCGGGCCTAAACCATCAATTGGACATCCCCCAAGGACTCCCAGACTGCGAGAGGGCACAGGCCCGGCTGAGGGGACTCCCCTCCCAGTGCACAAATCTCATGCACCAGGCCTCTAGTTATTAATAACAAAGCTTAGTTTTCTAAAGTATTTCTCAGTTCTGCATTCCCATCTCTCAAGTTTTAAGTTATGTTCCAAAATCACAACTGACTCAAGTCTATAGATCTGCAAAGTCCAATAAGACAGCCATTAGCTATTTATTTACTTTTTAGTATATTTTTATTGTATTTAGAGGGGAAGAGAAAGGGAGAGAAAGGAAGGGAGAGGAAAAGAGAGAAACACCGATGGTGAGAGAGAATCACTGATAACTGCCTTCTGCATGCCACCAGTGGGGATGGAGCCTACAACTGGGCTTGTGCCCTGACATGATCTGCTGGTTCATAGGTTGAAGCTCAACCACTGAGCCACACCAACACCAGCAGGACCCATTAGCTATTTAAATGTAAATGAAATAAAATTTAGAATTCAGTTCCCCAGTCCTGAATTATCTACATGACTCAAAATAGCCCTACTTCAAGTGTTCAAAAGTCTTAAGTTTCACAGCTAACATACTGGACAGTGCCAGTCTAGGTTACAGGAAATGAAGGACTGGTATTCTACAACAGTATAAGCAAATAAAAATACAAAAAAGTAAAAAGAAACAGGTAAAATTAATTTTATTAACCAGCTATTTGACATTTATTTCATACTTTACACTTTGGCACATTTCCATTTGGACTAGCTACATTTCAGGTGTTCAACTATAGCTAGTGGCTACTATATTAAATAGTATGTTCTAGAACAGCTGTAGCCAAACGGTGGTCCATGGATCTCTGGTGATCTGTGAGGTCCGAAAGGTTGGAGATCACTGGTTTAAGGAAAACTTTGGAGCAGCGGTCGCCAACCAGTGGTCCGGAGACCACTGGTGATCCGTGAGGTCTGAAAGGTTGGTGACCGCTGTTCTATAAGATTCCTTTTTATTAAAGTTGGAAAGGTCTCAGAATATTGTAGTCCTAATAACATTATATAAACTGAGACCATAACTTATACAATAAAAAGTTACATGTTTATATATTAACCTCTAGTCTTTCTTCTTAAGTTTTATATAAACATATACTTTATAAATCTCCAAATATAGATTATTCCAAAATAAGATTACCTTGCTGCTTTTATTGTTTCTTCTGCAAGACCTTCTTCTTTTACTAATTCTTCAAAATTTATAATATCTTCAAGATCAGGCACAAATCTACGTAAGAATTTAGGAAAGACTTTATGAAGGCAAGATAAACAGGTACAATTAAAACATACAATAGTACTATGGGAATCTAAATTTTTCACTAGCCAGTTTGGCTCAGTGGAGAGTGTGTCGGCCTGTAAACCGAAAGGTCCCAGGTTCGATTCTGGTCAAGGGCACATGTCTGGGTTGTGGGCTCAATCCCCAGTGGGTGATTTGCAGGAGGCAGCCAATCCATGATTCATGGATGTTTCCATCTCTCTCTCCCTCTTCCTTCCTCTCTGAAATTAATAAAAATATATTTTAAAAAAATTTTTTCAACTACATATTTGAAAAGAACTTTGCATTTCAATTATATTACGAATTTGTGCATCAGTGGGATCCCTCTGCCTGGCCTGGAGGATCGGGTCAAAACCAGCTTTCCAACATCCCCTGATGGGTCCTGGGTTGCGAGAGGGTGCAGGCCAGGCCAAGGGATCCCACCAATGCAAGATCGAGGCCAAGGAGAGATACGGGAAGTTGGCCAGCCGGGAGGGACCATCGGAGGGTTCCAGTCCATCTCGTTCAATCCCCATCAGCCGGTTCCCACAGTAAGCTAACCTACAGGTCAGCTAACCTACCTAATGCCCACTGAGGATCAATGCACATCATAGCAACTGGTCAACCAGTTGACTTTCTGCCCCCTGGGTGGTCAGTGCACATCACAGCAAGCAGTTGGGCAGCATTAGCATATCATTAGCATATCGTGCTTTGATTGGTTGACCAGCAGACCCATAACTGGGCACTTAGCATATTAGGCTTTTATTATATAGGATAATCAAATTTTAATCCTTAAAATAATGTAATCTTTAGAGCCATTCATAAACTGTACTGATAAAATAAATTAACTATAAAAAATAAGTTAACTAGAACTTTAAGAGAAATAAAGATTTTCAAAAGTCTGCTGTAATCTTAAATTTTAAAACCTGTTAACCGAACGGGACCAATAAATACGTCAAACGTAAACAATATTGGGAACAGGTAGGACGTATGAATACGTCCTGGAAATATATGTTGCGCCCTGAGAGGGACGGTATATATTTTTTGTAATCTTTATAACTGTTTGTAAAATTTATAATTTTTTAATTCGATGTTTCCATTTTTTTGTTGGTATTCTTTTCTATTTGTTTGTAATTTTGTATTTTCCTTTGTGCTTTATATATAAATAAACGAAAATATATATATCATTTATTTTAATTAAGTATAAACAAAAATAATAATATGAAATTACGTCCTCCAGGCGTGACGTACTGACACGTCCTAGTGAAAGAGTACGGGCCCGTTACAGGTTGAGTCATTAAAAAGGGAACTCCCCGGTTAACAGGTTAAGAAGAAAAATATTGTAACTAGTAGAATAGTTTTCTTCCATTTTTTATATCAAATTACATCAATAAGAAAAAAAACCTGTACAATTTTAGAATAGATTTAAGTAACATGAAAATTTTAAATGGGATAAACAAGGAAAAGTGATGTTCTATCCATACCTAATGGCATTGCTGCTACAATGGAGGCCACCGGATCTTATCATTCGTACATAGCCCATGGCATTGCCTTAAAAATTGCACACACACAAAAAAAAATCAGATATCTATACAAATAACTCTGAACTCTATCCACCAGGAATATAGTTATATGTAGTAGTCTATTACAAGGTGTCCACTCCTTGATACCAAAAGATTCAGCCATATTTTGTTTCAGTTCTTGTTCCATCAAAATGAAACTTACATATTTGTACACTTAAAATATAAATATGCATAGTTATATACATCTATATTAAATCCTTTAAAAATAAATATAACTCATTTGATAAACTAAATGCTGTTTACATCAAGAAGTTTTTACTATAATTTCTTCACTCTCATATTAAGTCAGCCTAACAATTATTTCTGTACCAACAGTCTAATCATGCTTGAAAAACTTTTGATAATATTAGAAAGCTAAGCTCACTCACAAATTAAGTTATTTGTATCAAATATTTAATATATGAGATAGATTCTTGGATCTGTACTTTATTTCCCAACACTGTGATTATAACTTACCAATTTGGCTGATGAGTTGCCTGAACTGATCAAGGTAGCTTTGCCCTTCTGGGGTTATTCCAAGTTTTCTGATGCCTCGATTGAATTTTTCTGCCCTTTCAAATGGATACTAGAGAGATCATTTAAAGACTACCTTTAGTAATAAAGACCCCTAAAGTATAAAATGCCTACCAAATCAACCATGCCAATACCACTTTCCTCTCTAATTTTGTATTTCCATTGTGCTTAACAAATCACTCAAGTCTGATAAGAAATTTTATAGCACAAAATCTACCAATGTTCAAAGTCAGTATAAAATAATTTTTTTACATAAGCTAAGGGGAATAGTTATTAACGTCATCAAACTTAAATTTATCACCACCAATATTAGTCTCCCAACACCCAACTATTCTATCAAATAAATAAAGGAAACCAACTCCTTCCTAGAAACATTTGTTCAGAGATGTGTGACTGCATTTCTGTGGGCTGAATAGGTATTAGAGACTTAAATAAACACACTCTTCCCAAATAACACACATTGGCCAAGCTAAAATTTCTGATAGCTATCAGCAATAGGAAATTATTTTTCAAGTCTTAGGTGATTTGAAGATATAGGAAATGACTCATTTTTATTAATAACAAATGAAAACAATTCTTATACAATAATAGCATGGTTATTTCTTTGAATACTAGTAATTTCTATTCCAATAAAAAATGAAAGTTAATATAATTATTTGATAACTATAATCTATAATTTTATCATTTTACAAGAAAGCAGTATTTTTCTGCTCTGACATTGAAGAGAATTACAACTAGTATATAAGACAGTTGTAACTAAGTAATGCTTAAGAAGGGTAATTAAAATAGTTCTTGATGTGGCAAATCAAATGTATGACCCAACTAAGGCTATTGATTCTCTATCCAAGTGGCTATGTGGCTCTGTACTGTTACCACTTACAATTCTTTACTTCACTGAAAAAACTCAGCCTGGAGGATAAAGAGAAAACAGCATCCTTATAAATTGCTAGAGGCCTGGTGCACGAAATTCATGGTGGTAGGGTCCCTAGGCCTGGCCGATGATCAGGGCCAATCAGGGCCTTCCAGCTGCTGACTGCCGCCCCCTGATGGTCAGTGCACGCCATAGCGAGCAATAGAACTCCCAGGCTCCTGGTTGAACTCCCATGGGGGCTTTGCACATGGGCCTTTTATAGCTATAGATAGGTTGGGATGTCAATTAGTATAGTATGTTTCCAAATATTAAATACACATATTCTTTGCCATAAAAGTTTCTCTTCAAGAAATATGTCTTACAGATAAGGATGCTACCTATAGCACTATTTGTAACACTGAAAAATGATTAAAAACAAAACACAAAATATTCATTAGTGGGAAAAAGTTTAATAAGTTTCGATATACATCTTTACTATCAACTCTTAAAAAGAATGTTGTAGATTTATATGCATCGACATGTAATAAGCACACTGTAAAACAGTATGTATAGAATTACTCCATTTTTGTTAACCATTTGCTATACACACAAACAGTTGAACTTAACTGCCTTAAAAAGATTATGTAAAATACCTTATGATCATTTTGGTCCTTGATTTCCCTGAAAAATCGAATGTCTTTAATCAATCTGGATTTGATATGTTCATCATACATAAACTGGCTAAATATATAGAACTTCTTTTTCAAAAACTGGTATGTGAAATTAACCTATAAAATTGGAAAAATTAATATAAAAATTAATTTAAAATCAATATTACTGAATCACAATTATTTATATCAAAGTCTAAAATTTATAAAGTCTAATTTACATTGGACCTGAAATATTTAAACAAAAAATTTTATTCCCTAACTTTATAGAGCTTCCTTTGAATTCCCCTTAAATATGTTTACTACAAAAGGAAAAGAAATGGAAAATACTTTCATAATAGAACTAAGAGCTTTAGAAAGAATCACAGTATCAGGTTCAATACTCTTGTTTTAAAGTAACACACCAGTCAGAAGTTTCTATTTCTCCATTTATAAGATTACTTATTACTAACATTCATATCTAAAATGATACTAAAGACAGTAAACATGCAATTATTTATCATTCTGAGCACTTCTTACATGCAAGTTATGTAAGACACAGTTCTCATCACGAAGTTTATAGTCTAACAGGAGTGACAGACATTTTAAACAAGTATACGTTAAAGAAATTATTAAACCTCAACTGCAATAATTTCTAAACTAAGAAGGGTAGGTACTGTGAGAATGAGTAACAAAAGGCCTCAACTAAAACCCTGAAAAATTAAAATGTGAGCTGAGATTAAAGGCAAAATAACATAAATAATTCTGAGCTACAGATGGAAGTCCTGTACTAAATTCCATCCCTACCACCTTCAAATACTAATTGTTTTTGCATATGTATGCCATTTTTAAGAGTCTTCATTTTCCCTTTTATAGAACTTTCTCAGAACTTCTCGTGGCTTAATTGCCTTTTCTCTTGATTGCATTAGTAGCAGCAATGTTAGTAGAAATAGTCTCTTCTTTATCTTCCTCACTCTTAATGCTGGGTAACTACCAGTATGCCAGCCTCTAATCTTAATTCTTCTTTGGTAACTATATCATTATCAGACACCATTAATGTGATTAACTGATTAACAACTATAGCCCCTGCCAGACTGTAATTACTAGGAGAGTAGCAAATGTCTGCTTTTGTCACCCTAATGCCTAGCACAGTGCCTTACATGTAAAATATGTGCATAATTGTATCTGTTATATAAACATTTGATAAAGAGTTTATTTATCCTTAACCTGTTAACCGGGGAGTTCCCTTTTTAATTACGCAACGTACAATGGGCGCATACTCTTTCACTAGGACGTGTCAGTACGTCACGCCCAGGGGACGTAATTTTATATTATTATTATTTTTATTTATACTTAATTAAAATAAATGAAATATATATATTTTTTATTTATATATAAAGCACAAAGGAAAATACAAAATTACAAACAAATAGAAAAAAATACCAACAAAAAAATGGAAACATCGAATTAAAAAATTATAGCCGAAACTGGTTTGGCTCAGTGGATAGAGCGTCAGCCTACGGACTGAAAGGTTCCGGTTCGATTCCAGTCAGAGGCATGTACCTTGGTTGAGGGTGCATCCCCAGTAGGGAGTGTGCAAGAGGCAGCTGATTGATGATTCTCTCTCATCGATGTTTCTAACTCTCTATCCCTCTCTCTTCCTCTCTGTAAAATATCAATAAAATATAAAAAATTATAAATTTTACAAACAATTATAAAGATTACAAAAAATATATACTATCCCTCTCAGGGCGCAACATATATTTCAAGGACGTATTCATATGACCTACCAGTTCCCAATAGTGTTTATGTTTGACATATTTATAAGTCCCGCTCGATTAACAGGTTAAACATTCAGATATGACCCTTACATGGATGAGTCCCTTATTTTAAATTTGAAACTCTGACTTTCTGGCTCATTTCCATACTGGTACACCACTAACATAGAGCTCCAATTGTATCATTTACCAACTAAATACTTCAATGGCTCCCCCACTATAGACTACAAAGGTCCCTATATAATTTTCTAGTTACATAACTTCTATCCCCTTATTCCCAAATATGTTTATAACATTTTACTACTGAAGCATTCACATTCTTTTTTCCTCAAAAAGAAATAAATATGACCTGAAAAGCAGGCAAATTAAAAGGCTTCTCTTCTTCCACAGAAGGAAAAACAGCATACAAGTTCAAGTGATTTCTTCAAGTGACTGATGCCCATTTCGAAGATTCAAAATACTCTGAGTAAATTACTATTCTTATGGATATCAAATAATTAGTAAGCGCCCCCTCCCAAAAAAAATACAACAGCATGAATGATACTGTAATCAATGATTCCCTTTCCAAAGCAACTTTGAGAAAATATCAGACTATCCACACAGACATATAAATTTATGCTGATGCTCTCAAATCTCTATTGCTTTTATGATGACCCTGAAATGGTAACATATTATAAAGTGCATTTTGTGTCACAGAGCTTCTATCATATCCAACACAATTTTAGTGCCATATATTTTAATTATACCAACCAGAAAAATGGAAATCCCAATATAATATAAATAGGTGGCAGTGTATACTGACCAGAATATTCTATGAAAAAACTATTTTCCAAAATAAGAAATTAAACAGTGGTCTATTACCCACCCAACCCCCCAAAAAGATTCTTACTGTTGTATTCATGATTCCCGTGCCATGTGTTCGAATTGAATTAGCAATATGCCGAATATTAATAGTGTTCAAATGTTTGTTATTGCTTGTTCGTTCAATAAAAATCTGCAATGAAACAAATTTATGCTAAATAACAACACAATACATAGCAATCCCTGATCAGTTATCAAAAAAATTTCAGAATCTATTTCATTAAATTTAATTGGAAACTTATTCAAGAAGATAATACAATCAAAGCAAAGGAATAAGCAAGATGATCTCTAAAAAATTATTTTTTGCTTTATTTGACCAATTTTAACAATTGAGAATTCTTTACCCTTCAGCCTTTCTATTGTATATCCATACACATTAAAAAAAAAAAAAATTCTATGACCCACTCACCTGATTGTTGAGATTATAGAGGTATCGAGACACAAATATATGAATGTTTCTCATAATTTCTAAAACATCCAGGCCCTGCAAAACAATCCACAAAGAAGCTCTATTATTATTAAGATAATAATACTTGTATTACTAGAGTGACTTACTATTTATATTCATTTCCCAATATATATTATATATATACACTATATATATACTTGTGCAAGGGGCTCAGCCCTCGCAGCAGTGGAGGCTTGCCTCGGCCTTTGCAGCCCTGGCTTCATCCAGAAGGTCATCCAGAAAGACATCCGAACAGTTAGTCCACTGTTCAGCCATTCGATTGATATACATATTATGCTTTTATTATTATAGATATTTTAATCATCACCCCAGGATTTTTTTTTTTAAAGAGGAAAGAGAGAGAGACAAAGAAAGAGAGAAACAGATGTGAGAGAGAAAAATTGATCAGTAGCTTCTTGTACGCACCCAAACAGGGATCAAACCCACAACCTGGGTATGTGTCCGGACTGGAAATCAAACCCATGACCTTTCAGTCTATGAGACAACACTCCAACCAACTGAGCCACACCAGCAGGGCTCCAATATCTTTTAATTATTTTAAAAAACAACTATGCAAAAGTATGAGCAAAGATTAAAAGAGCCAATAATTACATCTCGATTCCAATAATTACAGGCTGTTGTAGTTCCTTGTGATTAAGCTCCTATCCTAGTGGTCGGCAAACTCATTAGTCATGTACATGTACACTCAGGACTATCTCCTGGCAGAAACCTGGCTGGTTATTATCTTATCCCTTTTAGACACACAGAATCAGGTAAGTTTAAATATTCCAAGATCCATGACTCACAATTTCCCCACAATTCTTGAGAATATTTCTGTCTCCCCAGGGATCTCCTTTTTTTTTTTTTACAAAATAAACTCATGACCAGATTCTAAAAGGTAGTTAGGACATGTGATATTTATAAAATATGTACTACTTTTCAGATACTGTACAAGGTTCTTTATATATAATTCTCAAAAAAATAAGGAATTATTCTAAATTCCACACCTGACTAAAATGGAAGCCAAGGGAATTCATCAAGGTCAAATAGCTTGGAAAAGGCAGAAGCCAGGGATTTTAGAAAGTCTAGTTCCAAATCCTTATGCTTCCTTTAATTACACTAGCCCAGTAGTCGGCAAACTACGGCAAACTAATGAGTTTGCCGACCACTGACCTATATTCTCGATTCCAATAATTACAGGCTGTTGTAGTTCCTTGTGATTAAGCTCCTATCCTAGTGGTCGGCAAACTCATTAGTCAATAGAGTGGCAAACCTCAGCTCTCCAGCCACAGTTTGCTAATCACTGCACTAGGTCACCTTTAATGAACCATTCGTTAAGAACGATTAAGAAACCTCCAGTCTCAGTTACTGCTCTAACACCTGATGGTATCTCATAAATTGTTTTAAGCCTTTCTAATTAGGGCTCAAAATAGCCCTCTGATAAAGTTTTCATTATAGCTTTCCTCATGTTTTAAGTTAAAACTGTGTTTCTGCATTCTTTTTCTGCTTGTTTGCTCATTCCTTCTCCCACTAGGCTGTAAGTACATGAGCTGAGACTACTTCTATTTATTTTTTTATCCCTAAACACAATTCAGTGCCAGCATGTTTTCAGTAAATATTAAACATAAATAAATGAATGAAAAGACATACCTACTAATTCCAGAAGTGGTTCCTATATGTAGTGGGATGAAGGAAAAATTATGATCCTTAAATTTTGGAATAAATGTTTTTGGTACAGCCGAAACAGGTTTGGCTCAATGGTTAGAGCATCGGCTTGGGGACTGAGAGGTCCCAGGTTCAATTCCGGTCGGGGGCATGTACCTTGGTTGCGGGCATATCCCCGGTAAGGGGTGTGCAAGAGGCAGCTAATCCATGACTCTCTCTCATCGATGTTTCTAGCTTTCTTATCTCTCTCCCTTCCTCTCTGTACAAAATCAATAAAAATATATTTTTAAAAAAGTTTTTGGTACATATTATCTGGATTCTCTTAGAAAGAAATACATGTTAATTAACTGAAAGAAAACCTCATGAGATAACTGCCATATTGAAATTTGCTCACTGAATCAGTGAAGCTAAATGCTTTGGAGCACTCATTTTAAGAATAAATAAATTTATAATTGTACTAAAGGCCCAGTGCATGAAATTTGTGCAAGGTTAGGCCTTTGCAGCCCTGGCTGCTTCACGGGCCCCCCACTCACCCACACCTGCCTTCGCCTGGCGCTGCTCGCATCCGCTACCACCACCCCCCAACCCCCCACCCTCCCACCACACACACACACACACACACACACACACCGGTTCTCAGGAGCCAATCTATCGCCCATAGAGGGTGGCCTGGGCCTCCCTCTTTAGAGCTATCACAAAGCCCCCCCAATGGATTGCCCCGCTGGCCAGTGGCCTCTCTCTGGGATGATCGTGGGGCAATGGCGCCAACCCCCGACCAATCACATCACACCTGCCTTGGCTGGCCTTGCACCAGTGCGTGTCATAGCATGGTTGTCCAGACAGGCATTCTGCTGTTTGACCATTTGGTCAATTTTCATATTACACTTTTATTATAGATAAATTTAAGCATTTTTCCTAAGATATTAAAGTTTATATATTATATCTTGGTTTATAATCAGTTGTGTGTCCTTGACTAAACTTTTTATAATTCTGCAGAAATCACTTGGATATCCCAGTATGTTTCTGGAAAGCTATATCAAAACCTATATGAACATTTACTGTGCTTTACTTTATTGCACTTTCTACATACTGCATTTTTACAAACTAAATGTTTGTGGCAACCTGCTTGGTCAAGTAAGTCGACCAGTGCCATTTTCCAACAAGCTCAGATGATAGCTTATTATAGCAAAAAGTATTTTAAATTAAGGTATGTACATTGTTTTCTTAAGACATATGCTATTACACACTTAGATTACAGTACAGTGTACACATAACTTGTATATACATTAAGAAACCAAAAAATGTGTGTGACTTGCTTTCCTGGGATATTCACTTTTATTGCAATGGTCTAGAATCAAACCTGCATATCTCCAAAGAATACCTGTATTTCAAATGTTCACCAAAAGTTGAAGTGTAAACAGGAAGCCTATGGTAATTTCTCTCATAAAGCAAATATTTTCTTAAAAAATAAAGATGTAATAATAAAGTTAAAAAAAGACTTCTTAAAGAAATGTTATGCTACAATCAGACTCTGCTAGAAATACTTTATACCATACCTGTTCCAGAGTCTGACTAGGAAGATGTGCCTCTGTCATAACCAATCCATAGCGCTGAGTAGCTAAATTTCTCATTTCACTGTAAGTGGCCCAATCATGAAGAGCTACTGTTGTAAGATTGTAGAATGTCTTATCTAGGTAATGAGTTACATAAGCTAAAAGGAAAAACAAAAAAAGTATGTTTTTTTTTTCCCAAAAAAATTTTTAGATTCATGAAATGATAGAAAAGGAAGAGAAATGAAATTAAAAAAACAAAAACCTGTCTTTGAATATTAAATTTCCTCTTTTAAAATAAGGTGCTAGGAAAATAAAAGCACATAAATAAAAAGGAATTAAAGAACGGGCTAATACTAAAAAGGATATAAGATCCAAGTTTCATTTTTGTTATTTTTTTTTTTTACAGTGAGGGCAGAAAGATATAGAATATGACTTTCAGAAGGAAAGCAGAACACTCACCTCGAATGTCAATGAAACGATTGAAAAAGCGAATTGGATTCAGAGAGAAAAAAAGGGCCAGGTCTTTCATGCCAACTTTGAAAGGGTTTCGGTCATCCAGCTTTAAATGAGTATGCACAGAAAGTCGCAGATCCTTCTCTATTTCTTTGCACAACTTGTCCAGCAAGTGCTATTCACAAAATAATCAATATCTTAATTTTTCAAAATAATTCAATGATACTGTTTTGTCTATGCTTTCACCATTAGCATTTTATAATCAATGCAATGTTGAAAAATTTGTCGAACTCTATGGTAAAATACTATTTTTATTGGGAATGTGAAAACTACATTGCTCTCCATTTTAAACTAATTAGTTTTTTGCCCAGGAAGCAGTAAAACTCTAAGTTTTTATTTTCATTAATACTTTAACACCCTTGAAAAAAAATCAAAAGCTAATGCCAATGGCTTCATTACAAGAAACATGAATGTATACTATAAAGCATAAGATTTATGGGAACAAGCAACAACAAAAAAATCTTGAGAAAATGGAAAAGAAATATTTCTAAAGATTCCTTATAATAATTATTAAAAATCACAAAACACATTGAGCTAAAAGTAATGGGATTAATAATCTTTTCTGGTCTTCTATGGAGTTCTAAATACTGTCATGTCATATTTTATTTTCTAAATAATATTTAATAGAAGAAATTATGAAAAATTTCCCTAACTTTATCAAATCTGAATATGGTTTATATTGTGAAGTTTACTCATTTTTAATTACTCCTTCCAAATAAAAATATCAATAAATGGAACTTTAATTTTAAAGATAACAGTGTTTATAATACTTCATTCAAACAGGGAAGGATATACTATATTGCATTTGAATTATTTCTGCTACACAAATCTTTCAAATATATAATGTCCTCCTTTTATTTAATCAGTAGCTCTCCAAATTAATTTAATAAAATATTGACAGCTGTCTTAAGTGTATTATTAGTACCATTCAATATTCAAACCAATTTTGTATTTGCATTCTTCTAATAAACAGAAATTTAAATATAAATATACTATTTACTAAAGAAAATTTTCCAAATTTCTACTCTATATAAAAAATTAGAAAATAAAGACCAATTGAGCACAATAGTGATATTATAACTAAAAATGGTTTCTTTGTTCTAGAAAGTGATTTATAAATGATTTAAATATGTGAAAGCCTGCTTCAATCCAAAATGTTTTTCCAAACATTGCATTCCAAATACATAGTCTAAGTTTTTCAATCTCAAATATGATGTTACCTCATTTAAAATTTCCATAATTTCCTTGTCATAGCAATCCAGAAGTATTTCATAGGACTCTAAATGTCTTGAATGCATCATAGCAGGTACACAGTCCCGTAAAGCACTGAACATGTACTAAGAAGAAAATGAGAATGTGCATGAATTTATAAAAGCCAGGTCTCTAATCTAAATATCATATTACAAAAGTTAATTATCTATCTTGAAAGACAAAACCTCACTCTGAAGGCTAATTGCTTTCTCTTTTTATACATGACTGTCCTCCTTTCCTAAGCGAGTCAGCTTTTAGTCTCTAAAAGTATACAAAAAACTCATATCCACTTATTCTTTCCTATTTTGACCATTCAAATACATTTCTTTCCATACAGAAACACAAAGGTCTAAATAATTGTGACATAAACTAAAATTAAAAAAATGAGAATGATTAGGAATATGAGGGGAAGTGTTAAATATATTAAAATTAATTTACTAAGTATTATATGAAATTTAACTATAGCCTGTATAAATGCAATTGAATATGCACACCAATGTATAAAACAGCATTAACAGTTAATTTAAAAATGATTAAATCAACTGGTGTATTTTAAAACTAATTAGAATTAGAATAGTTTGTACAGTGATTAAAAAGTGATGGTTTATTCGTCATTATCCTGTACTTACATGTAATCTGGCTGCATCAACAGCATTTTCATATACGTCATCTAAATAAATTGGGAAGACAGCTCGATGCCAGTATAAAAAACAACAGTTGCACTGCGCTTGCACTCTACAATGTAAAGGGGTAATTAATGGTACCAAAATTGAAATACTCCCCCAAAACTAACTCCTTACTCGTTTTTGTGTCCCCTACATCACTTAACCCAAAGTTAGTACAGAAAAGCCACAAAATGTTTCAAATTGAACAAAGGTAAAAAATACTCTAATACTGGCAGTTTCAGAATTCTGCACACATGCTTTAGCTTTAAAGAATATGTGAAATACAATATAATTTTTAAATGGAAGATTTTAAAATACATTTTCAATGTCATCTTATGTCTACACTTAAAATACTTGAATCACATGCACCTTTTTACCTGTCTCAAAACTGAACAGCAAAGCCTTTTTAAAAACTGTGACCAAAAGAAAAACAGAAACTATAGTTATAGTTAATATGTCTACAATATTTGCAACTGACTAGTTCATACCTTATGGGGCAACAAAATGATCATTAAATATCTTATAAAGAAACCAATTCAGTATTTTTTCCTGCCAGAAGCCAGTTCCACATGTCATAATTGCAAGAGTTTCATTGAAAGATTAATGGAACTTGGGGACTCAACAAGGGCTGAGACACATATGTTATCACCAGTTGGGAATGGCCAAACCTGAAAAGGATGATTGCTTGCTGCCAAAGCTAAGAGCATCTTAATCTATTAGGTCTAGTAATAATTAATGTCGTTTTCTAATACTTTTTAAAATCGAATTTATTTAAACAATACAACAAAATTTAATCAACAATATAGTTGCCGTTGTTTTCTACTACTTGTGCCCAACACTCAGGAAGCATTTTAATCCCTCTGTTGTAAAATTCTTGTGATTTTGATGCAAAAAATTCGGTCAATGCATTTTTGAGGCATTCTTCATTATTAAATTTTTTTCCAAGAAGAAAGTTTTGCAGAGAACAAAACAAATGGTAATCGGAAGGGGCAATATCAGGAGAATATGCAGGTTGAGGGAGAACTTCCCATTCCAACTGGCGCAGTTTTTCAGCAGTGATTCTTGCAGTATGCGGTCGTGCGTTGTCGTGGTGAAGAATTACGCCCTTCCGATTAATCAGCGCGGGTTCTTTTTCTCTTAAAGCTTGGGCTAACCTTTCCAATTGGGCACTATACACTGCACTTGTAATGGTTTGGTTAGATGGTAAAAGTTCATAATGAAGAATTCCTTTAAAATTCCACCAAACACACATCACTTTTTTCGCATGCAAGTCAGGTTTTGACGTGGGCTGCGGAGCCTCATTTTTGTCCAACCATTGAGGCCGCCTTTTCAAATTAACATACAGCACCCATTTTTCATCTCCGGTAACAATTTGCTCTAAAAACGGCAAACTGTTTTGACGAGAGAGGAGTGAACTGCAAATTGTGACTCTTTGATTACGGTTGTTGTCGGTCAACTCATGAGGAACCCATTTTCCAAACTTTTGGACTTTGCCAAGTGCACGCAATTGATTGGAAATTGTTTTTTGTGAACAATTTAAAGTTGTCGCAAGCTCTTGTTGGGTAATTTGAGGATTTTGCACCAAAAGAGCTTGAAGAGCTTCTTGATCAAAACTGGACACACGGCCTTGACCACTCTTGTCATCTAACAAAAAATTTCCCTCGCAAAATTTCTCAAACCAACGCTGGCATTTTCTGGCGCTAACTGCATCTTGACCAAGAGCACTACAGATGTTTTTTGCAGCCTCACTTGCTTTTCTTCCTAATTGGAACTCGTAAAGCATGCAGTGCCGAATATGCTCTTCATCCGCCATCTTCTTAGCCCTAGTTTTGCAACAAAACCCAAACCAAACACAAACTTTTTCAAGCAAAACTTGTTAATTGCACTCCACACGTTCTGTAGATACCACGTGTTTGAAGGTTATGTCAATACAAGTCAACGCCAAGCAAGATTTTAAACGAATGTTTAAAAACGACATTAATTATTACTAGACCCATACATGTTATTGCCTCCTACTGGCCAAATACCTGAACAGCCGTAGGCTATTCCCCAAACTGACAATAAATTCTGTACCTAACCCTGGCCTTTGATGTGTATATTTCCACCTTGCCTTAGGACAAATTGTGTTAATAAAAAGCAAGGGGTCCTGAGATAAGGAGAACTTGGTTTCTTTAGCCAGGCTCCTCTGCACCCCCAAAATGCCTTTCAAAATTATGTTAGTCTCTGGACTCTTATTTATTTTATGCACAGCCCCTTCTCCAGGTTTCCTGAACCCTTTTAGATGCCAGATCAAGACCACCAGCGTTACTTACAGAGATGGAATGTTAAATGCCACTAACTACAAAAATTTCTGCTTCTCAGAACAAAAATATTGTTGTAAATATGAACATTAAATGGAAATTGTGCTGTAACCTTAATATGGTTGGGAATTAAAATTCAGAAGACTCCTTTTCCCTTACTCTTTAGTTAAAAACAAGCCTTCCCCAAATTAGTGACTGGCTACCAACAATGTAATTCAAATTCAGATCTCAAAGTAAAATTACAGAAGACTATTTGACATGGACCTCTAAGCCTCTCACAAACAGATGAAGCCTTATAAAAAAGCAACTATTTTAAACGTCCATTATAGGTACCCATCACAACAATCACAATGAGCATCAGGGTCCTCCAAATGCTCTCACAGCTACAACATGTGGTCTCCTGTGAGTTCTTCCAGGAGCTATACCCTTACTATAGGACAAAGCTAAGGAAATATAATCCCTGGTAACAGTCTAATTCTAGTTATGCTCAAGAAATTGCAAAGGGGAACTAATGGTCTATCTGGGTTACATTTCTCCTCTTGCTAAAAAGACAATTGATGTTTTCATTAGCCCCACCATTTTTTCTTTTAAGATTTTTATAATTGACTAGTAGCCCAGTGCACGAATTTGTGCACACTGAAAGGAAATTAGAAGAAACATTTTAATATTGCTGTTTGCCCTTTCTCTATAAGATGTGTCAACCAAATTCACAATTGGCAATGACAGATCAAAGCACACAGGTGTGATTGGAACTAGCGAGAGAGTCAACTTAGCCTTTTATAGATACAGAACAAATTTGCTTAATTAGACCTGCTTTCTGACTTAGCTAAATTTTTTCCAGCCCAGTGAAGCACCACAACTTCTCTTTCAGGTAATTGTCAGCAACACAATAGTAAATATCAACACAAAGCAGATTATTATTGTAGATCACGCAAGGAGAACAAAGAGTAAAATATTTCATTGCAGCAGCATTTGACCATATTCTGCACAGTGAGAAAACCTGAGGTCATTTTCAAGTCCATCATTTCCTACTTTTTTTCAGTCGGGTCAAGCTTCTAAGCTTTCTAAATCTCCATTTTTCAGCTAATAAAAAGAAAATAGGATTCTACCTAGTTTCCTATCTACCTACTCTAGGACTTTTTTGAGGATCAAATGAGATGAGGCTCGGAAAACTCTTCACAAAAGTTTGGTTATTGTGTAAAGTGTTTGCACCTGGCTATCAACCAAGTCCCATTCCTGGACTGAAGAAACTGCAAGGAGGCTAGTCATTGCTAGGAAAAGGAAGCAAAGCATTGCTTTATGATATCATTACCTGGACAGAGATAAGGACACTTAGCATATTAGCCTTTTATATATATATATATATATATATATATATATATATATAGAGAGAGAGAGAGAGAGAGAGAGAGAGAGAGAGAGAGAGAGACTGACTTTTTGAGAGAAAGAGAAAAATGGATGTGAGTGAGAAACGATCTGCTGCCTCCAGCATGCTCCCAGGCATGCGCCCTGACCAGGAATCAAACTGGCAATCTTTTGGTGCACAGGACGACACTCAACCAACCGAGCTACACAGGCCGGGGCATTAACCCCACCTTTTGAGTATCATTATAAATCCCTACTTACCTTTCTCTAAGTTCACTGATAAGATCCAGCTTTTTCAAGACTACTTGAAGTGGAAAGAGTTCTTCATCTTTAAATGTTTTCTACCAGGGAAGAGGAAAAAAGGCAGAGAAGTTGCAGTCAAAGTAAAAACAGGGTCAATGAGATGAAAACTATGAAATCTCAAAGCTCATTTTTATTACATAACTATTAGCAATACACTTACCAATTGTGTGCCAACACTGAGTGCCAAAGAAATAATAAGGCGTCTCTGCTTTGTGCTTGGTCCATTTAGAGTGTTTTCAGCCAAAACTAAAGCAGAGAGCACATCAAGACGCTGTTCGCTATATTTTTTGTCAGAAATTACTCTTTTCTTAAAGAGAAAAGAGGACATATTAGCTTTACTTCTAAGGCAATTAACAAAAGATTCAAAAGAAAATCTCCTCAATAATCTTTTCCATGATTCACTTTAAGAGAGCTTCAACAATACTTTCCCTGTTGAGCATCTTCTGACACTGTTGTGTGCTTATTACTTATTTAACATTATTGATTAGCACTGTTAAAGAGACAGCAAATCTGTATCAGACATACTTTAAGATTTCCATTGTTAATTTAATAAGGAAATATTTAATTTTTAAAAGATACATCATAATTTAAAACTACATACAATATCAATTTTTAATGTGTTAATTTATTACAAGTTCAGAGAAAGATAACCCTGAGCACTCTAGTAAAAAATCACAAAATACTGTGGAGTTAAACAAAAATGTTATGTTTGAAGGAATGGAGTAACAGGCTGAACCAGAAAAACACATAAAAAGCAACAGAAGAATAAACTAAATAGCTAATTAAGCTGAATATATAACAACTTTCATACCTTGGCCACAGAAATGGAATTTAGAGCCTGATGTTGAAGGTGCTGTGTTATATGTGAAACTGAATCAGCCACAACCATGCTTCTCCTGTAGAACATATGTTCTATGGCCTAAAAAAGACCAGAAGTAATCTTAAAAATTAACTTTAAAACTTTTAGGCAAAATTACAGAATATTTTTATTACCTCGGGCTAGGTAAAGAACTTACGAGATGCAAAAAGCACTACCATAAAGGGTAAGACTGATAAATTTAAGTATAATACAATTAAGATTTTCTGTTCATCAAAAACCACTATAAAGAAAATAAAAAGACAAGCCAAAGTATGAGAAAATATTTGCCAAACACAAGGGATTAGTAGTTAGAATATTAAAGACCCCAAGTGCATGAAATATTAAAGACATGTAATTCAATATAAAATGAACGAAAGACATGAACGATTTTTCACAAAAGAAACAGTTAATTAAATTTTGAAAAGATACTATCATTAATAATCAGGAAAAAACATTAAAATCATAATCAGTACCATTTATATACACTAATTTGCCAAAAATAAATATGCCTTATAATACCAATATTAGTCAGTTGGGGAGCAATGGGAAGTCTAATATATTGTGGGAAGTATATAAAGTGATATAACTACTTTGGAAAATAATTTGGCATCATCTTGAAAAGTTGATCAAGTACATAGCACAATCCACTCCTATGTAATACCTCAGAAAAACTCTGGCACAAGTAAATCAAAAAACATATACAAAAATGACAGCAACCCAAAAATTCATCCACAGGAAAACTACACAGCAATGGAAAGGTCAGTACTACAGCTATTCATCTCAGTATGGATAAGTTCAAATTTAAAACTTTGAGTAAAAAAAAAAAGTCATTAAATCTGTTTTTGTTCATCAGTTTATGTTCATCACTATATACCACAAATGAGTGAGATCATGTGATATTTATCTTTCTCTGACTAGCTTAGCATCAATCAGACCGTCAAATCTCAGAGGGAAGGTAGGGGAGGGTGGGGGAAGGGGGAGATATCAACCAAAGGACTTGTATGTATGCACATAAGCCTAACCAATGGATACAGACAACAGGGGGGTGAGGGCATGAGTAAGAGGGGGTGGGGGTAGGAAAAATGAGGATAAGGACACATATGTAATACCTTTGACTTGTCTTTTTTTTTTTTTTAATTTTTTCTTTAAAAAAGTCAAGTCAAAAAATACATGAAGAATTATTCCATTAATATAAACTTCAAAAACATATATTAACTGAACAATGAATGATATATAGATTCATCCTTATGTGGTAAACTAAAAAAACAAGGGAATGATAAGCATAAAATTTAGGACAATGGTTTCCTGAGGGGACAGGATAAGATGCAATCGGTTTAATTATGCTCATATACACTTCTGTATTTATACTTCTTAAAAATTAAATATAGCTGATAACATTTTCTTAGAGGGAAAAAAAACCTAAAAATCCAACAATCTCAAAAAAAATCTATTTCCTAAGCTAACCTAAAAGGCATTACTAGCAGAAATTTACTAGTGTCTCTTAACCTGTTAACCGGGGAGTTCCCTTTTTAATGATGCAACCTGTAACTGGCACGTACTCTTTCACTAGGACGTGTTAGTACGTCACGCCTGGAGAACGTAATTTCATATTATTTTTAATTTATATTTAATGAAAATAAATGAAATATATATAGTTTTTCGTTTATTTATATATATAAAGCACAAAGGAAAATACAAAATTACCAAAAAAAATAGAAAAGAATACCGACAAAAAAAAATTAACACGTCGAATTAAAAAATTATAAATTTTACAAACAATGATAAAGATTACAAAAAATAGCCGAAACCGGTTTGGCTCAGTGGATAGAGCGTCGGCCTTCGGACGTAAAGGTCCCGGGTTCGATTCCGGTCAATGGCCTGTACCATGGTTGCCGGCACATCCCCAGTGGGGGGTGTGCAAGAGGCAGCTGATCGATGATTCTCTCTCATCTCATCGATATTTCTAACTATCTCTCCCCTTTCCTTCCTCTCTGTAAAAAATCAATAAAATATTTTTTTTTTTTTTAAATTACAAAAAATATATACTGCCCCTCTCGGGGCACAACATATATTTCAAGAACGTATTCATATGTCCTACCCGTTCCCGATATTGTTTACGTTTGACGTATTTATAGGTCCCGCTCGGTTAACAGGTTAATTTCAAATTTTAAAAGAGGTTATGTAGACTCCTGCTTAAAGGGGCTTTTACTTTTAATTATATAGAGTAAGCTAAGAAATACTTTATCATATTTCCAGAAGTATACTCTGGTTCTAAATTTATTTGACCACTCCTATAAATAGACAACTATTCAATCACAAGATTACAGCACTTTCTCTAAATTACAAAATGAACAGCCACATCTTGGCTATCCTCGTGTGCATTTGAACACCACAAAATAATGGATAATGCTCCATGGGTATTATTTTTTTAACTCATACAACATGCTTAAACTTCCACAAATAAATCTTTACTAATACTTAGGCTACCTTTTCATTTTCCTTCTTTTCTGTCTCATTACATGTTAACTTTTAATACAGTTTCAATATACTGGCCATTCACAAAATGTTAATCATGAATTTCTTTCAATGGCTAGTTCCTTTATCTAACTGAGAGATAAGTATACTTTCCCATAACTTGTTATTCTTCATATAATCAGAATGTCAAATTTTAGAGAATCATCATAATTTAAGACTGAGGTCATTTCTAAATTATAATGGCAAAGTAAAATAATCTAAAACCTACCTTGAGAAGTTCAACAAGCCTGCATAATGCCTTAACTGAGGTTTTGGTCATTGGCTTTTGCATGGACATGTAGAGATTCATTGTGGTTTTAATAATATTACTAATACTGTATGCATATAAGAAGCCCTATAAAAATAAAACATTGATTATAATCACACAAAAATATTTCATTTCTTCACAATGTAATAATTATTCACTAATTTACCAGTAACTAGTATTTCTAAAGTTCATTTTTAAAGTCAACTCATGTGATTTCTAACTACTCTTCCCCACACAATGTTATACATTGTGGTTAAGTTTCAAGCAGCCCTTAAAAGATTTTTTAATCTATCACATGCCAGAAGTTTAGTACTGTTGACATTATAGTGTATAATCACAGTTAAAAGAATCCTTACATTAAAAAAAAAAAAAAATACCTTCAGAAAAATTCTTAGAATGTCAAGAAGATACCACTTCACCATACCTTATCTGCTACACAAGAAGATAAAGACTCCTATCTGATTTTTCACAATCTGGGTCTTATTCATTTCCCATTAGGAAATGGAACTGGTCATATCTATTGATTTATATCCTGAATTTGTGGTAACTTACGTATTTGGAATGTCCTACTATAAGACTGATGAATGTAAAAAATTAATTTCAGAGAACCATTATGCCTTAATGGTTTTAAAAAATAAACTATTTTTAAAAATTAAAAAAAAAAAAGACTTCTATCTGTCTAAAGCTTAAGACAAGAGCTGAGGACTCTCCAGAACTAAGAATTTCAAAATGTTCTCTGGCCAATAAAGAAATACAAATGTATTTCCCAGTTTGAAACCACTGCCCTTTCCTTTTCACCTGGGCCAATACCCACAATCCACCTGCCACCATGTTCCCTGCCTATGCTGGTGCCGATCAGAAATTTCTCTCCTCCCAGCCCAGTAAGAACAAACTCTTGCCTATCCTTCTATTCATGAAGGAAGCACATGGGTCTTTTGAGGCTTAGGAAAAAAAAAAAAAAAAAAAAAAAAAAAAGTGCTTATAAATCCAGGGAAACAGTAGGGCATAAGAAAATGGGACAAATATCATTTACATTTAGACCCAAAAAGGACACAGAAATAATAATGGAGACTCTTTGACATAAAGGACCAAAAAAGATACACTTACAGGTCAGAGATGAACCTAAACTAGGACGTGGCCAAGGAGCTTGGCTGAAGCTGCATGCCAGTGATTCTGAACCTCTGTCACCTGCCCTACCATATGTGAGAGATCAAGTACTCTCTCATCAGTAACAGTGGCTCACTAAAGGAGTGATTCTCAATGTGGGGTGGGGGCTTCACTGAACCAATAAATAGCTATGTGGTAAAAGGATGTGCTAAATTAAGAGAACCCCATATAATAAAGAAGTAATATGCAAATTAACCCTTACACCCTCACAAGATGGCTACCTACGACCAGGCCGGCAGAGGGGGTCAGTGAAGGATGGCAGAGGGGGTTAGTGAGGAACGACCAAACGACTGAACAGCAGGCTGCATGAGACAACCAGGCTGGCTGAGGGGTGCAGTTGGGAGTGACCAGGCCAGCAGGTGGGGGCAGTTGGGGACGACCAGGCTGGCAGGGGGGCTAGTAAGGGGTAACCAGGCCGGTGGGAGGAGGAAGACGTGAGGGGTGATCAGGCAGGCAGGCAATCAGGTGAGCAACAAGAAGCCAGCAGTCCAAGATTGTGAGAGGAATGTCCAACTGCCGATTTCAGCCTGATCCCTGGGGTTCAGGGCCTAAACTGGCAGTGGACATTTCCTGGTGGGTCCCAGATTAGAGAGGGTGCAGGCTGGGCTGAGGGGATCCCCCGCCCCATGCACGAATTTTGTGCATCAGGCCTCTAGTTAAGAAGTGAGAGGGTAACATCCTAAGAAAGTTGGCAATAAGACCAAAGCTCAGGGATTCATTCAGGAAAGAGCCATAACCTTTCCTTGTCAGCTATAAGACTATAACACCAGACTCTGCCCTAGAGCAACAGTGGAAAAGGTTAAAAGGCAGAAACAAGAAACAGCAAAAGCATAATTCTAAGGCACAGAGAAAAAGGAGGGGCTATCTTTTGGGGGGTAAACAAAATACAGAATTCTCATGAGCTGATATCACACCACTCCCAGATAGATGGTTAATAATTTGTGAAGGATCTATTCTATATATATCATATATATAGATATATATCTACCTACACACACACACACACACACACACACACACACACCCAGCAACCAGAACAGCAGAACGACCAGTGGCTATGATGTGCACTGTGGCAGCTAACCAGCCTGATCCAGGCCCTGATAGGGCCCCAGCACCCCAAATGGGGGTGGGGTTGGCCAGCCAACTGCTGAGTCCCTCCATCCCTTCACTGGCCTGGCCTGATGGGCCCCCATCAGGGTGGGCCAGCCAGACCCCACACAAATTCATGAAACTGGCCTCTAGTATATATATAAAGGATGTATAGTATTTTAAAAGTCTAAATGGGGAGGGAGATGTCTTGGGTCTGGTTTCTGTAAAACTCCAGGATAAACATTTTTTTAAAAACTTCTTGGAAGGTATTAAAGCTATCAAGAAAATAAGGAAATACAAGACCAAACTCTGGGAGAATAAAGTGAGATAAAATACGGAAATTATTTTAGTACTGCTAAAATCAATAAAAAGATAAATAGGAAACCCTCATATATTTAGAAATTAACAAATCTCTTTCCGAATAAGCCACAGATCAAAAAAGGAAATCACAGCTCTAGCCGGTTTGGCTCGGTAGATAGAGCACTGGCCCACAGATGGAAGGGTCCCGGGTTCAATTCCAGACAAGGGCATGTACCTATGGTTGCAGGCTTGATCCCGGCCCTGGTTGGGTCTCATGTGGGAAGCAACCAATTGATGTGTCTCTCTTTCTGTCTCTCCCCTCCCTCCAACTGTCTCTAAAAATCAATGGGAAAATATCTTCAGGTGAGTATTAACAACAAATCACAATAAAAAAAGTTGAAATATTTTGAACTAAAGGATAATGTAAACACATACACTGAATCATATATACAGCAAAAAAAAAAGTCACACTTTAAAGAAAATGCAAAGGTTGAAATGCATATATTAGAAAATCTAGATTAATAAATTACAAAAAATAAATTAGTTAAACAGATCAAATGTAACCTAATCTATTTCAATTAAAAAAAAAAACCACACACACACAAATGTATCCTATTCTTTCCAATTTTTTTGAAGTGTAACTTCTGTGCATTACATTAACAAATAAATGAGACCCAAAATATTCTAAGTAAAAGGATGCAGCTACCTGTATAAAAACATTACATCTACTGGTGAGGTCTTCAGCAAATTTATCCATTCTCTGCTCTTTAGATAAAATAGATTCCATTTTCATCATCCATGAGCTCACAAAGACGTAGTAAGACTGTACATCTCTAACAAAGGAAAATATTGGGGTTACTCAGCACAGAAAATAAAATTTACTTCCATTTCTTCATATTGGTTGTAATATTTCCTTACAGCAGCCATTTCATCTTTCTGGTTTTCAAAATACAGATTAATTCATTCATTCAATAAATGTTTATTGAATGCCTATACAAGCCTATCCTAAGAACAAAAATCAGCAATAAAGAAAATAGGCAAAAATCCCTATCCCCATGAAGCTTCCATTCTAAAAAGGTGCACTGTATAATAAAGAAATCAATAATTAAACTCTCTAAAAATGTCAAATGATATGTGCTATAGAAAATATACAACTGTGAAACAAGATAGGGTCTGGGATCACTGTATTTTAAATACAGTGATCAAAGAGGGTCCATTGAAAAGGTGATTTTAAGGAAGATTTAAAGATGAATGGGTAATCCATGCAAATTGGATTTATAAAAGAAAATTCTAGTGAAGTAACCAATGCAAAACATGTTAAAACAGGAAGTGTGTCTGGCATGTTCAAATAATGCCAAAGAAGTCAGTGGAGCACAGAGACGCTGAATGAAAAGAAAAGGAGATCAGAGAGGTACAGGGTGGGGCTTGGGGGAGCAGGAAAAGTGGAGAGTGGGACAGGCCTTGTAAAGAGTAAGGACTTCAGTGGAAACTCACCAAAGGATCTGAGCAGAGTGACTTAACTTTGAAGAGAATCAATACACATTGGCTGATATGTTAAAAGAAAACTATAAAGGGAATGATGATAAAAGCAGGAAAACCACTTAGGATGCTACTGTGATTATACAGAAGCGGATGGTAGCTTGAATCAGAATGGGAGTGGAAATGGTCAGAATCTATACTAATAAAAGGGTAAAATGCATATAGAGCTTCTTCAGTGAGTCTTCAGAGAGCATGGCTCTCAGATCTTCTGACTTCCTGTTCAGCTTCATCCAAGAATACTGCAGTATGTGACCCTCTTAAAATGTGGGACCACCAAACTCCAACTATGATTTGATCAATTAAGAATTTCGATGGAGCCGAGACCGGTTTGGCTCAATGGATAGAGCGTTGGTCTGCGGACTGAAGGGTCCCGGGTTCGATTCCGGTCAAGGGCATGTACATTGGTTGCGGGCACATCCCTGGCAGGGGGTGTGCAGGAGGCAGCTGGTTGATGTTTCTCTCTCATTGATGTTTCTAGCTCTCTATCCCTCTTCCTTCCTCTCTGTGGAAAATTAATAAAATATATTTAAAAATATGAAAAAAAAAAAAAAAAGAATTTCGATGGAACTACTAATTCCTGTGGTCCAGATATTATAACTACTACTTACCATAACCTGAGTATAGTTACTAATGTATTCTAAGTATGTATTGGCATTTTTAGCAACTGAATCAAACTGTTAAAGAATATTAAGCCTCTGATAACTAAAACATTCACATTTTTTTTAATAACTGCTACTAAAGTTAATCCCTGTCTCCCCATCTTATTGAATTCATCTCTTTAATCTAAATTCCAAATTAGGTCTTTTTCCCTTCTCAACTGTTTCACAATGTATTAGAGCTCTGAAGTCTCTGCCATTAGTAATCCTGTCTGAATTGAGTTGCTATCATTTTCCATTGCCTTAATCACAAATTATGGGAGTACTAAGAGATGCTTTAGGTGATCTCCTAAATTTGATAAATTCCTCCTTTCCCCATTGTACAGCACTGGCCCAATTTTTCCTCAATAGTCAAGTTCATTAGAAATTCAAGATCAACAAAAAAGGGCGTAAGTATCCCTATTATCTTTTAGAAAGAAGCTGTGTCTAACACATGGGCTGGTGGCAGAGTTCTATGTCACTTCACTTAAAATCTCTGCCCAGGTCAGCATGGGATTTTAGCACTGTGCTCAAGCAAGAATTGTGCAGTAAATTTAACTGTTGATGCTAGATGATGAGAACACCGGAGTGCTTTATAATATTCTATTTTGTGTATACTGAAAATTTATAAAATAAAAAATAAGAGGTAAATACATAAGAAACTAAAAGTTTAAAGCATTCTTTTAGGGAAGACTAAGATACAGGAGCTAATTGTTTTTCCCCTTAAACCTTTAGTTTTAAACTTTTGAAATATGTACAGACATTACTTTAATAAGGAAAAGGAGTGTATCAAAATCAACACCTCCAAAAATCATCATTGCATCATGGACATAGAACATTTTAATGTCATCAAATGACATATACTCTAGATTGCACTTTAAACAAAAACTATTTAATGATCTGATAAAAAGTATGTGTACATATACATGTACACATGTATATACATGTATATACATACATTTATACAAACACTTATAACTCCAAAAAGCATAATTTGCCTAAATCTTTTTTTTTTAAATATATTTTATTGATTTTTTACAGAGAGGAAGGGAGAGGGATAGAGAGCTAGAAACGTCGATGAGAGAGAAACATCGACCAGCTGCCTCTTGCACACCCCCCACTGGGGATGTGCCCACAACCAAGGTACATGTCCTTGACCAGAATTAAACCTGGGACCTTTCAGTCCACAGACCGACGCTCTATCCACTGAGCCAAACCGGTTTTGGCAATTTGCCTAAATCTTAAACTGACTGACTTTAAGCCTAAAACCAAACTAAACAAACAAACAAAAAACCTCCTATAAACTGCCCAACCTTTTCTCTGGTAATGATTAAATATGTTTGATTTTATAATTGAAATGCTTTAGATATATTTGGAATCATATAAGATTTTAAAATATAAGCTAAATATTTCCATTATGGTTACTTATTACACCTACTTGGTAAGTGATTGAGCTTTCTGCTGTAGGAAAGTATCTCTGTGTATTTTAATGGCTTGAAGACTTTTTCTATCTAGAAGTTTGGCAGCTGCTGGTATTTTCTGGATCAAAAAATTATCAGGAAACCAAATAATATTAGCAGTTAAAGTGATGGCTGGTACCTGAAATAGTAAGTATAAGGGAAAACAAATAATTAAATGCAGTCTAAACAAGTTATTTAATAGTTCTACAATACACAATGAAAGATAATTATTTATTTTAAGGAAAAGTAACCATGAAAAATACTCATTAATATATTATGAAACAACTTATCTTACTATGGTACAGAGTTAAGACATTCCTATATCTGGTACAGAGCATGACAAGAATTTTATCCTGCCTAAATATTAAACAACACACATATATACACACACACATTCACTTTGATTTTAAGATGAATATATGCAAAAAAAACAAATAGAAATCTTCATGATCTTCACTTTCACTCTATATTAGAAAAATATAAAACAAATAGGCAAGATGGTTGGGTTCTCATGGTCACATATTACTTGATTCTTCACATAAACTAAATTTTCAGATTTTAAGTCAGGTGCCACATCATGGAAATAACAAAGATACAGGGAAAAAAAAATTATTTTTGATTCAATAATGAAAATGAGTGGCAACAAGAGGAAGAGAAAGAGGGTAGAAGGGCCCAATTTGGGGGGAGGGAGGGAGGAGTGGGAAATCTGTAATACTTTCATCAATAAAAATAAAATTTAAAAATAAATAAAAAGAGCAAATGTAAAAGAGAGAAAATAGTAGTAACAGTAAGTTAATGTGTAGAAGAAAATGTGGAATAAAACCACTAATATATATTTATATTAAGTGGAATTATAAGTTATTTTCATTTACTATGTTACTTATTTCTGGAATGCTTGGAGATTTTAAATGAATATGTAAACAGAAATAGAATACATTTTAAAATATCCACTCTTATCCAAAATCTTTTTAATCTACTCAAATTGAAAAAAATAAAAGTTCCAAGTTCTTACCTTCTTACAAATGTCCAATAATGACTTATAAAACTTTTTATCAATAGTTCGAAAAATTTGAAAATGTAGTACAAACAGTCCACAAATTCCAATATACTTGTCTCTCTGGTCAATTTCAGAAGGCTCTCCTTATAAAATGATAACATGAGAGAAAAACAGAAAAACTATATTTAAAACCTACTTTCAAGAAAGTGCAAACTTTATAAACAAAAAAAAAAAAAATGCACTTTACATTACCAAGTCTGGCTTCAACATTTGCAAAAATTGAGCGAATACTATGTGCAAATTCTTCTGCAAAAGTGCTATTTTTTGACACAGATACTCCTCCATTGAGAGAATCAAACTGCTGCTCTATACAGGCCTAGAGAAGAAGCATTAAAGAAAAGTTCACTCTTAATAATAAGTTATTAAACAGATTAAATACCCTGTGTGCGAAAAACATCTATATTAATCATTTTAATTTTACAAACACTGAGGTTCAGGTTTTTACCTTAATCTAGTATCTAAATCCTTTTGAATGCAAAATTCACCTGTATAATCTCACACACCCTGGAGCCCTCCCGCGGTCCCTCCTCAGCCCCAATCGCCCCGACTGGGACTGGGTGAGACAAAGCCCTTCCCCAGTCCTTCCCAGCCGGCCAACCCCGATCGGAATTGGGTGAGACGGCCCCAATCGGTCCAATTGCGCCTGGGCAAGATGAGTCAAACAGGCCCTGGAGCCCTCCCTTGGTCCCTTTCAGGCCCCAATCATGCATCGGTGGGGTCCCTTGGCCTGGCCTGCACTCTCTAGCAATCAGGGACCCTCGGGGAATGTTGGAGAGCAGGTTTCGGCCCGATCCCTACAGGCCAGGCCGAGGGACCCCACTGATGCACATATCTGTGCACTGGGCCTCTAGTCCTATTATAATTCTGAACTAGGTCAACTAATATAAACCCATTTATTCTACTCTAATTCAGCTCTCATACCTGAAATATCATTCCATCAAGTAACTGCCCTTCTAGCTTCAGCAAGAACTTTTCAAATGGCTTTAGTTTTTCTTCCTGAATTCCAAATTTTGAAGGATTGTGATGGACAGATTTCAGTAACCTTGTGGAAAGTCAGAAGAAAGACCATAAGTTTGCCTAATAAATCTTTAAATTAAAATTTTTTCCAGAAATCAAAATTTTATATTTTATTTCTCTTTTGGTTGTATACATTTGAAAATTTGAACCAAAAAACATCCCAATACATTTAATTTTTTAATCATGCTTTTTTATATTATCTTAAATTAAGACATCTGGTGTTCTCTAGATACCAGACATTTAGTAATACTAATAGATGGAATAAAATAAAATGTCTTGACTTAAAAAAAAAATCTTGGAAGTATACAATGAAATAAAACCAAACTCAGGAAAAACAACTGTCACTTACATAGGACCCAATAGAAAAATAATATGAGTCCTAAGGTAGTCAAGATTTAGGATGCCTGCCTGGCTGGTGTGGCTCAATTGGTTGAGCATCATCCCATGCACCGAAAGGTCGCCAGTTCCATTTCCCATGGGGCACATGCCTGGGTTTCAGGTTCTGTCTATGTCAGGGCACATGCCAGAGGCAACCAATTGATATTTCTCTCTCCTCTCCCCTTCCTCTCTCTCTAAAATCAATAAAATATATTTGTTAAAAGAAGACTTAGAATGCTTTATACAAGTGTATTATACTTTCAAATAAACCCATCTGAAATTAAAGAATGGTTACTATCTTCATAAAAAACATCTGACCTGAGATCCTTCTAAATATATACCTTCAGGTCTTTTAAAGGATCTATACTATTTATATTTGTTTACTTTTACTAATACAAAGAGAATATTTTAATTGGCTCACCTTTTGTACATAGTCCAGTGGTCTTTTAATGTGATATGATTATCAATAATTTCATCCAGGGTAAGCAAAACTGTTAACAGTTCTCCCAAGTGCTCATACATAGTCTGTCAAAAGACCTTTAATAATTACCATTTAATCACTAGTTAGAAGTTAAGGTTCATGTGGATTTTTAAAGTTCAACACATTTTAGCTACTTATTAAATTAGTTAAAGCAGTGGGTAAACCAGTTTTACTAAGCTACAGATGAAACTACAGATCCTCAGATGGAATAATTAGCTTTAAATATATAAACATTTTGCCCAATATCTCATCCTTAATTGTGGTATCATAGATTTGTTTCAATCACCACTCAATTTTAAGAATTTACACTGGGCTACTACTGGGAAAAACCAGGAGTTACACTAATGGTGGGTCAGTGATGCCTCATCAGCTTCACAAATGAAAGAGAACAAATTCAAGAAATAATCTTTTAAGAGTCTTGCTATACTTGTACTCTCCAATCATACAAACTCCAAAGTAAAATACAGTAAAAACTAGTTTTACAGATCAAGTTAAATTACTTTTACCTGAAAATGAACTCCAGTTGTCTCTATAATTTTGGGTGCAACCCTATAATAAAATATAATGAAGTTAAAAAAACATATCCTTTTTTGTCATCATTAATTTTTATTTTAAGGAAAACATACAGCAGCAAAAGCTCTTTGGATTTTAATATAAACTTATCTTTATTTAGTCTTTAGTCCATAAAATTTAAGAAATCCAAGAAATTACTACCTTTTCTACTTTCCCAAGAAGGAACTAACTATACATAAAGAGTCTGGGCTATACCCATCTCAGTGGGTAGGGATATGACAATATGTGGTCCATGTATAACTTAGTCATTTAAACCAAGCCTAAGAGGGAGAGAGAGAAATAACAAAACTGATATTCATTTCTTTCTAAACTATTAGAGTTCACCAATTCCCAACTTGTTATCCTACCCAAACTGGCACTGAGGAACTAACTAGTCTTCTCTTTAGACAGATTTATTTCTGAGTTGTTATCCCTACTGAAAAACAGTACATACAAGGATTATATCAAAATCAAAAGTCCCAGAATAATTCAATTTTACTTCCTACAATTTACTCAACAATAAATAATTTAAAGCAGTATTTATAGCCCTGATTGGTATAGCTCAGTTGATAGGACATCATCCCATGCACCAAAAAGTTGTCAATTAGATTCTTGGTCAGAGCACATGCCTGGGTTGTGGGCTCTATCCCCAGCAGGGGGCAGGCAGGAGGCACCCAGTTGATGTCTCGCTCTCACACGGATATTCCTTTCTCCCTTCCTCTCTCTCTAAAAGTCAATTAAAAATATGTTTTTAAAATAATGCTTGTATATCAAAGCACATATATTCCACAAGACATACTATCTTAAGATTAAACAATCAAATTTCATCTTTCTTGAGCAGGGCTGTGGTGGGGCCTTACAAACTAGGTCCTGAGTACACAGTAGGTACAGCAGGGATTGGGGAATCCACGCTCTCATTCCCCTGTGCCATGATGAGTGTCAATGAAAGGACAGAACAGAAATACCTGGTTAAGGGGAAACAAGAGAATGAAAAACAGCTAACACTGTCTTCCAGTTTATACAAGAGCTAGGATGTAGCACGGTATGTAAGAACAATGAATGGATTAGGGGACAAAAGAATGATACCTAAATAGTGATGGAACCTTGGCAAGTAATTCCTCTAGGCTCAGTTATCTCTTCTCACAACTGAGAGTCCCTAGTCACATACCTAAACGAAGTTTATTGTAAGGTTTAATTAAGTAGTCATGTGCTTAAGCACAGAGATACAGTCTGGGAAAGGCATCGTTAGGCAACTTTGTTATTGTGCAAACATCACAAAGTGCACTTACACAATCCTAGATGATGGTATAGCCTACTATACACTTAGACTATATAGTATTGCCTACTTCTCTGTAGGGGAGAAAAAATAATTTTCCTTTTATCTCTGGGCTCTTGGATGAAACATCCCTACAATTAAAAAACAAACAAACAAAACAAAAAAAATAGGTTTTATTTTAGTACAGGGAGCAAGACACTTACAAATGGAGATTCCCTTACAAATGTAAATGCCTTTTACAAAGAGTAACTTTTTCTTGGTTTTCAGAGCTTCTCCCATGTCTGTTGTTTTTTTAAAAATAATGAGCCTAAAATAATCCTTATGTCAAACAGACATACTTCAGGGCAGTGGTTCCCAATGTGGAGCACATGCCCCACAAGGGGGTAATTTTATTTTTAAGGGCGGCAATTCAAGAATAAGTTATTAACAGTGAATCTTTTGCATTTCTTATGGTTCTAGGGCCTCATACACAGAATATAAGTATATATTGAGACATATTTATACATTTCAGTTCTTTATTACATGTTTTGAAACTATTTGCTATTTTTTTCATATCACTTCACATGGTGTGTGTGTGTGTGTGTGTGTGTGTGTGTGTGTGTGTGTATATATATATATATATATATTTTTTTTTTTTTTTTTTTTTTTACAATTTCTTCCTCAGTATTTCAACTGTCCTTTCGTTCTTTTATTTTTTTCTTGCAAGGATGCCATGTTCTTTGGAAGCTTATTTAAACCAAGCTAAAGGCCTTTTAGGCTTCCTCCAAGTGACTAGTTCACTTTTTTAATAATTAGAATTATAACCGAGGAAGACACCAGGATTTTAGAGATGCTTAGGCAGGGCATGGCCAAAAAAAGGATGGGAATCACTGATTTAGGGTGACAAATCATTCTTCTACAAACCTAGGATGTTATGTACTGAATACTATAGGCAACTATAACACAATGGTAAATACTTGTGTAATATCAATACATTGTGCTATAACATTACTACAGCTACGTCACTAGATGATAGGAATTTTCAGTACCCTTATAAGTTTATGGGACCCATCATCATATATGCAGTCCATTGGTAACCAAATGTCATTATGCAGCAAATGACTATAGTAAGTGTGGAAAATTTTAAGTATAAATTATTAATCATGCAAAATAACTATTTTATGATAATAACAACGGTGAGGACTATGAAAATTTAATCATTTTTCTTTATTTAAGGCAGTAGTCCCTAAACTTGGAAAATCATTAGATTTTCCACTAAATGTTTTCATATAGATTCCCACTCCCAAAGATTCTGTAATGAGTTAGGGAACCTTCAATGTAAAGGAGGGAGAAAAGGAATAAGAAGAGAAAAAGTAGTATGTTGCCAAAACCAGTTTGGCTCAGTGGTAGAGCTTCGGTCTGCAGACTGAAAGGTCCCAGGTTCGATTCCAGTCAGGGGCATGTACGTTGGTTGCGGGTACATCCCCGGAAGGGGGTGTGCAAGAGGCAGCTAGTCGATGTTTCTCTCTCAACGACATTTCTAGCTCTCTATCTCTCTTCCTTCCTCTCTGTAAAATATCAATAAAATATATATATATATTTTTTAAAAGTGGTATGTTGCCTTTTTCAATATAATCAAAATTCTCTCCATATTCTCATTCAGACAGATAATGGGTTTATTCAAGATGATATAAGCAGTTTTAAAGAAACACAACTAGGCCTGGCCAGGGAGCTCAGCTGGTTAGAGTATCTTCTCATTAACCTATCATTTTTCTATTAAACACATCAAGTAGTATTTAAAATGAGTGTTCAAAGAATGCTGAACAAGTGAATGAAGGAATGAATGAGTGAACAAAACACTAATTCAGGTAATTACTTTTAGAAAAACATTTCCTATATCTCTATTGTAAGTGCAAAAATATTTCTAAAATTCATTACTTGTTATTGATATAGAGGACAGCCAACTGATGGACTACATTCATCACCACTTCATAGCACCTCGTAACAAAACAAGACAGTTCCTGAAATGACAAGTTGGGTATATGTTACCAAGTTGCTTTTTAAATGTCACCATTTCTGACTGAATTTTAGGCTAACAATGTTAAAAATAAGATAGTTTTCAAATAAGAACCCCAGTTAACCTGCAGCCAACTTTAAGTATCCATCAAGCAATTTTTTACTCATCTCTTAGATACATCCCAAGGTCATTTCTACCTGTCTGACCCATTTCATTCATACTTCTATTTTTTAAGTCTTGCGTTTTACTCATGTAATTCCTAAATAACAGAGACAGTCTCATTCCTTCTTTGAATATCCACTGCCTAGCACAGTGACTAACCCTTACCTGCTTCTTAATATATATCTGTCCTATCAAATGAAAAAATGAATGAACATCTGAATGAATGAAAAAGCACAAAAGCTGCCAGTTTTAGAAAGTATGAAAATGAGGGAAAGAAGTCTTTAGAAATCACTCTGACATAACTTCAAATGTTTACCGTTAACCTTAGTTACAAACAGACGCGGCACACAGCAAGTGAAACAGTAGATATCCCAGGAATACGTTTGTGACTAAATAACTAATTTGCATCTATCATGTCTCACACCTCCTAAAAATTTTTCAGAACCTCTCAACTTTTAAATCTATAGAAACAGATTGTATCCTAATATACTTAAAATCTGATTAAACCTGTAACTGTTCTAAATTTTATACTCTATGAGGTCAGGAATTTCTGTTGGTTTTGTGCACTGCTGTATCCCAGCACCAAGAATGGTTTGTAACATATGCTACACTCATAAAACATTTGTTGAATGTTTAAAAACGGAATTTTATGCCATTAAGATCTAAAAACAGTAACATTTTTTAAAATGAAAATAACACATTTCAATTTTACTTAAACAGTCTAATTTTACATTTCTTCATAAATTTCTAAACATTTAATAAAAGCAGAGGAAAGAATAGAAAATGTAAGACAAGGATCACAAAATAAGAAGGCAAAAACAAGTCCAGATATATAACAGACTATATAAGATAGAAATAGAATAAATTCGCCAATTAAAAGACAAAGATTTTCAAATTGGATTAAAAAAACAAAAATCCAGACAGATACAAGCAGTTTTAAAGAAACACAACTAGCTCTGGCCAGGGAGCTCAGCTGGAGAGAGCATCTTCCCAATACACCAAGATTGTGGGTTCAATCCCAGTCAGGGCACAAACAAGAATCAATCAATGAATGTTATGTATAGATAAGTGGAACAAATCAATGTTTCTCTTTATCTCTGCCTTCCTCTCTCTCTAAAATCAATAATTTTTAATCACCTAAAACATAATGACACTGAAAGATTGAATGAAGAAAGATAAATCAAGAAAATGTTAACTCATACAGCTGGGGCAGTGGTATTAATATCAGACAAAATAGACTGTTTGCATTATTTCAGTTAATTACTATATATAATATATATTTATATAATTACATATTATATACATAATAATTATCATCATAGTTTAAGAAAGTCACTATATGATCATTAAAAGATTCAATTTAGCCCAGCTGGTGTGTGTGTGGCTCAATAGTTGAGCATTGACCTATGACCGGGAATCAAACCTCTAGGTTAACGCTCAATCACCGAGTCCTTCAACTCTTACATAACCAATTGTCAACATTAAATCTCCTCTTTTGATGTATCTTGTGTGAACTCTTTTCTGGACTGGACCTTGACTGACCCATACCATAAAACAGGATAATTTCAACAAAATGCTCTCAAAATTAGGCCACGTGGACCAAAGGAAATAGTAAAGATACAAAAGATCTGAACATTATACTAGCATCTTTGATTCAATGAAATAATCAAATCTTGTATCCAATCATCAGAACGTAGGTGGAATTTGGGGTATTTTTACCTCAGCTCCAATTTTTGCTTTTATCCGATTGTACAAGCATTTTCTTTAATGGAGAAGAAATGTAAGTTATTTCATTCTTCTGAAAAAATTTAAACCAAAAGACCCAGAATAACTAAAACTTTGCAGTAATATCTAAATTGAAACATTTGGTTAGAAGATCAAGTGCAGTTGCTTTAAACATCTCGTTATTGCTCATGTAACAGCTTAATCATCTTCCATGAACAACTTTTCCTAGCATAAATGATCTCTTCTTACTTGATACAAAGTTTAAATTATTTTAAAAGGTACAGTGTCCTAAATTACAATACAATGCCAACTAAGTATCTTACCCTCACAGTACAAATTTTTAGCATTTGAAGGTTTTAGAAATTTTTTAATTATGTGTAATTCACTCAAACTTTTCAAAGAAAAACCTCAATAAAAAGTAAAAAATCAATTACCTGTAAGAATGAAATAAATCTCCCCATTTGAATTTGGCAGTCACCTTCCACCATACTAGAATCTGTGGCTTTAAAAGGCAACACGAAGAATTGTATTTCAGTTGTTTATATATAAACTCAATCAACACCCAGAACTAAAACTATGATTTTTATACATTAGTACATTTTCTAATCTGTATAGCATTAACAGAATTTTTACATTGAAGAGAAAAATTAGAAAATCATTAATTACACAATTGAAACTAACCATCTGTTTCACTATTTAATAAATTCAAGGAAAATTCTTATATAGTTCCAGTGCTTTATCCTATATAATAAAAACATAGTATGCTAATCGTCCTCTCTACCAAAGTTCTTCCGGGAGTTCGACCAGGGAGCGGGCTAGCCAGGGGAAGGGAGGGAGACCCCGGCCAGGGGCAGCAGCAAGCGGCTGGGGGAAGGGAGTACCCAGCCAGCAGCTGCTAGGGACCTCTACCAGTACACGAATTTCATGCACTGGGCCTCTAGTAATTTATTAAAAAATAACGAATAGATTTTAGAGAACTTGCTGCTGCTTCATCACTCAGGTTATCTTATCACCTGTTCACCAAACAAACCAACAAAAAAATCTGTATGCTTATTTTCTCATACTAATAATTATGGTAGTCCTATAACTGTTAACATTTTTGTTCATTTCAGAATCACAACACTACAATGTGAAATTTTAAAACTCACCTCCTTCTCCATAGAACAAGAGACCATTATAAAATTTAGTTTCAGCCTGTTTTAAAAAAATTAAAATAATTTTACAAGTTGCTCTTTTGTTTTTAAATTACTAGGCTCTCTTAGTTATCCAATTTATAATAAACAGAGGACTACATCACTTATACACAATTTCACTCAAAAACTGCTTACAATTCAGATACACTCAATTTATCTTTGGAGTACCAAAAGCAAAGTTATTTCTGGATCTCTTTACCCTTTACTTTGTACCACATCCTCACATTATTTCATGGGAGAACAGAAAGCAAACACATTATCAAAACGGTAGAGAAAAAAAAGATGAAAGTATACCAAAACGGTAGAGAAAAAACAGATGAAAGTTTACCAGAGTTTTGATTGCTCAAGGCAAGGAAACACAAGATATTTTTAAAATTCAAAGCTTTTTTTCAAAATTAGCCCCAGCCGAGCTGGTATGTGTCAGTGGTTGAGCATCGACCTATGAACCAGGAGGATACGGTTCAATTCCCAGTCAGGGCATATGCCAGGGGGTTGCAGGGCTCGATTCCCAGTGTGGGGCGTGAAGGAGGCAGCTGATCAATGATTCTCTCTCATCAATGATGTTTCTCTCTCTCCCTTCCTCTCTGAAACCAATAAAATATATATATTTAAAAAGTAATTTTAAAAAATCAGTTCTAGCTAGAAAGCAATTATATAAGTCAGGTAATACAGACTTTGAAGGTATGCTCAAAGTGTTACTATCAGTAAAAACGTTAGGCATTTTACCCAATTTCCTCATATATTCCTCACATATCTTCCCAGGTTGTTATACTAGTATTAACAGGGTTAACATGGTGTTTGGTTCATAGTAAGTACTCCATTATTACTACTTTAAATAAATAATTCATTCAACATTCAATAAATATTCAGGCACAATGTAGACATATAAACACATATTTGCTTTTAAATCATGATTTTAACATCTTACAAATACAAATAATTACCTCATATTTTAATTTCTTGATTTCACAACAAAGTGCAGCATAAACTGTGATGACTTTGTTTAAGACCTAGTTTCATGAGTAAAGAAATTAAAAAGTTATAAAAGTAAATTATAGTAGATAAATAAAGCATTTTTAAAAAAAGATTTTTAGGTTTAGAATTCTGTACCTTGTTTTCAGTCTTTATAAGTTCCAAAAGGGAAGATTGTTCATAAGGCAAAAGCTATATAAATAAGGAAAATAACATTTCTTTTTAATGTGAAGGAAAAAAAAAACACTGAAATCTTAAATACACAAATTAAGACTAACTCTATTCTATTTTATCTTGTGTTAGACCCTATACTCTATAATAGCACCATATCAGATAGGGAATGACTACTAATGGGTATGGGATTTCTTTTGGAAGTGATGAAAATGTTCCAAAATTGGCTCTAATGCTGGTTGCACAATTTTGTGAATGCACTAAAAACCAAAGAATTGAATGATTTGTCAACCGAAGGACTTTTATACATGCACATAAGTACAACCAATGGACATAAAACTCTGGGGAGGGAGGGGATATAAGGGAAGGAGGGAGGGAGGGCAAAAAAAAAAAAAAAAATATATATATATATATATATATATATATATATATTTAAAAAAAAAAAAAAAGACTGAAGAAAGGACCTCTTTTCCACTATTTCGAATACTTAATAGCTAATTTCATAACATCACATGTACCATTTTAAGAAAGTGATGATTTAGTGGGAAATTAATGCTTTGCATATGTATACTGTAAATATAAATGACGATTTATTTGAAATGTGTAACTTTGATATGCAAAAGATAATAACTCACAATGTTAATATTAAATATTCCCTCAAAAATAAATAAATAAATAAAAATATTATGCATTAAAAAAAAGAATTGAATGATTTGTGAACTATATCTCAACAACTCTATTTGAAGTCAATGTGTGTCTTAGAACAGTGTCTAGCACATAATAAATGCTCAATAAATTTTAGTTATTAAGTAGTAACAGCCTACAGTTACCACCTAGTAACTAAAATGAGAAATAACTACCTTGAAATGGAATAGAGGAGTGACCTATTTCATACATTAAAAAATTACTCCCACATTTAAGATTCTCTAAATAACATGAAGAGATTTTTAGGAAATGAAGAAACTATTCTGTATCTTGATTAGGTATGAGTTACTTGAGTATATGTGTTTGGCAAAACCCATTGAAAAGTATATTTTAATTCTATGCATTTCACTGTATTAGTACATAAAAAAATCTCATCTGAATATTCTATTCCAACCCTCTTCATTTTCTTATTGATGAGAGGAAAAAAACTACCTCAAAGAGTTGGGAGTCTGTGTCATTTTGACACTAAAGGCTTTGAGTTTGTGTCACCCTTTAACCAGTTAACTGCCATAATATTTTGAATTTAATTTAAAAGGTTCCGCCGCTTATGGCGTACAAATGGTTAAAAACACACACACATACAAAAATACCTGTATGGCTTAGAGAAAAGGAAACTAACAATTTTTCTCCATGTTTCTTTTATTTCTCTAGATCCTAAATAATATATGCTCCATTTTTAGCAATTAAGTTTTCAAGATATAGCATGTCCTGAAAATGTATGCATAAATTTTTTTTTAAAAATCAAACCTTTAATGCTATAGGATCAAGATTGAAATCCCAGACATCTCCAATTGAATCATCCAGTGCATCCTCAATTCTTCTCAATTGAGACGTATACTCCTCAAGAAATTTCCCATAATTCTTAAGCTGAACTTCTGCATGAATTTCTAAATTTAAATTTTAAAACAGTATGTGAGAAGCACAAAATTACAGTACATTTACTTCAAATAGTCTCAAAAGTCACAGCAAAGTAGATACTAAGCATTGTGAAATTATTATTTTGGAACATCTTAACTTCTTGGAAATAAAGTTTCAAAGCTAAACAATAATTCAGTTTTCAATATTTTCCAGATAGATAAAATAATTTTAAATGCAGACGTTGCTATATAAAGAGATATATATCACTTTTTTTAAAATTTTTTTATTGATTTCAAAGAGGAATGGAGAGAGAGAGAAAGAAACATCAATGAGAAACATTGATTGGCTGCCTCATGCATGCCCCCTACTGGTGACTGGGCAAGTGCCCTTGACCAGAATCCAATCTGAAACTGTTCAGTCCACTGGCTAATGCTCTATCCACTGAGCTAAACCAGCCAGGGCAAAGAGATATATATCATTTTGAACTTAACTTGAAAGTATTATGAAAAAGTCAGTTTTGTTTACTCTATAATTTAGGGCTTTTACACATAAAGTAATTCCTCAGACAATTCAATGTCCTGACTCTATGTTTTAGTCACAAGCAACATTGGGGGAGGGAGGATGAATAAAATTCATGACCTGAATCAAGTGCAAAAATGTGTGTTGTCATTCGAGCAAAATTTAAAGCATAATTCTTAATTTTATACACAGTACATTGTTTTAAAATACACCAATATATTGTTTTTACAATGCATTTAGACCTGCTTCATCATCATATTATTCTGTAGTGTCCCAAATTCACCAAGGTATTTTATTTTACTGTCATAATCGAGTTGTAAAAGCCAGTAAAGAACAGTGAGTATAGAATATTGGGTTGATATTACAAAATTTACACACTAACAGATTCTAAAGAATCACTGGAATAAACTGAATAAAGGTATACGTCAATATTAATGCAAGTGAATATTCCACCCTACACATAAGAACTGATTACTTATTACAAAGGCAGCAAATTCGATTCCAACTGTTTTTTTAATATAAATAACTTTATTAAATCTCTGTATTCTAATAAAGGTAAAAATGTTCCCTCCTCAAATTAGCAATGCAAAACAAACTTTAAGATAAAGAATCTTCTGATTTATAAAGGATAAAGATGTAGCTCCCTATCCTCCCTTATTTTGCAACTAATGCAGAGTCAGGTGGATCAATTTAGTTCATTAAGGTTCCCACCTCATTACAGCATTAACCTACTCCTGGGCAATTTTGAAAAACAATTAGTCTAGATACGATTCACAGTCCAAAACTTAATGAAAATCGGGCACGGAGATGAGAAGTCATTTCCCTACAGCTTAAATTAAAAACTGCGTAAGGTTCTCAAAGTCCCAAACACACGTCTAAACTCTCAGTTACGTGGAAAATTACGGTAGCTGTATTCAACCAGCAAATGAGTTCTTAATGACAAAACTACAAAAACATGCCAATAAATTCCTCATGTAGTCTGCTTGGGAATTCACAAAGTTGCAGGCAACAGAAAACCTGTAATTAACGTTTAAGTTCCTTGTTGGTAAAATAAGGAATCGTTGTAAAAAATCAGTAAAAGTTAAAAAGATGTGAGAGAACTGCATGGTGATTCTTCAGAATGAAATTTTCAAAAACTCGCTTACGTGCTTATCTCTTGGAAAAGACTGCATTCTTCCTTTTATCTCTGCATCCCTAACACCTACCTAGCACAGTGCCTGGGAAACAGAAAATGTCTGCTGGATAAATCTGATCACTCTACTCTAAAGTGAACCATTTTTTCAAGCCCAATAACATTACTTTTATTCCAAATCTTTGAGGACGCAAGATTCCACCTGACACATAAGAATTCATTATTTATTCCCAAGGTCTGACCTTTGTCCTTACAATTTCGTACGTGACCAGGTGCAGTTCCCTTTATACCAGCCAATACAGAATCCTCTCCAACTTGTATTACTCTCAAGTGGCGTTTCACTAGAATCATTAGTTTGGCTTCTAAATTCTGCAGCATGGACTTGGATGTGAGGTGTGGGGGTGTGTGTGTGGGGGGGGGGGTGTTTTGCTGCACTTCTAACTTAAATCAGACAATTCGATTTTCTGAAGCAACATTTGAAGCAGATTTGCTGTAACTTGTGAAACCTTTCTAGCTGCCATGGAAACTGCAGGACAGCACTTTCATCGAACGTGAAGAAATGGCATGGGAGAGGATACATAGGCATTCACGCGGGGTTTTGTTTTTTTCATGTGAATTCTTTTTCTCTATATTGTATGATTATAAAAAATAAAAAGGAAACACTCAAACTTCCAAAAAGTTGGCTTCGGAGGGGGGGAAAAAAAAAAGAAAAAGAAAAAGAAAAAGAGGAAACCGAAACAGGAACCTCAGCCTCTTCCAGAAGCGAAGGCTCCGAGGACCAGGCGAAAGCCCGGAGCGCCAGCCGCAGCCGCAGCCTCCGCTCGGGGCGCAGGGCCTCCCCCCGGACCCGCCCTCGGGCTGCAGGCGGCGGGCGCCGCTCGCCGGGGCACCGCGCGTTTCCCGGGAGAGTCACCGCCCGAACCCCAACCAAGCCCGGGCCGGCCAGGCCTGCCATTGCTAGGACCCCCCCACCCACCACCCAAACCCCGAAAGTAACGCTCGGGAGCGCTTCCTCTCACACCCCCCGGGGCAGAAAGTGCCCGCAACCACCGGGTTCCGCAGCAACCACGACGCAGAGCCCTCCCGCAGCAGCCCGCCGGGGCTGAGGACGGCGCGGGGGCGTCCACGCGCCGCTCTCTTACTCTGCGAGCCGTCATCCACGCGGTCGAACTCCCAGTCCGGGGACAGAGTCTCCACCGCCATCCCCGCGGCACCTCCCTCAGTCAAAGTCCCGAGCCGCCAGGATGACTACGGCGGCCTCACCCAAAGCCGCTGACACGGCACGTGACTTCCGGCCCTAGCCCCGCCCCCTGCCTGCGAGGGCCCGGAAGCTGAGGCCCCTGCGGCCGCGGGGGCCGCTGGGAAAGCGAGTCCTCCGCGGTGGCCGGGGCCGCTAGCCCTGGCGGCGGCGGTCCTTGGAGGACGGATGCTGTGTTTCCGTGGGCCTCGCCACTGTTTACTTCTCGTCTCATGCCACACCGGTAACCCTCAGGTTCGCCCTGCTGTGTCCCGGCCATTTTTAATGCCTGGGGAGTTGTTCCCTCAGTCTTACCGTAGGAAGGGCAAAATGGATGGGGATGAGGGGCTTCCCAGGAAGGCTTGGTCCTTTGGAAGTCGCGGTCCAGGCGCTTCTTCCAAGAAGCCAGTATTTCCAACCCTCTCCCTGTTGCCACCGTCAGAGAGCTTCCTGCTTTCTTCCTGCACGTGCGGTGCGATTGCTCTTGAGAAAAAAACTGCTGTGCAAGAGGAGGAGTGACTTGACCAACACCAGAGCGAGAAATTTTACTCTTCTGCCCACATTGCATTCGCCCGCTCTCCTCACCCTCCTCTCAAAAGGGTGGAGAATGGAAGGTGGAGAAAAGCGCTGTTTAAGCGAGTGTGTCGTTTTGGTTTTTTTGTTTTCAGGGGAGAAGAAGAGAGAGAGAGCGCGCGAGCAATAATGAGAATCATTAATCCATTAATTGGCTGCCTCCAGCACGCCCCCTACTGGGAATTGTGCCCAGACGTTGAGGCTCAACCATTGAGCCACTGGCCAGGATAAGTGTATTTTTAAACGTTCATAGCTGCTACCTGACTTTTCCACAAAAAAATTATTCCATAATAACAAGGTTCATTACTGCCTGATTTTTAATACATACTAATAGGAAAAGACCTAAATGTCCATCAACAGGGAATAATTACATAATCATCCATACTATGAAATACTATCGATATACTAGATAGCTATTTAGTGAAATAAAATAAATGTATAGAGGCATGAGAAAATGTTAATTTCTTCAATCAGTATTTAATCAGGACCTCCTCTGGTCAATATATTACAGTGACTAAAATCCTTCAAAGAGCTCAGTTATCTGGTAAGGGAAATTATTAAGATACTAGAGGCCCAGTGCATGAAATTCATGCACGGGAGGGGGGGGGAGTGGTGTCCCTCAACCCAGCCTGCACTCTTTCCAATCTGGATCCCTCTCACAATCCAGGACTGCTGGCTCCCAACCGCTCACCTGCCTGTCAGCCCAATCACCCATAACCATTCCCCTGCCAGCCTAATCAACACCTAACTGCTCCCCTGCCAGCTCGATTGCCCCTAACTGCCCTCCCCTGCTGGCCAAGTCACCCCTAACTTCCCTCCCCTGCAGGCTTGATCGCCCCCAACTGCCCTCCCTTGCAGGCCTGGTTCCTCCCAACTGCCCTCCCCTGCTGGCCATCTTGTGACAGTATCCCTCACCCTTCAACTCCAGGAGAGGAGGGATGAGGGGGCTGCAGTCTTATTGGCCTAAGGTGGTAGCAAACTATGTCCAGGGTTGTTGGAAGAGAAACTGGAAATTGGGCAATAGGAGAGAGGTTGTACACTGAAGCAGGAGACAAAAGATGGGATCTAAATTTCGACTATGAACTCTGCCAAACCCCTGACTGACCACTAAACTACATTCAGAGAGTCTGCTGATATAGCAGTCATGAGTCCTTGAGAAACATCTGCAATGGTTACTGAATGTCATTTTTTAATACATCTAGTGGCGAAATTGGCCTTCATACTCATCCAGCTTCAGAATACAAATGATATCAGGTCATAGATTTTACTCTTTCTTTTCTGTCTCTTCACAATTTTTGCTACATTCTTTAGGTTCTGTATGGTAGGCCTTGGCAGCTTCAGGCTCATCTGCACACCAAATCTAGCATGAGAGAGAAAAGAAGCACACTTAACTGATAGTTCAAACAGAAGTCCCAGAATTACGTCTTGCTGGCCTTGATTAGCCTCACTGGGACATTGTGCACACCGTAGAATCAATCATTGTAATTGAGAGGATGGGAGACGTGCACCAGTTGGCTTATTCTAGGTCCTGGGTTCCACCCGGGGGTCCCGGGAGGGATGGGAGATCTGAAGTAGTGGGCTGGTCTTACAGGAGTTGTCCTGCCTGTATATTACACTCTTTCCTAGGGTGATGTCTTCTAAGAGTATCATTTGAGAGCCTGGGTGTTTATTGGACTCCTTTATTCTTAGTGGATGTTGATATCTCTCTCTCTCTCTCTCTCTCTCTCTCTCTCTCTCTCTCTCTCTCTCTCTCTCTTTCTCTTAGTTTAAATAAATAAAATATATCACATACAGACCAGTGATAATCCCCAGAGTTACTGAAACACACACACACACACACACACACACACACACACACACACACAAAAAACTAGCTTTTTTTTTTTTTGTATCCCATCTTCTAAGTGCAATCTGGTGGTGTGCTTCAGTGTTTAGTCTTCTGCCTTTGGGTTAGAAACAGACCTCTAAGTACTCATCTTAAAGACCTGACTGGATCCTTTGGTGAAGGTTGCTCAGGGGAGAGACTAGAAACAACCTTATGTCCACCAGCAAGGATGGGTTAAGTACATAACATGTATGACAACTCCAGGGAGTGTGGGGAGGATGTTAAAAATGAGGGTACAGAATTTCATATGCAAATTTCTAAAAATAAAGCAGCTAGGATTTTTTTTCATTTACTGCAATTTCTGGTATATTTAAGCATAAATCTAACATCTTACTAATTTCCTTCTATGTGTTTTTTTTTTCCCCCACCTATTCCATGTTCCTTTTTTCTCACCTTTCTTGCCTGCTTTTGGATTGATTTGTTTTTTTAAAAATCATTGTTTTCTTGATAGTTTTATATTTTATTAACTTGGTAACTATACATAGTATTACTATTCTTTTAGAGGTTATATTAGAAATTATAATCTGCATCCTTAACATATTAAAGTCTAACATAAATTAGTATGTTTATTATTTTTAAGACATTGCTATAGCCTTAGGACAATTTAAGTCCACCTTCCCTCCCTAACACTCAGATACTATTGTTGTCATATGTTTTAATTATATGTATTTTTGAACTCTATAAAACATGTTAGAATTATTTTAGACAATATTAACTTGAATTGTCCTCATATTTACCCTTTCTATTGCTCTTCATGTCTTTATCTCTGAACTTCTATCTAGGATTATTTCCTTTATGCCTAATGACCACTTACTTATTCCTCCTAGCTCCCCAAACTTGCCCAACAATTTTTATTGTTGTTTGTATGTTTTCATAAGATTTTATTGTTTTTGTTTTTCATATGGCTAATGCTCCCTTAAATTCACTCGCATATTTGCCTTTTTTTTTTTTCCATTCCTTCCTGCATTTCCAGGCTTCCATATGGGTAATTTTCCTCCTGCTTAAAGGATGCTCTCTAATATTTCTTTTATAGTGTGTCTGCTGATGGCAAATTCTCTCAAGCTTTTGTTTCTAAAATGACTTTATTTCATCTTCATTTTTTTCTGATTATATAAATCTAGATTGGCAGTGCTTTTTTGTTTGTGAAACTCTCTAATTGCATCTGGTCTAACCTCCGATTATCAAGAGAACTGTACTTTTGATTCTTACAGAAGAAAATCTTAGTCATTATATTTCACTATATCTGGGTGAATGTAAACTCATTTTCTAAAGTTGGTGTATAGAACTATGGAACACGCATTTGAGAAAAATCCACACTCCTTGCCCACCCCTCCAAGTTTATACAGATCAGAACAAATAAAATGAATATCAGTATTTAGAAGTTTAAAAAGGCAAGAAATCACAAAACACTGCCGGGGAAATGGGTTGAATTGGCAGGGGATAGTTCCCAAAGCAAAACCCTGGATGTTTGCTGCAATTCTCCAAGTTTTAAGGAGGGTTCTTTTTCTTTCCCTCTTACCTTCCTAAATACATTCACTCATTTATTCTCTCTTTCAACAGCTACTTTTAAAGCTCTTCTTAATGATAGATACTGTAAGTCCTTATAAATTAGACAGGGCCCCACTTTGCAAGGAGCTACCAGTAGAAAAGATAACACGTACATAAATACCAGGAACCAATTGAAATGTCATAAGAGATGCAAAGGTGCAAAAATCCTTCCCAGTGCAGAGGAGTAAAGGATTACTTTGGGGGAATAAGGATGTTAGGGAGAAAAGAATCAGGAAGAAAATGCCTCCAGGAGGCTGTATTTGAGCTATCCCTTTAAGAAGAGAAGGAATGTGGTGATGCAGAGTTGGGGACAAGTGACAAGGGCAGGTGAAGCATTATCCAGGGAGGAATTGGCAAGGGCTATGGTTAGGCAGGGTTACATAGGCAAAAGAGCAGTAAGAAATAAGAGCAATACGGGATTGCAGGTGGCTTTGCAGGCATCAGCTAAGCATGTCTGAGTAGCAAAGGAATCTATCTACCTACCTACCTACCTTTTATCTGACAATCATCTATTGGAGACTAGCTCTGTGCCAGGTATTTGGCCATGCACTTTATACACTGACTTTAATTAAATTTTCCTATTCGCCTGTGAGATGGGTATCAGGATCCTTACATAGCGAAGGTGCCCCCATGCCTTCAATTCCGTAACCCGATGCACACTGGCATGCCTGTTGCCTCCTCAGGCTTGTGTATGGACGTGACTTGGAGTGCCCCATTGAACATGGAGTTGGATCCCTGTATACCTCAGAGGGTCTAAGTTCACTGGTAGAGGGCCTCACAGCCAATGAGTACCTGGAACACTACTGAACCGAGCTAGCAGCCTCAGGGAGCTGTCTGTACCTCTGGGCACCCACGCAGCAACTGACCTGGGGCCCCTCCGAAGCACCAAGCGGCCAGCGCAGGCCCCGCCCACTCTCACGGGATTGGCCACCGAGCCCTGCCAGCTGGAGGGGGCGGGGCTGAGGCAGCTGGGAGGGCGGGGCTGGAGCCGGGGCGGTCCAGGGGCTTACCTTGCCAGCCAGCAGCCAGCGCTGCCGCCGGGGGGCTTAGAAGCTGCAGGCCGTGCCCGCTGAGCCACCCGCCCGCCTCCCGCGGAGCCGCCCTGCCAGCGCCAGGGTCCAGAATGCTGCGGCGGGGCAGCCAGGCGCTCCGGCGCTTCTCCACCGGCCGGGTGAGTCCCGCCCCGGCCAGCGCCCCTGCTCCCACCCCGAACTGGTTGCTAGACTCCGGGCTGGCGCGCCGGGCGGCGGGGCTGGGGGTGGGCAGCGATGTTTCGACAACTAGAAGCCAAGATCATGTGTTTTTTGTTTTTTTTTAAACTGGGAGAATACAGAAGAGAGTGGGGGGTGGGAGGAAGGAAGGGTCCCCCGTATGGGGCTTGGCAAGCATGCCATTGTCTTCTATGGGGAAGGGCTTTGGAACTTCTAGGGTCTGGCTGGGATTGATGGCTGGGAACAGTTACTTGGCCAGGGGCAGAGTCTGGGGCTTCCTTTCTTTTTACCCCTTTCAATCGCGAGGTCCCTGATAAGGAGCTAGACGGAGACCATCTGCGGGAGGAGAGCACTGTCAGGTCAGCCAGGTCCTCCCCCGGCGGCCTGGGAGGCGTGAGAGCTGCCCACGGGCTCGCAGGGCCCATTCAGAGAGTGGCACTCACTGCTGATGGCTGCCAGCTCTGCATTCCCCAGCTGCAAGATTTCTAGGATTACTAAGCGCTGCAGAAGCGGCCACGCTGGGACACTCTTACGCTGTAGCAAGAAGCAAGCGCTGGCCCAGCCGTGGTTGGGCCTTGGAATTGCATCAGCACCTCCAGAAATGGAAGCAGAGCCGACACGTTGCATAGGGGCACTCACTGCCTTCAGCCCTTCCCCCACCTTGGGGGGGTGAGGGGTGTTCCAGAGAGATGCCACCTTGTATCTAAGCAGACTACAAGCTGTTTAGAGAAGAGAGGAGGGAAAAAACCATCCATCCCACTTACAGTATCTCTTATTAGGAAGGGCGTGTTGGCTGTGTTCTACAAGAATTTGCTTTCGATTCGTCTCCTCTGCCAAAGCCATAATTGCTTGTGTGCAGATTCAAATGGAAACAGTTGGGAGCTGGGGGGACGTCTCAAGTAGCACCAAGAACTGATCCAAAGTGGCTCAAGTGGAAAAGCGTTATCCTCCAGGCAACACCAAATAATGAGCATTCGCTCTACCCCAGGCAGGCATCTCTAGTTACTTTTGGAAACATTCATCTTTTTAAAAATACAGAAAGAGAATGTGCTCTGGCAGAGCTTTTGCTTGTTCTCTACAGCAGGGCACTGGATTCATCCTTAACTTTCTCCGGCCACGTGGCACATGGGGGATCCAGGTTGGATGTTAAGAGAGTAAGGGCCCTGTGCCACCACCTTGCTTTATTGGCCTCCTCTGTCAACACCTTTCATTGAATTATATTTTTTGGAGAGCAGGGGAAAAAAAGCCTTGAAGAACGAAAATATTATTACAATAATTAGTGGCCTGGTGTATGAAATTTGTGCCCGGGGGGGAGGGGGGTAAGGTCCCTCAGCCCAACCTGCACCTGCACCCTCTCCAATCTAGGACCTTTTAGGGGATAATCGGCAGTTGGACATCCCTCTCACAATCCAGAACTGCTGGGTCCTAACCTCTCGCCTTTCTGCCTGATTGCCCATAAACTGCTCTGCCGGCAAGCCTGATTGCCCCTAATTGCTCCCCTGCTGGCTTGATTGCCCCTAACTACCTCTCCCTTGGCCCTGCATCTGGGACCCAGGATTCCCTCCTCCAGCTGACCACAGGCACCCGGGATCTGGGATTCCCAGATGCCCAGAGGTGCCCAGGCCGGCTGCAGCCTCAGGGGATAGTGGGTGGGTGGCTTCACCTGGGCTGCAGCCGCAAGTGCTGGCACCCAGGACTGCGGGGTGGGCAGCTTCTCCATCTCCTAGGCCCCAGCCACTGCAGGTGCTGGTGCCTGGGGCTGTGGGGTGGGCGGCTTCTCCGTCTTCCCTGGGATGCAGTGTGGGTGACTTCTCTGGCTGGCTGCGGCCTGGGATCATGGGGCAGGCGACTTCTTCATGGGGCAGCCTCATGTGCTGGGGCCTAGTATCTCCATCTCCTCCAGGACAGGGCAGGTGGATGTGAGGCTTCTGCTGCTGGCTGCGGCCTGGAATCATGTGGCAGGTGGTTTCTTGGTCTCCCTGGCTGCAGCCAGCCTCAGGCACTGGGGCCCAGTTTCTCCAACTCCCACAGGCCCAGAGTGGCTGGGGGAGGGGGGAGGCCGCCATCTTTTCAGGGTAATTTGCATACTCACTCTAATTGGCTGTTGGGTGTAGCGGAGTGATGGTAATTTGCATGTTTCTCTTTTATTAGTGTAGATGGGGTTTTCATAAGATTTGACTAGTAAAATCTGAACATCCCAGGTAGAAAATAGCAAAAACAAAATCATGTGTGTGGGGAAGCACCAGGCACAGTGAGGGGTCAGGGGCCTGAGTCTGACTCTACCCAGGAATACACATAGTAGAACAGTGACATGTGGCTGGGGAGAAGGCAGTTTCGTGGGGGCTTTTTGTTTTGTTTTTTTATTGATTTTTTTATAGAGAGGAAGGGAGAGGGGTAGACAGTTAAAAACACCAATGAGAGAGAAACATTTATCAGCTGCCTCCTGCACACCCACAACCAAGGCACATGCCCTTGACTGGAATTGAACCTGGGACCTTTGAGTCCACAGGCCGATGCTCTATCCACTGAGCCAAATTAGTTAGGGCGAAAAGGCAGTTTCTTCAATGGCCAAAAGGAAGACATGGAATAAGTGAAGAATTCTGTTTTTCTTGCTCCATAGAAAGTGAGAATTGTGCCAAAACCAGTTTGGCTCAATAGTAGAGTGTCGGTCTGCGGACTGAAAGGTCCCAGGTTCGATTCCGGTCAAGGGCATGTACATTGGTTGCGGGCACATCCCCAGTAGGGGGTGTGCAAGAGGCAGCTAGTCAATGTTTCTCTCTCATCAACGTTTCTAGCTCTCTATCTCTCTCCCATCCTCTCTGTAAAATATCAATAAATATATTTTTTTAAAAAGAAGAAAGTGAGAATTGTTCAGAATCAAGGGCAGGTGGTGGGAGTGTAAAATGGTACAGCCATTTTTGGAAAACTGGCAGTTTTTAATCAAGTTAGACATTTTTATGGCCCAGCAATTGCACTCCATGAAAACTTTTATAAACACTAATGACTATTTATGAATGTTTATAGAGTCCTTGTTTGTAGTCACTAAAAATGGGAAATAACTTAAATGTCCTTCAGTTGGTGACAGGACAAACAAATTGTGGTATATTCATCCAAACAATGGAATCCTACTCAAAAAAAAAAAAGTGAAAGGGGAATGGACTACTGATACATACAACATGGATGAAACTCAAATATGTATGCTCAGTGTAAGAAGGCAGACCCTAAGAGCTTCCTATTATATAATTCCATTTATTGGGTCTAGTATTAACAATGTCGTTTTTTAACATTCGTTTAAAATCTTGTTTGGCGTTGACTTGTATTGACATAACCTTCAAATACGTGGTATCTACAGAACGTGTGAAGTGCAATTAGCAAGTTTTGCTTGAAAAAGTTTGTGTTTGGTTTGGGTTTTGTTGCAAAATTAGGGCTAAGAAGATGGCGGATGAAGAGCATATTCGGCACTGCATGCTTTACGAGTTCCAATTAGGAAGAAAAGCAAGTGAGGCTGCAAAAAACATCTGTAGTGCTCTTGGTCAAGATGCAGTTAGCGCCAGAAAATGCCAGCGTTGGTTTGAGAAATTTCACTAGGGAAATTTGTCGTTAGATGACAAGAGTGGTCGAGGCTGTGTGTCCAATTTTGATCAAGAAGCTCTTCAAGCTCTTTTGGTGCAAAATCCTCAAATTACCCAACAAGAACTTGTGACAACTTTAAATTGTTCACAAAAAACAATTTCCAATCAATTGCGTGCACTTGGCAAAGTCCAAAAGTTTGGAAAATGGGTTCCTCATGAGTTGACCGACAACAACCCTAATCAAAGAGTCACAATTTGCAGTTTGCTCCTCTCTCGTCCAAACCGTTTGCCGTTTTTAGAGCAAATTGTTACCGGAGATGAAAAATGGGTGCTGTATGTTAATTTGAAAAGGCAGCCTCAATGGTTGGACAAAAATGAGGCTCCACAGCCCACGCCAAAACCTGACTTGCATGCGAAAAAAGGGATGTTGTGTGTTTGGTGGAATTTTAAAGGAATTCTTCATTATGAACTTTTACCATCTAACCAAACCATTACAAGTGCAGTGTATAGTGCCCAATTGGAAAGGTTAGCCCAAGCTTTAAGAGAAAAAGAACCCGCGCTGATTAATCGGAAGGGCGTAATTCTTCACCATGATAACACACGACCGCATACTGCAAGAATCACTGCTGAAAAACTGCGCCAGTTGGAATGGAAAGTTCTCCCTCAACATGCATATTCTCCTGATATTGCCCCTTCCGATTACCATTTGTTTCGTTCTTTGCAAAACTTTCTTCTTGGAAAAAAATTTAATAATGAAGAATGCCTCAAAAATGCATTGACCGAATTTTTTGCATCAAATCACAAGAATTTTACAACAGAGGGATTAAAATGCTTCCTGAGCGTTGGGCACAAGTAGTAGAAAACAACGGCAACTATATTGTTGATTAAATTTTGTTGTATTGTTTAAATAAATTCGATTTTAAAAAGTATTAGAAAACGACATTAATTATTACTAGACCTAATAGTTAACATTTGGAATGAGTAACACTTAGTGATAGGCAAAAGGTCAATGATTGTTGGGGGCTGGAGATGGAGGAAGGCTTGACTACAAAGGGACATAAAGGACTCTTGATTGTGGTTACATGACCGTGTGTTTGTCTAAACTGACAGAACTACTAGTATACGCTGAAAATGGCATATTTGTATGTAAATTACACTATCATCTAGAAAAAAAGAAGAAAAATCACAACTTTTTATAAGTTTGGTATTAAAGCAAAATGGAGGAGGGAATCAGATGTAGCAAAATCCAAGGGTGAAATTACTTTATAATATTTTCTGTTAGAATACTTTTCCATTCTTTGTGGGTTTTTTTTAAAATTATATTTTATTGTGTTTTTTTTTTACAGAGAGGAAAAGAAAGGGATAGAGAGAAACATCGAGAGAGAAACATCGATCAGCTGCCTCCTGCACACCCCCTCCTGGGGATATGCCTGCAACCAAGGTACATGCCCTTGACTGGAATCAAACCCGGGACCTTTCAGTCTGCAGGCCGATGCTCTATCCACTGAGCCAAACCATCCTAGGTGCATTTTCTGTTTTAAAGAAATGAATTTAGAGCCCTAGCCAGTTTTGCTCAGTGGATAGAGCATCAGCCTATGGACCAAAGGGTCTCAGGTTTGACTCCAGTCAAATGCATGTACCTTGGTTGCAGGTTCCTTCCTTGCTCGGGCCCTAATCTGGGCTCATGCAAGAGGCAAACAAGCAATGTGTTTCTCTCACATCAGTATTTCTCTCTGTCTTGTCCTCTCTCTCCCACTCTCCCTAAAAAATCAATGGAAAAATATCTTCAGGTGAGGATTAAGAAGAAAAAAAAAAAGAGAGAGAGAGAAAGAAAGAAATGGACTTAGACATATTTATTGATTTCAGTTTAGTGAAATGACTGGATCTTTTTTAACTAGTGCAACTACCTATATATATATAGAAGCCTAAGCAACTGTTCCAACCGAATGTCCAGAATGACCTGAATGACCAGTCAACCAGTTGCTATGATGCACACTGACCACCAGGGGGGCAGGTGCTTAATCCAGGAGCTTAAGGCAGTACACTCCTGCAGCTCCTTGTGCCCCCCTCTCCCCCGCCAGCCGGCCTTCCCTATTGGCCCTGATTGGGGGTGTGGGGTGGGAAGGCAGGGGCAGCCAACCAACCTCCTGCAGTCCCTCCTAACTTCCCTTCCCACCAGCTTATCTCCCATACCCCCACACCCTCCCTGTTGGCCTCAGCCTCTCCCCTCCAGCCAGCTGGCCAACCTTCCTGGGTCCTCCCCCACTCTTCCAACCCAACCAACCAACCTCCCACAGCCCCTCCCCCTGACCAACTAGCTCCCCCAATACGCTTCTATCACTGGCCAGGCTAAGGGACTCCACCCGTGCACGAATTCATGCACCAGGCTCCTATCATAGTAATAAAACCCTTTGTCAGTTACTATTGTCCACTCTGCTGCCTGGCTCACTGCTCCTTAATTTCTCCTCATGGTGGGGATTAGTTGTTAGCCCTCATATTTATTTTACTTCCTCTGCCAGTGTCTGGAACAAGTTTGGCTGGCGGCTGTGGGTTCATGGCCTGATTCCAGGACCTGAGGTGATCTTATGAATCAGTGAGAGGTTGGACCCTTCTACCGCCTCCTGGAACCAAGTACTGGTTTTATACTCTTAGTTCTAGTAATCACGTCCTTAACTTATTTCCTTATTGCCTGACCCCCGCTTTGGTGTCCAGTTTGTTTTTAGAACCTCCACATCCAACCTCAAACCCTGTTAGATGATGTATTATATCCTGAGCACTAAATGCCAAGGAAATTATAATGATAATGTTGATATAGCACTTCGTATGCTATTTGACTCTGAACTGCATCTTAACTTCTCTGCTTTAATTTCTTTATCTTTTAAAAATAGCTTAGTAATGCCTACCTCCAAGAATCACTGGGCAATCAAAAGGAAGTGATATACATATATGTGAAATACCTGGCATATCTTAGGAGCTTGTCAAACTGTTGGCGAATATTTACACCCTTTCTTTCGGATCCAAATGCCCCAGGGCGAAAACTTTTTTCTAGCTGGCAGACACACACCCTCCATAAATCAGAGATCCTCGGACTCTGTGTGCCTGTGAGTCACTGGAGAGCTTGTTAAAATGCAGCTTCCGCCGAGACCGGTTTGGCTCAATGGATAGAGCGTCAGCTTGGGGCCTGAAGGGTCCCGGGTTCGATTCTGGTCAAGGGCATGTACCTTGGTTGTAGGCATATCCCCAGTAGGGGGTGTGCAAGAGGCAGCTGATGGATGACTCTCTCTCATCGATGTTTCTAGCTCTCTAGCTCTCTCCCTTCTTCTCTGTACAAAATCAATAAAAATATATTTTTTTTAAAAATGCAGCTTCCAGGGCCTGAAGTCTCAGTACATCTGGGGTGGGGTCTAGGAATCCACATTTCTAACATACTCACCTAGCTGGTTCTGCCTATACTGTCCGTCAGTCTTCAGATTATACTTGGAGAAATAGGAGTAAGGTAAAATATCCTAGTCCGGTTTTCTTTGGAATTATGCTAACTCATTATAAACACATTTAAAATATGAACCATTTCTCAGTGTTGGAAACTCACCTTTGTAACTTCAGCTTTAGCACTGAGCTCAGACAGTGTTTTGGTGAATGCAGTCTTTCCAAAGAAACTGGCATGGTTTCCTTAAACACTGTCTCTCTGGAGGCGTGTTGAATCTGAATCTGAACTCCAAATAGTGGATGACAGCTGACATTTGAGTCAGCTCAGGCTCTTGGCTCCTTTGCTTTCAGAGTAGCATTTGAGATGTTTCAAAATATCTGGCATTGGTATAGCCACCTTTTGTAAGATAGCCAAATGTAAGTTCTGTTTCAAGCCACAGCGTTCATTATAGGATTTAAAGACACAGCGTTTACAGAACAGTCAGATTTTTTGATGAGAGGAAATGAAATTGTCACACGGGTTCCGTAGGCAGAACTAATGTTTGTTTGTGAATATCTGTTAGCTGTTGAAGCTCTAGGCTTTTTGGGGATAGAAACTTCCGCTGGCCCTGGAAAAGGATTTTTAAAACCTCAATTGCTTAATTATCAGCTCAATTACAGGGAAGGTGTCATGCCTAAAAAGGCGACCTATGAACCAGGAGGTCACTGTTGGATTCCAGTCAGAGCACATGCCTGGGTCGGGCTCAATCCCCAGTGTGGGGCATGCAGGAAGCAGCAATCAATGATTCTCTCTCTTCATTGATGTTTCTCTCTCTCTTCCTCTCCCTTCCTCTCTAAAATCAATATATATATATATATATATATATATATATATATATATATATATATAATCAATATATATAATCAATATATATATAATAATAACAATAATAATTATATATATAATTGTTATTATTATTATTATTATTACTATTATTATTAAAGAATGTTCCATTAGATCAATCCAGGTTTTAAGCACAAATGAATTGGATCCACTTACCAAGGATTTTGGAATTCTGGGCTTATGAAAAAACAAACATACACATAAAACAGTTTCAAAAGCACATAAGTAGTAAAAGCTTTAAAACATTATTAAAGCTTTTACTTAAAAGCACTTGGTGTCAGACACTGCCCTGAGCCTACTGCATATTAAAGTTGATGTACCTCAAAATGGTATGAGGTTGGTGACATTCTTATTCTCATTTTGCAGATGAGGAAAAAGAAGCAAACAGAAGTTACTTACATGCGTAAGGCCACACAACTAATTAGGGGTGGGTAACACTAGGTTTGGACCTCAGGTAGTCTAGGTTCAGTGCATGTCAGTAAAAAATGTATTTAGTAGATTGTTGAGCCTTTTGCTGTCCTCAAGTCATCTTAAATGATTTAAAAAATTACCCACATGTCTTCCGTCCATGCTCACATCTGTCATCACTGAATTATTTCACAGGTTTATTTCAAAAACCAGCTGAAATTGGCCCTTATAGGTCAGAGCCTCTTTGGACAAGAAGTCTACAGCCACCTCTGCAAAGAGGGCCACCAGGTGGTGGGGGTGTTCACAGTTCCAGACAAGGACGGAAAGGCTGACCCACTGGGTGAGTGTATCTTGGAACAAGTGGATCAAGGACTCTGAACTCGACTTTCAACTATTCAGCCTGGGACCCACTCAGAGCCGTCATCTCTCATTAGCATTTTTTTTTATTATTGATTAATTATTGATCACATAATTGTCCTTATTCCCCCATTCCCATCCCAAACCCCTCCCCACATATACCCCACTCCACTGATTAGGCTCATATGCATGCACACAAGTCCTTTGGTTGATCTCTCCCCTTTACCCTCACCTTCCCCTACCTTCCCCTACCTTCCCTCTGAGGTTTGAGAGTCTGATCGCTGCTTCTCTTTCTCTGGGTCTGTTTTTGTTCATCAGTTTATGTTGTTCATTATTTCCTCTAGATGTGTGAGATCATGTGATCCAAGAAATACCTTGTAAGAACCGAAACTGAGACAAGCCATAATGGTTATGCTGAGAGGCAAATGAATCAGTCTGTAATGAGTTCCTTTCTGGGCCAATAGTTCTTTTGAGTCCCCATTTCAATGTCAAACAGTTCCTTCTGTGTACATGTCAGCCATGATATTTCAGATCTGGTTGGTGGACAAACGGTGGTGATGCAGGTCCGACCATCTCTGGTTTGGTGCTGGGCATCCTTCAGTGACACGCAGCTGCTTTTCTGTACCTCACTTACTTGCCACAGGCCCGGAAGACCCAGATTGCACGCCTACCTTCAATAGGCTTCCACAGGACCTATTGAAGGCCTTGACTGGCCAAGTCTATTGACATGGTGGACATAGAGTCAAAAATTCTCCCTTCTCTATGGGTCCCAAGACAAAGAAATTCTGTTGTACTGAATTTCTCCACGTATCTCCATGGAAATTATCAGGTCCATCAGAGGAATTTCCAGGCCTATATTTTTTCTGAGTTTACACTTGTGACTTTTCAAAGAATAATACTTTTTAAAAAATATATATTTTATTGATTTTTTTACAGAAAGGAAGGGAGAGAGATACAGAGCTAGAAACATCGATGAGAGAGAGTCATCGATCAGCTGCCTCTTGCACACCCCCTACTGGGGATATGCCCGCAACCAAGGTACATGCCCTTGACCGGAATCGAACCCGGGACCCCTCACTCCCCAAGCTGACGCTCTATCCATTGAGCCAAACCGGTCCCGGCTCAAAGAATAATACTTGATGCAGAGATGCCAAAAGGAATACAAGGAAGACCACACCCAATCATAGATATTGTTGTGGGATCATAAAAAAGGCATTTATTTATCTCAGAACAAATTATGGCTGGGGTTGCTTGGTGATTAAGAAAGATGAAGAAGATAGCCATTCTCAGAACAAACCTGCAGTGTGTTTCTTTGTTATTGTTGTTGTTGTTAATCTTCACCCAAGGATTTTCCATTGATATATATTTTAGAGAGAGTGGAAGAGAAAGGGAAGCATCGAAGTGAGAGAAACACAGATTGGTTGCTTCATGCACGCACCCCGACCAGGCCCTTGACTGGGTACTGATGTATTGGCACCTGGCTCCAAATATTTAAAAAGAACAAGCAAGTGTTCCTTAAATGGCAGGATCAATAAGGGAAGTACAAATTTTGAACCATAAAAAAAAAAGGCATCAGTTAAAATCTCAAAATGTTATCTAGCCACAAACATTTGAGTTTACACATTTGCGTTAACTGTATACATAGAAATCACATTAGAAAAATGAATGGTTCATGGTAAAATTGTAGCAGGTCAAATCCTGGCCAGAATCTAAATTGTTCTTCCACCATGTTTTATTTGTACATGTTTCACAAAGCTATAACATTACAATGTGTAACTCTACAGCAGTATGAGATTGCGACTAACATTATTTTTAATGAAGACAATCTTCTCTTTCATGCTCAGCTTTGGCTGCAGAGAAAGATGGGACCCCAGTGTTCAAGTTCCCTAGATGGAGAGTCAAGGGCAAGACCATAAAGGAGGTGGCTGAGGCCTACAGATCCGTGGGTGCCGAGCTAAATGTGCTTCCGTTCTGCACCCAGTTCATCCCCATGGATGTCATCGACAGCCCAAAGCACGGCTCCATCATTTACCACCCGTCCATCCTTCCCAGGCACAGAGGAGCCTCTGCTATCAACTGGTGAGATGTTTTATTTTACTTTTATTCTTTTTATTTTTAATTGATTTCAGGGAAGAAGGGACAGGGAGAGAGAGAAACAAAAACATCAATGATGAGAGAATCATTGACCAGCTGCCTCCTGCACGCCCCACAATGGGGATCAAGCCCACAACCCAGGCATGTGCTCTGACTGGGAATTGAACCATGACCTCCTGATTTATGGGTTGGGTGTTCAACCACTGAGCCACACCATCCGGGCTGGTGAGATGTTTTTGGTAACAGAGGAGATGGGCCTATTCCTATTGCACACAATCTTTCTGTTTTTTACCTAAGTGTCCCTTCTTGCCCAGGTGATCAAGGAAGTAGGTATACTTGAACAATTGTGAGATCCTGTATGATTGCTACTGTTGCATGAACTCCCCTGAGAGTTAGAGGTACTGCATAAGACAAAACAGCATTTCCCAAGAGTGGTCTGTAACCAGATTACAAGAATGGGCTTCAACTAGGTTTAAACAAAGGTGCTACGATCAGGCAAGCTTAGTTATGCTGGATTTCCTTATCGCAGGACTTGTTAGAGCTTGTAATGTTGGCATCATAATCTCCCGGAGGGAATCTGAGTACACAGTGTTCCCAAACTTATTCAACTATAGAGCTTTTTTGTCTTTTGCATTGACATCTCAAGTACATTTCAGAAAATGCTGAATTACTTGAAATTATCTTCATTGTCTGTCTTTCCCCACTCAACTTTAAGCTTCTTGAGGGAGGGACTATGGTCTAACTGTTTTATTGCTGTACTTCCCAGAATCAAGAACAATGCCTTGCCGAAACCGGTTTGGCTCAGCGGTAGAGCGTCAGTCTGCGGACTGAAAGGTCCTGGGTTTGATTCCGGTCAGGGGCATGTACATTGGTTGCGGGCACATCCCCAGTTGGGGATGTGCAAGAGGCAGCTGGTCGATGTATCTCTCTCATCAATGTTTCTAGCTCTCTATCTCTCTCCCTTCCTCTCTGTAAAAAATTAATAAAATATATTTAAAAAAAAAAAAAAAAAGAACAATGCCTGGTATACTGTAGGTACCCAATACCATGGATACATCATGTTGTGGGCCTTGCCCACTTTCTCTACCTTTTTTCCTTTACCTGCACATCTCCCAGACATCTCTCAGTTTGATGTTATTGAATAGACAGAAAATCAATACTTAGTATAAGTGTGATGAACATTTTATTGTATTTAAAGTCTGATTACATACATTGAATTCTTTTAGCTCTTTAAATAGTACTGTAATGCATATCTGTGTACTTAAACTTGTGTGTGTGTGTGTGTGTGTGTGTTTTCATTTCACATTGCTTCTACACACAGAATCATTGGGTCATAGTATATGAATATTTTCAAGGATCTTGGTAACATAAAGCCAATTCCACAACATTTCTGAAAAGAGTGATTGATTGGTTGATTTATTTAGGTCTGGCTTGATTACTAAAATTATTTTGATCATGGACATGGCTGATCTATCACTTCATGCTTTGATATGATTCTATTTGTCCGCTTGCCCAGTTCATATGTATTATGAACTCCCATAAGGATGGCATTTTCTCTTAGGCTAAGCTTTATAGCCCAAAATACAAATTCTTGTTGAGTTAATCAACCATCTTTTACTAAAATTTATGCAGACTTTTAGATCTAAATGATGCTTATTCCTGAATTGCACAATTTAAATTAAAAATCAGTTCTCCTCTTCACATTGCACTAAGCATCCTTAGTTTTATCTCCCATTATCTTATTCTGTCTAACACAGGGTCAAGTATGATGTAAGAATTGTCCTTGATGGGTAAAATTACTTGATGCTGCTGTAGAAAGCTGACACCAGGTAGTCAGTGGGTAGTAGTAAGGATGGACTCTAATACCTTTTTCAGTAGACTGTAAGTCATTAGTATGTGCTAATAAGAATAGAGATGTATGAATATGTAAAATAGCAGTACTGTTAAATATTGCTTTTTATAAGTAGTGACATTTCCCAGCTCTGCTGTTAATATCTTACAGCCCAGTGGTCTGGCTTAGTGGTTGAGCATTGACTTAGGAACCAGGAAGTCATGGTTCAATTCCCAATCAGGGCACAGACCCTGATTGTGAGCCTGATCATCTCCAGTGTGGGGTGTACAGGAGGCAGCCGATCAATGAATTCTCCCTCATCATTGATGTTTCTATCTCTCTCCCTCTCCCTTCCTCTCTAAAATCAATTAAAAAAAATTTTTTTTTAATCTCACAGTAGCTTCATTCACCATCAACTCTCCATTGTAACTACCTTGTGCTTTACTATCACCAATTCATCATTTTATGATACAATTGACTAAACTTTTAATTTGAGACTTTATTTTCACAGGACTCTAATTATGGGAGATAAGAAGGCTGGATTTTCTGTATTCTGGGCTGATGATGGTTTAGACACAGGACCCATCCTTCTTCAGAGGTCATGTGATGTTGAACCCAATGATACAGTGGATGTACTATATAATAGATTTCTTTTTCCTGAAGGAATCAAAGCCATGGTCAGTACGTTTATGCGATCAAGAAGAATTTAGTAAACCTTAAAATTTTGAAGATATTTTTCTTTTTAGGAATTTCTACTAAAAATGTAAATCCAGCCATGTCTGAGAAGCAGCCGTGGGGCAGGGGCAGGCAAGGAGCGAGCTGTTCTGGGCCTGGCTGCTCAGGGCCTGGCCTCTGTTGCTCTGGTTCATTCCACAACCAGCTGCTCCGGGTCTGGTCACTGCCGCTCCCGACCTAGTTGCTCTGGACTTGGCTGCTGCTGCTCCGGGCCTGGAAACTTTCGTGGGAACTTGAGGGTCTGCTGAATCAAGTGATGAAGGCTTAGATCTGGATGTGTTGAATTAGTTTAGGACTGGGGTGTTGATCTGTGAGTGCCTTGGGTGGGGCCTGGATGAGGCTGGTTGACCTAGTGGGAAATGTCTTTTGTGTGAAGTGTATCATTGGGCATGTGGAGGTATTATTGATATGAGAAAATGCTAAGTAACTGATTTACTATCTGAAAAGGGATTTACTATTGGGGAAATTGAGGGAAGAAGAGACTGAACATAAACTGCACCTATGGATGAGGACAATGGGGGATTGGGGGGGGACGGAGGGTGGGGTGGGAACCTGGTGGAGGGGGGAAGAAATGAGGAACCTTTGTAATAATATGAACAATAAAGATTGATTTAAAAAAAAATGTAAATCCAAGTAAAATTAAATTTTACATTTACCAGTAGGATAGTGTGTTTAGGGAGGATATCTGAACTTTAAAGTTTCTAGTCAATGAAGCGGATTTGCTTTTCTGAGTGCAATGATCAAATGGATGAACTAGCAAACTGTCTCAATTATTTTGCCAAATTCTTGAATCTCCAATCCTGTTTATAACACTAATTGTAAAGAAGTACAGAGAATCTTAAGAAATTTTGCTAAGTAATTTGAACTTCCTATAAAAGTATCTGAAATCACTCTACATAATGAGGTGAAATTTGGTGTTGCTCTATTTGTTCAGATGGGGTCAGAACAGGTACCCCACAAAGAAAAACTATGTTAGCCTGTAAAAGTATTGAAAGATAATTTTACTGTTATTTAATGTTTTCCAGAGTTTGATATGGTAGAAGTAGCAACACAGAGGTGGACAGTAAGATGACGTAAAGCATCAGTTCTTGATTTCAGAGGGAGGAGAGCAGTATTCTGTTTGTATCACTTAATGATTTATTGATACCAAAGTTCTCATTCTATCACTTATTTATTGTATGACAATGGGCAGGTCACTTAGACGCTGTAGCCTTGGCTTCCTTATCTATAAAATCTAGATAATACTACCTGATGGATAGTTGTTGTGAAAATTAAATGGCATTTGTGTAAAGAACCTAGCATACGATAGGTGCTCAAAGATAATAATTACATACTGGTAATACAATCAAAATAGTGTTGTATGTGTTCAGTTGCATTTTTTCAAATCTGGCTCCTGTACCCAAGCCCGGGTGATATTACAGCCTGAAGTGGGCAGAATGAATGAGCTATAAACTTGTCCTTATTCCCAGATGGTTTGCTCCATGTGCTCTTGCGGAGGTTGGTCAGCAGCTCTGAGTGGTTAGAGTGAAATCTGAGAACGTGAGCTCACATAGGCCTCCCAGTGAAAGAGCGAGGCTCTCCACTCAAGACAAACATAAATGTAAATATAACGTGGGAGAGCATGTAGGACACATCCCAAATGCAATCAAACGCATGGGTAGATGTTAACTTTTTAAACTTCCAGGTGTCCTAAGCTAGAAAGCGAGTTGAATTACGTATAGCAGTGTATCACTGTCTGGAATCACCATGAAGAGAAGAAATAACCCATCATGACTTATTTTACAATAATATACCTGAAATCTCCATTGAATCACTTAGGGGAGGTTGAAATTTGTTTAAAGAGGAAGTACAGAGTTGATATTGGCAGTAGACAGACTTAAATGCAGATCTTTCTTCTGACACCCATAGGCCATCTCTGCAATCTTGAGCTAGCTGCTTAACTTTTCTAAGACTCCGTTTCCTCATCTGTGAGAAAGGAATAATAGTATCCACCTTGCAGGATGGATGTGAAGTTGCCAGGGTTATTTCACATGAAGCAACTACCACACTGCCTAGCACATAGACAGATCTGAAGAAATGCTCGTTATTATCATAGTCTGACTCTCTGGACAGATTAATAAGCAGTACTTCTGCAGAGCAGAAACTTCAGCTAAACAGATCGCACTGTTGTTGCCCATTGGGCTGTAACACAGGTCACGTTTCCGGCTTTAGGTGGAAGCTGTTCAACTCATAGCTGATGGAAAAGCTCCTCGGATTCCCCAGCCGGAAGAAGGGGCAACGTATGAAGGCATCCAGAAAAAGGAAAATGCTGAGGTATGTATACCAACCAAACTCAACCACTTATATGGCTCTCAACCTTTGAGTGGTTCCCAGTGTACTATTTTTTGGGGTCCAAAGGCAGATCTCCAAGCTAGCCAGCCCAACCACCCCTACTTCTACTTCTGAGGGACAGAAATGTTTCCGTTGCCTTTGACACTGTCAACATCAAGAGGTTCAGCCTGCTGAAACCGGTTTGGCTCAGTGGATAGGGCATCGACCTGCGGACTGAAGGGTCCCGGGTTCGATTCTGGTCAAGGGCATATACTCTGGTTGCGGGCACATCCCCAGTGGGGAGTGTGCAGGAGGCAGCTTATCCATGTTTCTCTCTCATTGATGTTTCTAGCTCTCTATCTCTCTCCCTTCCTCTCTGTAAAAAAAAAAAACAATAAAAAAATATTTTTTTTAATTAAAAAAAAAAAAAGAGGTTCAGCCTGTGCTTTGTGCTTTCCTAGATTTCTTGGGATCAGTCTGCTGAAGTTTTACATAACTGGATCCGAGGCCATGATAAAGTCCCTGGCGCTTGGACAGAGATAAATGGACAGGTATGTTCTAGGGACCACTTTCTTTTTCTTTTTCTTTTCTTTTTTTTAAACCGGTTTGAATGTTTCTTATGTTAACAAGGCCTTTATTGAAAATACTTTCCCTACGGTTTCCAGAATATTATTTTGTTCCATAACATCATTTCCCACTCAATCCCGGACCTGTTGACTAGAAATCACGTTTGTTCTGTGCATTGCAAGGAAGCTAAAGGAGATTCGCCCATGTCACTAGATTTTTTTGATCCCTTATGTTTTCCATCACCCACTGCAATAATTAGGTCAACTTTGCAGAAACATTTGAAAAATAGACCTTTGCGCAATAACCCAGTACCCTCCAGGGTTTTAAAAGTGAAGAATGTTACTCAGGCAAGTCAGAATCTGATACCAATTAAATGGTGACAGCTTTGCCATAAACACACACACACACACACACACACACACACACACACACACACACAAAAATGCTCTTCCAGGGCTAGGAAGGGAGACGGCCACAGTTGACAGGTCCCAAAGACGCATGGGGTAGGGACCACTTTTTTTTTTTCATGTCACCACTGTAAGAGGTATGACACGTAAGTCTAGGCTTCCTCTGGGCTCCCCTTGGTCATGAGGAGGGTCTGTGATTCTAGGTATATGTGACCTGCTGAAGGAAACACCCCCTTCTTTACTCAGCCCACAGAGAGCATTTGCTGTGGAGCAGACAATTGGCACAGCCCCTGCTCTTACGGAGCCTGCAGTTTTACGGGAAAAGCAGAGAAGTGAATAAACACACGTAACGCAGTAAGACAGGTGCTGTACGTCCCTGAGGCCCAAATTCCCGTGTTAGGAAAGGCTTCCTGGAAAAGCTGACTTATTTGATTGCACGTTGAGAAAAGGTCACAGGTAGAGAATAAGAAAAGGAGGTGAAGACCCAGGGACAGGAGAATGTATTACCCCAAAACTCGCAATGAAGCCGGAGCCCCAGGTGAGAGGCAAGGGGAGAGATGAGGCTGGGAGGTGGGCTGGACCGGAGCGGGAAGGGCCTTCTCAACTGGGGAATCTCAGCTCTGGTTCTCAGGTTGCACCTCTTCAAAGAAGTTTCCTGTCCTGCTCACACGTCCAGCCTGGTGAGGTGGAGGGTCCCTCCTCTCTGTCCCAACCATACCCTTCCTAAGACACAGTGTCTCTTTATTTACCTAGCCCTTCTCGTCCACTAGTCAATGAACCTTTTAGGGATAAGGGCTTCACGTTGTCTTGATAAACTCAGCACTGAAGCAGGGTTCTTAGTGCATATGAGGTGCCAATAAAAATATGTGGGATCATGCCCGGCTGGCACAGCTCAGTGGTTGAGCATCGAGCTATGAACCAGAAGGTCACAGTTGAATTCCCTTCAGGGCACATGCCTGGGTTGATGGCTCTGTCTCTAGTAGGAGACAGTCAATCAATGATTCTGTCATCATTAATGTTTCTATCTCTTTCTCCTTTTCCCTTCCTCTCTGAAATCAATAAAAAAAATATATATTTAAAAATAATAATAAAATAAAAATATGTGGGATCAAAGAAGGACCAAGGGGGGAAGTGTAGTGCAGGAAGTGTGGGCTCTGGAGCTGGAATGTTTCAGTTAAAATTCTGGCTCTCTACTATTTGCTATGTAACCTGCCCCAGGTTACCTTTGTGTACCTTGGTTTCCTTATTGTAAACTGGAATAATAGTGCCTTCTTTATAGGTTATGGGTTGCGTGAAGATTAAAGGAGTTAACACAAGTTAATTCATTTAAGTGCTTGGTCCCTGCCAAAAGTATTCAGCAAATGTTAACTTTATTGTCCTCAGTAAATGACAGAGGATAGTAATCCTATAAAATAAAGAGGTGATATGCAAATTAACCCTCATCCCCTTACAAGATGGCTGCCTACGACCAGGCTGGCAGGGGGTTAGTGAGGGACAACCAAACGACTGAACAAGCAGGCTTCATGTGGCAACCAAGCCAGCAGGAAGAGAGGGGGAAGCAGGCCATGAGGAGTGACCAAGCCAGCAAGGGGGGTCAGTTGGAGGCAACCAGGATAGCAGGGGGGGAAGTTGGGAGCAATTAGGCGGCAGTGGGGGCAGTGAGGGGTGACTAGGCCAGCAGTGTGGGACAGTTGGGGGTGACCAGGCAGGCAGGCAGGTGAGCAATGAGGAGCCAGCGGTCCAGGATTGTGAGAGGATTGTCCAACTGTAGGGGATTAGGCCTAAACTGGCAGTCAGACATCCACCAAGGGGTCCCAGATTGGAGAGAGTACAGACTGGGCTGAGGGGACCACCCACCCCACCCTGTGCATGAATTTTACACACCGGGCCTCTAGTAAAATTAAAATAACAAATCAGTTAATAACGAGTTCTCTTGGTTACAGTCTAGATCCAGTCCTATTTCCATGATCTCACCCACAAAGCACCCTGTACTTCCCATCAATAACCACAATACATTGGAATACACCCTCCCCCCCAACACCTCCATTCCCCTCAAAAACTCTACCTCCAGCCTGCAAAGTCTGTGAGAGCTTCTCATCTCATTCACCTTCGCATCTATGTGAATAAATGATAAATGTTCTACTCATGTTTTCTGGGTGTGGGACATTTTTTTAAACTCTTCAGTCATATAGTTGCAGACTACCTCTTGCTCTGTGTAATTTCTACAGATGCTTGGTACAATCTCTAACATTGGGGTGTCTGACCTTATCATGAGTGAGAATTCCAGCATTTCTGCAGGGAGTGCTATTCGTACACACCCGTTCAGAGCTGCATCTTCCCTACCTCACACTCTGGGTTTGATCTCTTTATTAGATGGTCACATTCTATGGCTCTTCACTGCTGAATAGCCCCGTGCCACCTGGAGAACCACTGGAGATGAAAGGTGCCAAGAAGCCTGGCCTGGTTACCAAACATGGACTGGTTCTCTTTGGTAACGATGGGAAAGCAGTGAGTGTTCAATATGGTCACTTGTAAAATACACCACCCCCCCTTTGTTTCCTTCTATACCCCAAGCTATTTTTTTAAATTAAATATTTTTATTGATTTTACAGAGAGGAAGGGAGAGGGAGAGAGAGCCAGAAACACCAAATCTGCTGCCTCTTGCACAGTTCCCAGTGGGGATGTGCCCACAGCCAAGGTACATGCCCTTGACTGGAATCGAACCTGGGACCCTTGAGTTCGTAAGCCGACGCTCTATCCGATGAGCCAAACCAGTTAGGGAATATTCAGGGAATATCTTTCCCAAGGTAATCTGACCTTGCAGTGGGATGTGGGAGGCTCAAGACACCTGTGCCCATTTTTCTCTGTTTTTCACACCTTGATGTGCCTGGTTGAGGGCAAGGCTCCCAGGATGGCACCAAGGATCTGAATAATCAGCGTTGCGATGCAATAGAAAGAGCATGGAATTTAGTCAGAAAACGGGATCTGAATCCCTGCTCTGCCATCTACTGGTCTTGGGAAGGATGCTTCTCCCTCTGGGTCTCAGTTTCCCCACTTATGAAACAGAGAGAGCAATCCCATCTGTCTGCCTTCCCGCTGCCAGAGTCTGGGAGGATCAAATGAGTCCGATGTGGTCCTCTTGTAGATGCTCGTTGCCTCTGCCTCACCAGGCAGGTGCCCACCCTCACTCCCTGTGCTTGGGAGCATGGGCTCTGGCATCAGTGGGCTCGTGGGCAGCTTCTCCATGAAGAATGCAAAAGGGAACTCGCCACGTGACAGACGTTCTCTGCTAGCTTGCAGGGTAGATCAGTTATTAATATTGCAGGCTTCAGGATCCAACTAGTTCTGGGTTGTAACCCCAGCTCTGTTACTTACTAGCTGTGTGGCATTGAGCAAATTACTTACCCTCAGCAACCTCACTTCCCCATCAATAAAATAGAGCTAATAATGGCACCTGCCTCCATTAGGAGTTATTAGATTAAATAAGATACTTCAGCACATGCATACTAAGCATATACATGCATACATGTACATGTTGGAGTAAATGTTCAGATGATGGCAGTGGCAGTGGGTTATAGTAGATTTTAGTTCAAATATCCACATCAAATGTCAAGTTTCAGGGGCTTATTATCCATTTTGAGATGTATCTACGCCTAGACTTACCTGTCTCCTTTCTGCTGCCATTGTTAAATTACTATTTCAGTCCCTATATACATAATGGTAAGTCATCTTCATCTATACGTTTGCATCTGCCAAACAATCTACTCCTTAAACATATGATTCCTTCTTCCACCAACCACACTTTTGAATTGTCCGAACCCTTCACTCTCCTCCTCCTTTTGTAGCTGATGGTGAGAAATCTACAGTTTGAAGATGGAAAAATGATTCCTGCCTCTCAGTACTTTTCAGCGGGTGAGACAGCAGTGGTGGAACTTACAGCCGAAGAGAAGAAGGTGGCAGAGACCATCAAGGTGAGCATGTAATGTCCGCACTATTTCTCCTGTCTTGGAAAAGGGAAGCATTTTTGTATGTGGTGCCATCCGTACACCAAGAGGTGGAGATGGAAATGTATTTCCTCTTTTTTTTTTCTTTTTTTTTTTTTGTATTAGCTACAATAAGAAGTCAACCCCAACATTTATAGGCGGATTTATTTTTCACTCACATAAATCATCCAAGGCAGTTTCCGGTTGGCATAGGAATTAGGGGGAAAGCTGGAACAAGAGGATTAGGGTTTGACGTCTTCAGGGACTCAGAGGGTCTGCTGTCTCCAAAGGGGGTCATCCCCATACCAGACAGCCCATAGGGCAAAAGAGCATAGAGGATTGTGTGAGGGAAGTTTTTCAAGGGCCAAGGCTGGAGTGCAGATCCCTTCTACTCAGATTCATTGTCTAGATGACAGTCTTAAAGCTGCATCTAACTTGAAGAGATGCTGAGGAGGGAAGTCAAGTCATGTATCCAAGGTGAAGAAGACATCGGTTTGCTAAAGAGCCAGATATCTCTGCCAGGGTTCTACATGGTACAGCCCTCATAAAAGTTATTCTTATGGCGTAGGTCATCTGGGCTGGAATTTTAAGCAACGTTCCTGTTATTGAAGACTCAACAGACTTCTTCAAATCTGGAGCAAGTTCAATGGATGTTGTCAGGTAAAACCACCTCCTTATTCATTCACATCCGTCCACTAGGGATTCTGAGTGTGACTTTGAAAATTAAATCTAACTCCCTTATTCTGGATGTTATTACTTTATCCTACCTGTCTGCTATGTTTCTCTTCATCTTTTGTTTGGTGTGTTTCTAAGGTCAAACACATATATTTGTTTCCTACTCTTCGTTATTATCCAGAAGTAATTTTCATATCTCCTATATACCCAGAAACGCAACCCTTTTAATTGTTTGTTTTCTTTACAAATGTGTCTTTATATCTCTTGGCTGATTTTCCTCTAATTTGACATTGGAATTGGGATGTGCCAGGTGAAAATGTTAATCAGGAATTTCTTTCATAGTCTGATCCAGAAGGATACCTGACCTTGGTTACACTTCCCACCAAAATAGTTTTTTCCTCTCCTCCCAAAATGCCCAATAAGATCTATCTAGAATGAAGATTACCAGATTACTTGTGGGAATAAATATCATCAAACTATAGTCAGAATTTCTCTACAGAGGATTACAGTAAGTTGAAAGGGCTAGAGTCCTAGAAATGCCATCTTTGGCACAAAGAGTGTATCAGGATTCTAATAGTGGAGAGTTGCAAAGGTGGAGAGTTGCAAATTTTTATTGAATTCAGAGAGGAAGAGAGAGGGAGAGAAAGATAGAAACATCAATGATGAGAGAGAACCATTGATCAGCTGCCTCCTGCACGCCACACTCTGGGGATTAAGCCCACAACCTGAGCATATGCTCTGACCGTGAATTGAACTGTGACCTCCTGGTTCATAGGTTGATGCTCAACCACTAAGCTATGCTGGTCAGGGCCAGAGTTTTTTTTTACTTTGACACCATAGTCACGAACTAAACAAGATAAACAGTGTCACTTCTCTTGACACAATCTTTCATGTCAGCAAAGCGAGTGTGTTCTTGACAAATATTCTATTTACTCATTTATTCATTCATTTATTTAACAACATCTATTGAACACTTATTATATATCAGGAACAGTTTTTTTCAGTGGGATACAATCATCAATAAGACAAGATCCCTTCATTCATGAAGCTTTTGTAGTTCAGTAACCAAAAATGATCATCTCAAGAGCAAACGATTTTTTAGCGAAAGTCAAGAGTTTTGGTTCCTCAAATTACAAATTTCTCAGCTATGACTCATGACTTCCCAGAAATTTCTAACATGCCCAACTAAAGATTTCAATACTATACTTTTAGTACTTTTTTTTTTTTTTTTTTTGCCAGCAAAATACTCTTGCAGGAATTACCCATTTCCTGTTTGAGTGTCTGGCTTACCATAATCATCTGATATTATTATCTTGAACTATCAAGGCATCTCATCTCTTTTAGAACATAAATGATTGAACAACAACTCTGGTAGGCTTTCTATAGTGCATCTAGTTCACTGTTGCTATTCAAGAAACGTTAAATAACAGCTGCATTTTGAAAATTCAGCAGTGAGCCGAAACCGGTTTGGCTCAATGGATAGAGCATCGACTTGGGGACTGAAAGATCCCTGGTTTGATTCCGGTCAAGGGCATGTACCTTGGTTGCGGGCATAATCCCCAGTAGGAGATGTGCAAGAGGCAGCTGATCGATGACTCTCATTGACATTTTTAACTCTCTCTCTCTCTCTCTCTCTCTCTCTCTCTCTCTCTCTCTCTCTCTCCCTTCCTCTATTTACAAAATCAATAAAATATATTAAGAAAAAAAAAAAGAAAAGAAAAATCAGCAGTGAAAAGTCAAAGGATTGGAAAAAATTTCAGATATCGGGTCTAGTAATAATTAATGTCGTTTTAAAACATTCGTTTAAAATCTTGCTTGGCGTTGACTTGTATTGACATAACCTTCAAACACATGGTATCTACAGAACGTGTGAAGTGCAATTAACAAGTTTTGCTTGAAAAAGTTTGTGTTTGGTTTGGTTTTTGTTGCAAAACTAGGGCTAAGAAGATGGCGGATGAAGAGCATATTCGGCACTGCATGCTTTACGAGTTCCAATTAGGAAGAAAAGCAAGTGAGGCTGCAAAAAACATCTGTAGTGCTCTTGGTCAAGATGCAGTTAGCGCTAGAAAATGCCAGCGTTGGTTTGAGAAATTTCGCGAGGGAAATTTTTCATTAGATGACAAGAGTGGTTGAGGCCGTGTGTCCAATTTTGATCAAGAAGCTCTTCAAGCTCTTTTGGTGCAAAATCCTCAAATTACCCAACAAGAGCTTGCGACAACTTTAAATTGTTCACAAAAAACAATTTCCAATCAATTGCGTGCACTTGGCAAAGTCCAAAAGTTTGGAAAATGGGTTCCTCATGAGTTGACCGACAACAACCGTAATCAAAGAGTCACAATTTGCAGTTCGCTCCTCTCTCGTCAAAACCGTTTGCCGTTTTTAGAGCAAATTGTTACTGGAGATGAAAAATGGGTGCTGTATGTTAATTTGAAAAGGCGGCCTCAATGGTTGGACAAAAATGAGGCTCCGCAGCCCACGCCAAAACCTGACTTGCATGCGAAAAAAGGGATGTTGTGTGTTTGGTGGAATTTTAAAGGAATTCTTCATTATGAACTTTTACCATCTAACCAAACCATTACAAGTGCAGTGTATAGTGCCCAATTGGAAAGGTTAGCCCAAGCTTTAAGAGAAAAAGAACCCGCGCTGATTAATCGGAAGGGCGTAATTCTTCACCACGATAACGCACGACCGCATACTGCAAGAATCACTGCTGAAAAACTGCGCCAGTTGGAATGGAAAGTTCTCCCTCAACCTGCATATTCTCCTGATATTGCCCCTTCCGACTGCCATTTGTTTCATTCTTTGCAAAACTTTCTTCTTGGAAAAAAATTTAATAATGAAGAATGCCTCAAAAATGCATTGACCGAATTTTTTGCATCAAAATCACAAGAATTTTACAACAAAGGGATTAAAATGCTTCCTGAGCGTTGGGCACAAGTAGTAGAAAACAACGGCAACTATATTATTGATTAAATTTTGTTGTATTGTTTAAATAAATTCGATTTTAAAAAGTATTATAAAACGACATTAATTATTACTAGACCTAATATTATATTGACCTATGGTTCTAATTTGTACCTACATTAACCATGTGACACAAATGTTTGTTTTATTCTTACACGTAATCTATAGAACATATTCTATAATATGACCTGTATGTCTCGTAATCTTTACAATTAGGAAATTTCCTTTATTTTATTACTCCTTGACTACATTTGAAAGAAAAGGAACTGACTTTATGAGCTTCTTCTTATCTTGCTTGTATTCCAAGTAATTAAAATATTTTTGCTTTGCTTTCTTTTCTCTGTAGGCATCTATAATGAATTGCCATTGTCCTTCCACACAGCTTTTTAGTTTTTTCTTCTTCTGTTCTTATCAATTTTTGTATTACTACCATAGAAGACTTCATAAGACATATGTAGGCATGTGATGTGTTTTACTTTGAAACAACTTGACAATGATAATTACACAGCTCCCCTAAATCCTCTAACACATGTAAGTAACAGGAGCTGGTTCTTACTTTAAGGCTGGTGGAAGAGATCAGACAGAAATGTGGTGGCCTTCAGTTACAGAATGAAGATGTCTATATGGCCACCAAGTTTGAAGACTTCATCCAGAAAGTCGTGAGGAAACTGAGAGGAGAAGATCAGGAAGAAGAGCTAGTAGTGGATTATGTAAGTCTATGGTGTTTAAAATCTAAATCATTAAGATTCCTATACTGCCGAAGCCGGTTTGGCTCAGTGGTAGAGCGTTGGTCTGTGGACTGAAAGGTCCCAGGTTCGATTCCGGTCAAGGGCATGTACCTTGGTTGCGGGCACATCTCCGGTAGGGAGTGTGCAAGAGGCAGCTGGTCGATGTTTCTCTCTCATCGACATTTCTGCTCTCTCTCTGCCTTTCTCTCTGTTAAAAATCAATAAAATATATATTTTAAAAAAGATTCCTATACTATTAAAAATGCTATATATTTCATCCACTTGTTTTTAAAGTAACAGTTGTATTAAGATATAATTCGGCCCAACTGGTATGGCTCAATGATTAAGCATCAACCATTGAACCAAGAGTTCATGGTTCAATTCCCAGTCATAGGTATGTATATATAGGGAAAACATAGTACATACTAGTATAAGATTTTGTGTGCACATATATTCTCACTTCTCTTGGTATATATTTAGGAGTCATATGGTTCACCTTTTGAGGAGCCACCAAACTCTTTTCCACAATAGCTACACCATTTACAATCCCACTAGCAATGTAGGAAAGTTTAATTCTCCATGTCCTCACCAACATTTGCTATTTTCTGTCTTCTATTTTTGCTGTTCTAATGGGTGTGACCTGGTATTTCATTGTGGTTTTAATTTCCATTTCCCTAATGACTAGTGATGAACACCTTTTCGTGTGCTTATTGGCTATTTGTATATCTTCTTTGAAGAAATATCTATTCAAATCTTTTGGCTATTTTTCAATTGAGAGTTTGTCTTGTTAATTTTTGAGGTTTAAGAGGCCTTATATACTTTCACCCTAATCAGATAAATGATTTGTAAATATTTTCTCCCATTCTGTGTACTTTCTTTTTACTTTTTTGGTGGTGTCCATTGACACACAAAAGTTTTAAAATTTAATTAAGCCTAATTTATCTATTTGTTTTTTGTCACTTGTGCTTGTATATGTTTTATCTCATGCCTTTTTTTCTCTATTCTGTTTTTACTGCTTCCTTTTCATTAAATGGATATTGTCTAGTGTAACAGTTTAATCCCTTATTGTTACTTTTACTATTTTTTAAATTATTTTCCTACTAGTTGCCTTGAGTATTACAATGGACATTTTTGCTTAAAACATTCCTATTCAGATTAATTCTAACTTAATACCAACAGTATAGAAAAACTGTGCTGTAAAATACTCTGCTCCCTAATCTTCAGTTTTGCTACTATTGTTATGCAAATTACAACTTTATACATTATAAAGTCACCAACATCATTTTATAATTACTGCTTCATGCAGTCATTTTTTATATTTATTCTGACTTTTGTATTTACCTTTATCAGTGTTCTTTATTTCTTCATGTAGATATAAGTTACTGTCTTGTGACCTAACATTTCAGCCTGAAGCACAGCTATTAGTACTTTTTAAAGGGCAATGTGATAGCAAGGAATTCTCTCAGTTTTTTTTTTCTTTTGGGAACAACTTAATTTCTCATTTGTTCTGGGGAGTATATTTTTTGCAGTAAAGTGAATTTTTGGTTGACAGTCTTTTCTCTCAGCACTCGTTAGCTGATTGTGGAGAGTACCATGTAGGCAACACATGTAAGAGAAAGAAAGTGGGAATGGGGAGGAACATAAGGAAAGAAAACTCAAAATGGCACCAGTGTAAAAGGAAACCTATTGATAGAAGCAATTTCAAGGCTTAAATGAAAGCAGTGGCTGCACTCCATAGGTGTTGCCACTAGATGGTGCTGTTTCCATTACCTGGAGGTCTTGCGAGTTATTGTTTCTTCATCTGTAGAGAAAAAAATCAGATCTTAAAGCCTAGACTCAAGCACTTCCATCATCACATGCGAACCTCCTGCCTCAGTAGCCAACCTGAACACCATGAGGCCCAGATCTTACATATGCTTGTCTCTTCAGAAAGGAAGAACGAGAATCCCAGGGGCTTAACTTCTCCCTCTGCACTAGTGGATAGCTTCTTTATTGCTAGTCAGTATCAAACGGGTAAGCACAGAAATCCACTGAATCTATTAATATAACTCTCTCTTAGGTTTCCAAGGAGGTCAATGAAATGACAGTAAATATGCCATATCAGTGTTTTATAAATGGACAGTTCACAGATGCTGAAGATGGAAAGACTTACGACACTATCAACCCAACAGACGGCTCTGTGAGTAATGGCTCAGTGGGCATAGTGACCACTGGTTATAGTGACCACTGGTTGTGGATTTTTACATACACAGTTGTCATACAGACAGTCTCCAGAAGTTACTTTATCCTATCACTCTGCCTCTGAACACTTCTTATAAATGTACTTCCTGTATTCTTTTCAACTATTTCATGCCGGTCATGGCTACTGTTAACTACGGTAGCCTATTTTATAGAATGAATATTTATGATGAATTTCGACAGATCCATATCCACATCAGAGGCACACTTACACGATAAAACTGTGAGGGAAAATTTCAAACTTTGCAAGCTCCGTGGCAAGAAACTCAACTTCCAAGGCACTAAGAAATAGTTGTAGTTTTCCTAAACGAGTCTTTCCATAATGTAGTGTGACATGAGAAATACCAAATTTCAGGCTCACAATTTTCATGTTAAAATCGTTTTTTGGAGGGATCTCCTTTTTTTGTTACTCTATCACTGGATGTATTGGGTTTCCATCATAAAGTTCTCTGGATTTTATGATATATTCATTCAAAGAAGCATCTTCACATATCTCACTGTAAAATAACCGTTAGCCTATTTTGACTCATCTTCCAATAGACCATATGCAAAGTATCCTATGCTTCTTTGGTGGATGTTGATAAAGCAGTAGCAGCAGCCAAAGATGCCTTTGACAATGGCGAATGGGGAAGAATGAATGCAAGAGAAAGAGGAAGGCTGATGTACAGGTATGTTCTTTTAAACCCAGTTAGAGGGCAAGGAAGCCATGTCTGTGAATGTTGATATTGACTAACATTGCCAAGATTTAAAATATTTCTTCAAAGCATACTAACATGCACCTATTATATAACATGCCTTCTGTTGTTTATATATCACACAAAATTCCATACATGTGCGTTCCCAACTTTTGCGTTATTCTTTTTTTATTTTATTTTATTTTTTTATTTTTTTTAAATATATTTTTATTGATTTTTCACAGAGAGGAAGAGAGAGGGATAGAGAGCTAGAAACGTCAATGAGAGAGAATCATCGACCAGCTGCCTCTTGCACACCCCTACTGGGGATGTGCCCGCAACCAAGGTACATGCCCTTGACCGGAATCGAACCCGGGACCTTTCAGTCCACAGACCGACGCTCTACCACTGAGCCAAACCGGTGCTGGCTTGCGTTATTCTTTGTACCATTCAAGGTCTCAGTAGAAAAAGAAGTTTAATAAAAGACTGTTTACAAAGATGTAAGCAAGGTCAAGGGATAATGAAGGGTAGCAACAGGGGGCAGCTGCCACTACTCCAAGGACCGAGGAAGGGGCTGGTATTAGATTCCGGTAAGGTCTAAAGCCATAGGAGAAGACCACTTTGCGGTGGTTTTGGTTGGGGGACACAGCAGCTGCTGGACCGCAGCCCATCTCTAAGACAGCCAGGGGAGACCAATTCCCAACCACTTTTGCCTCTAGTTCACCAGTCTTCTGGGAGTGCCGCCCGTTGGACTCTGATTGGCCAAACCCAGCAAGAGGGCAAGAAGCCAAGTGATGTAGTCTATGAAGGTCATGCTCACGGCCACAGAGCAGAGTAGAGAATGAATGACAACCATAAATGGAGAATACCCAGCACCCTGTTATTTTCTTTTTTTAAAAAAAATACCCAAAACCAGTTTGGCTCAGTGGATAGAGTGTCAGTCTGCAGACTGAGGGGTCCCAGGTTCGATTCCGGTCAAGGGCATGTACATTAGTTGCGGGCACAACCCTGGTATGGGGTGTGCAGGAGGCAGTTGATCAATGTTTCTCTCTCATTGATGTTTTTAGCTCTCTATCCCTCTCCCTTCCTCTCTGTAAAGAATCAATAAAATATTTAAAATATATTTTTATTTTATTTTATTTTATTTTATTTTATTTTATTTTATTTTATTTTATTTTATTTTATTTTATTTTATTTTATTTTATTTCAGAAAAGAAGGGAGAGGGAGAATGAGATTGAAACACCAATGAGAGAAAATCCTTAACCGGTTGTCTCCTGCACACTCCCTACTGGCCTCCTGGTTTATAGGTCGATGGTCAACCACTGAGCCACACCGGCCAGGCCCTGTGATTTTCAAAGATAAAAATTAAACCTCCTTTATGTGTAGGAAACAAAAGTAATGAAAGGAAATACTAAGGCCTGAAAGGGTATATTATAAGTTGATAACTGAGTACGTCAAGAATATTTAATTTACCAAAACTGGTTTGGCTCAGTGGATAGAGCGTCGATCTGTGGACTGAAAGGTCCCAGGTTCGATTCTAGTCAAGGGCATGCATGTACATTGGTTGCGGGCACATCCCTGATGTGGGGTGTGCAGGAGGCAGCTGGCCAATGTCTCTCTCTCATCGATGTTTCTAGCTCTCTCTCCTCTCCCTTCCTCTCTGTAAAAAATCAATAAAATATATTAAAATCTGATCATAAATTAAGATTTTTGCTTACCTAAGCCAAATAGCTGACCTTGGTCAGAAGATCTCTTAGAGCATGATCTGGAAGAATCACTGGGGTGGGGGGGGGGGTTTCATCCCTGACTTTGGAACGGTTCAGAGGGGAGGCAGCTCAGACAACTACTATAGGAAAGCCAGTAGCCAACGTGAACAAAAAAGATGATTTTTTACTATTTCCTAGACATTAGATAGTCCTAGACTTATCGTCCCCCAGAAATTGGACACCGAACAGAAATCTGTTGCGGTGTCTGTAATTTATTCCATCTGTTTCTAGCTTTTCCTTTTCAGTGAGGGTTGGAAGTAATTCCGCACCAGCCAGAAATCCTCACGTGTTCACGGATTCTCCAGGCTGCGGGTTGCACTCTAACATCTCCCTGTACGTTCATGAAATATCCACAAGCCCTCTGATTCCTATCACTGATCTCCTTGGCTCAATCACTGTTCTACCTCTTGTACATTTATTAGGCAAATAGTACAGGCTCCCAACACCCTCTGCTTCTCTTGTAACTCTTTTTTTACAATGTTTTTATTTATTTATTTATTTATTTATTTATTTATTCATTTAAAAATATATTTTATTGATTTTTCATGGAGAGGAAGAGAGAAAGATACAGAGTTAGAAACATCGATGAGAGAGAATCATCGATCAGCTGCCTCTTGCACACCCCCTACTGGGGATGTGCCCGCAACCAGGGTACATGCCCTTGACCGGAATCGAACCCGGGACCTTTCAGTTCGTAGGCCGACCCTCTATCCACTGAGCCAAACCGGTCCCGGCTGTATTTCTTTATTTTATTAATGTCTGCTATTGTGGCATTTATTAAATTCTTTAAAATGTTAAATTTGTTTTCATTCTGCTTCTTTTTAATAATTGTTTATTTATTTATTTATTTAAATTTCTTTATTGATGAAGATGTTACACATGTGTCCTTATTCCTCCATTACTCTTCCTAACAACCCCCTTTCCCCCACTCAAGCCCTCACTCTCTTCTCTTGTAACTCTTGAAACAAATGACTTACGACATTATTTGCTTAATGTCTGTCTTCTTATATTCTCCCTGAGGACAGAGACCTGGTCCAGTTATGTTCGCCTCTGAATTCGCAGCCCTTAGGAGGGTGCCTTATACAACCTAGGGGTTCAATCAGTATTTGTTGGATGGATTTTTTTTCACTGACCATACAGACTGGCAGACCTCCTGGAAGAGAACCAAGAAGAGCTGGCAACCATTGAAGCCCTCGATTCTGGCGCGGTCTACACCTTGGCTCTCAAGACTCACATTGGAATGTCTGTGCAAACATTCAGATATTTTGCTGGCTGGTGCGACAAAATTCAGGTGAGTACAAATGTTGTCTCCATATAGATCCTTCCGAAAGGGAAAGGGGTGGACATTTTATGAGTTAGTAAGGACGCTGGGTCACAGCCACCCCTTGTGGAGGAGTCCAAAGGCGGGCAATCAGGGCTAGTAGGTGAGTTGAAGATTCCCTCTCTCTCTGCCGGGTACTCTCTCTCCTGAGTACCCTGTGATCTTTACTCTTGGGATTGTCTCAGGATAGTCACTGCAGTGCCAGCCATTTCAGCAACATTCTGAGCAGGAAGAAGGAAGCCGTGGGAGGAACAGTAAAACAGCCCCTGTGTGAGCTGTGCTCTTTTCCCTCTCATTGCCTTGTGCTTACATCTTCCATTGACCATCCCTGTCCTCCATGAAAACGGGGCAAGTTTTTTATCTGAGAACTAGTGGCCCAGTGCATGAAATTTGTGCATGGGGGTGAGGGCGTGTCTCTCAGCCCAGCCTGCACCCTCTCCAATCTGGGACATCCCTCTCGCAATCCAGGACTGCTGGCTCCTAACTGCTAACCTGCCTGCCTGCCTGATTACCCCTAACTACTCTGCCTGCTGGCCTGATTGTCCCCTAAATGCTCCCGCCAGCCTGTTACCCCCAACTGCCCTCCTCCCCCGCTGGCCTGCTTACCTCCAACTCACCCCCCTGCTGGCCTGTTCTTTCCCAACTGCCTCCCCTGCCAGCATGCTTGCCCTCAACTTCTCTCCCCTGCCAGCCTGATCACCCCCAGCTTCCCTCCCCTGCAGGCCTGATTGCCCCTAATCGCCTCTGCCTCAGCCCTGCCACCATGGCTTTGTCCAAAAGGTCTCCCAGTCTAATTAGCATTTTACCCTTTTATTAGTATAGATAGTGCCATCCCCATCATTCATAAGAAACAAAGGGATAATGAATATCGGGCAAGCAATTAACATTCTCCATCATGCCAAGAAATTGGAATGGAGGTGAATAAATTAGATTTACGCTTATTCTCCCGTGCCTCGATTCCTTCAAGAAATTAATAGAAAGTTCCTTTCTTGATGTGGATATATTTCTTATCAACTGAACACTGTCTTTTCCTATAAGCTAGGGGGGGAAAAAGAGAGGCAGTGGGTTCTTTGAGATTAAAGGGAACAACTGTTAAACCACCTATGATATCCTCAAATCTCATCTATTCTGAAACAGATTACATTTTACTCATTTCCAAGAGTAAAATAAGTACCAACCTCTCTTGTTCCTTAGGGTTCCACCATTCCTATCAACCAGGCCCGGCCAAATCGCAACCTGACCTTCACCAAGAAGGAACCACTTGGGTAAGACCAGGGAAGCAAGTGTCTCTGAGTGACTTAATGCTGCTTCGAGACAACCCAGGATGTTGACTTTCTCTCCCCCCGCAGAGTCTGTGCCATTATCATCCCCTGGAATTACCCGCTGATGATGCTGGCGTGGAAGAGCGCAGCCTGTCTGGCAGCGGGCAATACCCTAGTGCTCAAGCCAGCGCAGGTAAGACGCGGGGGGCTGGCTGCCACCGCCTCGGCTCTCCCGTCTACTTAAAATCAGAGACAGGCACTCTTTTGCAACGTTGCTGTCATTATGTCAAAACAAAAGAGAGAAAAATAAAATGAGCCCTAATGCAGCCCTAGATGAAAAGCTCGGTGCTGATCTAAGGGACAGGACAGAGTCTGAAGAAGGTCACTGCTGTCTGCTTCTGCCCAGGTCACGCCCTTGACTGCTTTGAAGTTTGCAGAGCTCTCTGTGAAGGCAGGCTTTCCCAAGGGGGTAATCAACATCATTCCGGGCTCAGGTAAGCCGCCAAAAGACCCTTTTCACACCAGTTAATGAAGGGTGCGGCGGTAGCCGAGTGGCTGTTTCCCCACGGGAGTCTGTCCCAAATTATAACTATATTAAACCTAAATACTGTTTACCAAACAGTAACTTAGGGATAAATATACTGCCCATGCCGTAAAATCTTAAAATGGAAACATAATGGTGCATGAGTAGGGCAGAGATGGGGGGAGAGAGAGGTAGAAATAGTACAGCATTGTAAAACTGCCCGAAGGTGGCCCATACCAATTTTTAAAAACTATTTTGGAAGTTTAAAAACAACAACGAGGCTTGCCCATCTTTTGGGATTGGGGGGAGAGGGGATGACAGTTGCACGAAGGACATTCTTGAGATTTTTTGCCAGTTCATAATTAATACAGAAAAATGTAAAGCTAAGATTCTAATGAGAGTGTAGAAATCTCCTTCAATGAATTCAAAACCACCCCGGCCATCCGAACTTGACTAATGTTTTAAATCACGTTTGTTCCCCTAATTCCGTGGTCAGCAAACTGTGGCTCGCGAGCCATATGCAGCTCTTTGGCCCCTTGAGTGTGGCTCTTCCACAAAATACCATGGCCTGGGCGAATCTATTTTGAAGTGGCATTTGAAGAAGATTAAGTTGAAAAAATGTGGCTCTCAAAAGAAATTTCAATCGTTGTCCTGTTGATATTTGGCTCGGTTGCTAATGAGTTTGCCGACCACTGGCCTAATTCTGCAGGTGGCATAGCAGGACAGCGCCTGTCTGAACATCCTGACATCCGCAAACTTGGCTTCACCGGTTCCACTCCTATCGGCAAACAGATAATGAGGAGGTATTGGCTGCCAAATGTCCGTTTGTTGTAGATGCTGCCAAACCAGGTTTTTGTTTAGCTTTTGCTTCCTGGACTAGGGTGCTTTGGGAGGAGGAAAAATCGCCTCAGATGTAGAAGAAAGATCTACTTATCACTGCAGGGCATTGACCTGTGTGCGTATAATAAAATACCTTCCAGAGTGTAAAAGCCCACAGTCAATAAAACTAGAGCCACAGTGAAATTCTACACCCGACTGGCCGCTTTAACAATCCAACACAAAACATTTTCTGTATTAGATCTGTGGCCTAAATTGTTTTTGGAGCCTAAGTAAGAAACCAAAAAGACATATAAATAACAAATCTGGATTATTAATAAAATAAATTTCTAAAAAGTAGTAACATTGGATTAAAAAAAATTACAAATAATCTCCCGGATTAGTGTGACTTGTTTGCTTATCATCCTAAGCTGATACTTAGGTTGTGGGTTTGATTCCTGGTCCCTGGTCCAGGTGTATGTGGGAGGAAACACTTGATGTTTCTCTTTCTCATTGATATTCTCCCTCTCCCATCTTCTTTCTCTAACAAAAATCAATAAAAAAAAACATATTTTAAAAAATTAAAAATTAAGTTTTCAAATAATCTGCCCAGCCAGTATAGCTGAGTGGTTGAGTATCAACCTAGGAACCAGGAGGTCATTGTTGAAATCAGGGCACATGACCAGGTTGCCTGCTCAGTCTCCAGTAGGGAGAGTGCAGGAGGCAGCCAGTTGATGATTTGCTCTCATCTTTTTTTTTTTTTTTTAATATATTTTTATTGATTTTGTACAGAGAGGAAGGGAGAGAGACAGAGAGTTAGAAACATCGATGAGAGAGAGTCATCGATCAGCCGCCTCTTGCACACCCCCCACTGGGGATATGCCCGCAACCAAGGTACATGCCCTTGATTGGAATCGAACCCGGGACCTTCAGTCCTCAATCCAGCGCTCTATCCATTGAGCCAAACCGGTTTCGGCTGCTCTCATCTTTGATGTGTCTATCTCTCCCTTTCCAATCCTCTCTCTGCAATCAATAAAAACATATTTTTAAAAATGTTTCATTGCAAATAATCTAAATATTCAAAATAAGGCAATGGGTAAAGGAAGTCAACATAACAGAATACTGTGCACTCATGTTCATGGAACATTTTAATAACAGTGAGAAGTGTTATTAAAATGGTAAATGGAAAGTAAGCTATAAATTGTATATATTGGGTGATTCCCAACTATGTTAAATAAGGCAGAGGCTATGGTTGGGCACAGACCAGAAAAAACTATATCAAAATGGTAAAAAAAAAAAAAAAAAAAAAAAAGTCATTGAGCCATGGAATTGACCCCCCCCTTCTTTCTGCATTTCTTTAAAGTTTAAAAATGTTTTAAATAGTGCTCACTTCAGCAGCACATATATTAAAAATGTTTTAAATACTACTTCTGTAAGAAAGGGAAAATAAACAATTACTTCTAAAAATCTATATTTGTATATATTTTTTTCTTCTGGTGCTCCAGTAATCTGGCTTGAAGCTAAATTCCTTGCTAGGCCTTTATGTAACTAAAATTATTATACCTAAGTAATCTAAATTTACCTATAAGGATCTCTAGTCATTTACTACAGAATTTAAAACAAAACTTTCAGTCAAAATCGGTTTGGCTCAGTGGATAGAGTGTCGGTCTGTGGACTGAAAGGTCTCAGGTTCGATTCCAGTCAAGGGCATGTACCTTGGTTGCGAGCACATCTTCAGTAGGGGGTGTGCAGGAGGCAGCTGATCGATGTTTCTAGCTTTCTATCTCTCTCCTTTCTCTCTCTCTCTGTAAAATATCAATAAAAATATATTTTAAAAAAAACTTTTATTATGGAAAGTTTCTCGTATATTCAAAGCATAAAGAATAGCATGATGAACTTCCATGTGCTCACCACCCAGCTTCAACAGTTATCACCATTCAACCATTCTTGTTTTGTCTTCCCATAAGTTTCGGAGTATTTCTGAGGCTCAACTATGTTTTCCATGCCAAGTGGTAATTTATGGTGGAAGGAGAGACAGAGCAAGACTAAATGCTCATTTCCCATTTATTTTTCTCTAGTGCTGCGAGCAACTTAAAGAAAGTTTCTCTTGAACTTGGAGGCAAATCCCCACTTATAATATTCAATGACTGTGAAATTGACAAAGCTGTTCGAATGGTAAGAGTGGGTCAGCTCCAACTAAGTGCTTATTTTTAAAACACATTTCACCTCATTGCTCATCAGAAATCTTGTTTCTCCAAGTATACAATTTGTATTTATTTACAATACCCTGTAAAAATATAAACATAGAAACTTTAATCTTTATTAATTAGAACCAAACCAAAAAGCACAGAGAAGAAGAAATACCAGTCAAGGATCCGCTTGGTGGGTTGTGTGGTGGACAGGCAGGCAAGGTGCCCAGAGGAAATAAGTCCGTGGATCATGGCAGAGGGAAGCTAGTCATGCCACTGGGAAGCTCAGCAGAAACCTTCAAGTGAGATTGAGCCTTGTCTAGTCATTTCAGAAACTGCCCCCTTTATGCTTAGATCTGGGAACACTCAGAGCACTTTATTTTTTAAAATGTCTTTATCATTTGTTTCATGTAGGTGTTTTTAGAACTTTGGGGCAAGGGAGTCTTTCCAGACATTCATGATGTATACAAACGAATGTAGAGATCTCAGCAGCAAAATCTGACATGCAAGCACTACATTTAAATGTACAATCTAGACTTTCTGCAACACACAATCTGTCCTCCGTGGTATGTTCTTATTTTTACACCCTTTTTTTGCTAAGTGACCGTGGTCCAAAGGAAGGAAAGGAGAAACAAATCCCCAGAAAGCATGCTAGATCAAAGCAGGATATCTCCAGCAGAGCTCATCACGACCTCGGCCACGGGGTCGTGTGTGTCTGGGCCCTGTTGTCTGCTGCCTTTCACAGCGTCTATTTTCGGTACGTGCAATGTTATTACAACCCCCACTTCCCAAGCAATGTTAACAATCTTTTCTCCTCTGCTGCCCAAGGGCATGGGAGCGGTATTTTTCAACAAAGGAGAGAACTGTATTGCAGCGGGGCGGCTGTTTGTGGAAGAATCCATCCACGATGAATTTGTGACAAGAGTGGTAAGGCGCCTTTATATTGGCTCCATGAGTCAGACAGAAATCGCTTAAACTTAAAGAGTGCTTCTGAATTTTAGTGGATTTTTAGGTGCGACAATAGTACTGTGCTTATAGATTTTAAGAAAACAATTCGGTCCTTATCTTCTCGAGCCACTTTGTGACATATTTATAGGTTCAATTATAGAATGTCTAGACTTTGCTTCCCTCCTGCTCCCCCAGGAGGGGAGGGGGTGAGGGGTGGAATAAATTGGCCATGAATTGGTAATTGTTGAAATTGGGTGATGGGTACATGGAGTTTTATTATATTATTTGTCTACTTTTATATGTGTTTATAATTTCTCATAGTAAAAAGTTATAGGTCTGTATAAACAAAGCCCGTAAGAGCTGTAATTACCTATACCTGGCTCTGCATTTAGCGTCTATTGGATCCATGACACTTGAGGTTTTTATAAACCCCTAAATTAACTATGTGAGATACACTGTTCAATCCTTACAAACGCTCAGTTCACAGTTCACAGGACAAATACCATATCCTTCAAGATAGATGAAAGAGAGAGAGGTCAATAGATAGAAGCCTACTACTGATTGGTCATGATTCTGTAAATATACTAGTAGACTAAAAGTCGTTTATAGAACTATTAAGATTAATTCTATGACTAAAATAAACTCTAAACTAAACTACATTATATTATTATTAGAGGCCTGGTGCACAAAACACATGCATTCGAGGTGGGGGGCGGGGGGTTCCCTCAGCCCTGTCTGCACCCTCTTGCAGTCCAAGAGTCCTCGGGGTGCTCGCCAGCTGTGAGCCCAGCTTCTAGCTGAGCAGTGCTCCCCCTGTGGGAGGTCACTGACCACCAGGGGGCAGCTCCTGTGTTCAGAGTCAAACCCTTCGTAGTCAGTGTGCATTATAGCAACCAGTTTTTCTGCCATCAGGCCGAAACTGTCTCTCCCACATACCCCAAGGGGTCCCGGATTGCGAGAGGGCGCAGGCCAGGCCGAGGAACCCCACCACCAGTGCACGATCAGGGCCAGGGAGGGATGCAGGGAGGGACAGCGGGAAGAGTCCAGGGTGTGTCAAGCCCATCTCACAAAGACTGGGTCAGCTGGACCACAGCAGCAAGCAAACCTATCAGTCGGAGTGTCTGCCCCCTGGTGGTCAGTGCACATCATAGCAAACTTTTACTATATAGGATGATGTTAATGGTAATCATGCTGAAACCGGTTTGGTTCAGTGGATAGAGCGTTGGACTGAAAGGTCCCAGGTTTGATTCCGGTCAAGGGCATGTACCTTGGTTGCAGGCACATCCCCAATAGGAGGTGTGCAAGAGGCAGCTGATCGATGATTCTCTCTCATCGATGTTTCTAACTCTATTCCTCTCTCGTCCTCTCTGAAAAAAAATCAATAAAATATTTTTTTAAAAAAAATAGTAATCATAAATTTGTTTTATATTTGAAAAACCAGCACCCAGCTTTTTTTTCTCCCCAAAACCAATTCCCTGACCCCACCCCCAAGAGACAAACATTCTTTCTTTGTGAGAGGAGAAAACAAGGAAATCAGATGGAGAGGCACGTTGTGGGCAATGGATGCCTCCTAAATATCCCGGCAATGCAATTTTGTGCCTCAGGAAAATAGTTATAGTACCACGTCACGCATTTTCACAACTATAACGTGTTGAAATTGAAAATTCTGAGACCAGAAATGTAAAGGATTTACTCTATCAATCCATCAACACACACGTTTTATACACATGCAATTTATATTCATTCATTCATTCACTCATTCATTCAACGGGTAACTTTCTGAGCACTTCCTGAGGGATTATTGCCAGGTCTAAATTCAAATTCATGAGCCTGTGGACTCCCAGTCATTCCCATTCTTTCTTCTTGCTAGAATTGGACTTAACATTAGAAAATGCATATGCAGATTAAGAAAATTGAGATGTACAAGAAGTGATTGGAAAGACATGTGATGAACATTGTTCAATAAAGATGGTTTTTCATAGGAGCAGTCTAGCTATTCTCTGGCATGGCCGTGCCAAGGGGATTTCACAAGGCCAATCTGCCACACTTGGGGAGAGAAAGAGATAACAATGTGGCCCTTTGGAAATTCCTTTGTCATGAAGAGTATAAGCACACTGCATTAAAAATATATATATATATATATATTATGTTTTTATTGATTTCAGAGAGAGAAAGGGAAGAGTTAGAAACATCCATGATGAGAATCATAGAGGGGCTGCCTCCCCTACACCCCTACTGGAGGATTGAGCCCGCATCCCGGGCATGTTCCCTGAATGAGAATCAAACTGTGACCCCCTAGTTTATGGGTCCGTGCTCAACCACTGAGTCAGGCCGGCCAGCTGGCTATAAGCACACTGTATTAATAAAATTCCAGAACATCAGATTTACTGTTTTAATGGATTAACATTCAGGATTATTTATTTATTTATTTATTTATTTATTTATTTATTTATTTTATCGTTGATGCTATTACAGATGTCCCCCCTTCCCCTCCCTGTCCTTTGCCCACTTCCACCCAGCCTCTGCCCCCCTCCCCTGATCTTCATCACTCTGTTGTCTGTGTCCCTGAGTTATGCATATAGATTCTCAGGATAATTTAAAAATAGTATTTGTGCCGAAACTGGTTTGTCTCAGTGGATAGAGCATCAGTCTGCGGACTGAAAGGTCCTAGGTTTGATTCCTGTCAGGGGCATGTACCTTGGTTGTGGACTCATCTCCAGTGGGGGGTGTGCAGGAGGCAGCTGATCGATGTTTCTCGCTCATCGATGTTTCTGTCTCTCCCTTCCTCTCTGTAAAAAATCAATAAAATATATTTATAAATAAATAAATAAATAAATAAGTAAATAAATAAATAAAGTATCATATTTGTAGCTATGTTGTTAAAACTCAGTAGTCCAGAGCTTAACAAAACTATAGTATTTGGTGATTGTGTGCCCCTGGGCAAGTCACTTAACCTCTCTAAGCCTCAGTTTCTTCAGCTGTAAGATGGAAATAATAAATACCCATTTCTAACACTGCTTTGAAGATGAAATGATGGCCAACCTTTTAACAGCTTAGTATAACACCCACCTCATGGTAGAAGCTCAGTCAAGGGCACCCATTATTATAATACTAACAGTCTATTGTGTTTTGCAAACTGGGTGACATTCAGGTGGAAGAAATTAAGAAGATGAAAATTGGTGATCCGCTCGACAGATCTACTGATCACGGGCCCCAGAATCACAAAGCCCACCTGGAAAAGCTTCTTCAGTACTGCGAAGCGGGCGTGCAAGAGGGGGCCACGCTGGTGTACGGGGGAAGGCAAGTTCCCAGGCCAGGTAAGGCCGCCTCCCAAGTTCACGCAGGCCATGGTCGGCAAACTCATTCGTCAGCAGAGCCAAATACCAACAGTACAATGATTGAAGTTTCTTTTGAGAGCCGAAAACCGACTTCTGCGCATGGGCCACCAAGTTTCCATTGCACTGTACGTGCGCGCCCGCACTTGGTATTTTGTGGAAGAGCCATACTCAAGGGGCCAAAGAGCCGCATGTGGCTCTCGAGCCGCAGTTTGCTGACCATGGACATAGATGGTAGCAGCTTTTATAGCAGCACCAGCTTGCCTCAGAAGTCAGAAGAGCCGAAACCGGTTTGGTTCAGTGGATAGAGTGTCACCCTTCTAACTGAAAGGTCCCAGGTTCGATTCCGGTCAAGGGCATGTGGTTTGGTGGCGGGCACATCCCCAGTAGGGGAGTGTGCAGGAGGCAGCTGATCAATGTTTCTCTCTCATCAATGTTTCTAACTCTCAATCCCTCTCTCTTCCTCTCTGTAAAAGTCGATAAAATATATTAAAGGAAAAAAGTCAGAAGAATTAACAGTTAGCTCCTGCCCTTAGCGGTGCAGTAAGCAAGGGTAATGGGTGTCAATGTTGCTCACCAGCTGCTGATCTTTCTTCCCGGCGCTGTGAGATGGCATTTCAGCCAGCAGAGCTTGGGAACGAGTCGTTTTTCTCGTCTAAGGCAGTACTTGTTACTGAAATACACGAATGGGTCAGTGTTGTGATACCCGAAAGGAGAAAAATAACTGCAAAAACTCGTGTTTTACTCCTGTAGGTAGATTGTGTGCCAACACCCTACTCTGAAAATTGGTAATTACCAGGGAAAATATTCAACATTTACCATGCGTTTTCTGTAAGGATTGAATTTCTGGATAACTGAGTAGATGATAAAGGAGACGTTTTTATTTTTGCAAAAGGATCCCTGCTAAATAATCTAGAAAAATATAATAGGATAAAAAAAATTTACCATCCTGGCTGGTGTATCTCAGTGGGTAGAGCACCCTCCCATAACCCCCCCTCCACACAACCCTCCCATCCCCCTACTCATCCCTGCACTGAAGGGTCACAGGTTCGATTCCCAATCAAGGGCACATACCTGGGTTTCAGGTTCAACCCCTGGCTTCAGTCGGGGTGAGTTCAGGAGGTAACTAATCGATGTGTCTCCTTTCTCTCTTTCTCTCTCTCTCTCTCTCTCTCTCTCTCTCTCTCTCTCTCTCTCTCTCTCTCTCCCTCTCTCTCCTTTTCTTTCTCCCTCCCTCCAGCCCCTCTACAAATCAATGGGAAAAATATTCTCAGTGAGGATTAACAAAAATAAATGAATAAATCACCAATTTGCACTCCCTCATTGAAAGAAATAATTGATTCAGGCAATGATCATCAGAGAGGCTAAAGTTATTAGGTAAAAGGTTGATGGGGACCTGAGCATTTGTAAGATACCAAAGTATCACCCCCAAGATTGCTTCCAGCAGAGGGAGAAAAACACGGCTTTATAATGGAGGGGTCAGGTCGTCACCACTCAGAACCGCTGGTCAGTCTTAGCAGCAGGGAGAGCAAGGCGACTGGATACCTGTGTCTCCTATCAGATGCAGTGGGCAACACCACCTGTCAAGTATTCTTGCCCAAAATATTTAATCTGAACCGGACCATGCCTGTAGGTCAAATTTTCCATTTACATGAAATATAGGGGATAGAAGAACAAATTAAATATTACCCCAAAGAAGCAATGACAAATCTAAAATGCAAGATATTCTATACAGCAAGTGACTGGGTCTATTTAATACATCAATGGCATGAAAAATAAAGGGCAGGGATAAAGGGGAAACATTTTAGATTAAAGGACACAAGAGATCTAACAACCTAATACAACATATGGAATTTATTTAAATCCTGAATTGAACAGGTCAACTGTACCAAGATCTTTCCAGACAATCGGAAATGGAAGTGTAACCGATGAATAAGAAATTAGCATGAACTTGTTAGGTATGCTAATGTATTGTGCAGTGTGTAAGAAAATGTCCTTATTTTTTAGATTTGTACTGAAATACTTGGAGGTCAAAGTTGTAATCTCTGGAGTTTCCTCTAAGATATTTCAGCAAGTAAAAAAAATGAATCAAATCTAGAAAATATAAATAATTATTTTACTATTCATGATACTATATGGTCTATTTTTACATTTAATTGAAATGTTTGCAATAAAAGCATTATACATATAAGAACTCAGGAATGCTAATGCCAACTAGGAGAATGAAAGTTTTCTTGGTTCCAATGACCCAGAGGGAAGAAAAAGATGTGTAATGTAATTAAATAAGAACTGTTCATTGATGATTAACCTAAAATTGACATTCTTTTCCTCTGTTTTTCAAATAGGCTTTTTTATGGAACCGACGGTGTTCACAGACGTGGAAGACCACATGTACCTGGCCAGAGAGGAATCCTTTGGGCCCATCATGGTCATTTCTAAATTCCAAAACGGGTATGTTCTCTGGGCACCATTGAACGAGTTTTGACTATATACGTCGTTGGTTTTTTTCTTATTATTATGATCATTCTGCCATTGAGCTATATACAGAGCATAAAAAAAGCAATGAAAATGGAATTCTCTACTATAAGAATAGTTGACTTAACTATTGAGAAGAGAGTGCTAACTAATGTTGAATGAAATATACTTTTGCTTCCTAAATTAATGCTGACATGGGATTTTAGCTGACCAAATTTTTGTTTTTGTACAGTTGACACTTGAAATGTCTCTGGAACAAGGTAAATAACTGAGAACAACAGAACCAGTTTTCACATTTACATTCCTAGGGAAGGCAACATCTGTGAAGTCTGATTTTTTCCAAACAGGACTGCTGCCTTCCTAGGGGATTATGCTCCCAAAGCCTCATACTTAGCTTCTTATAGAAATAGCCACAATCACCATGTAATCAACTGTAAATGGTACCCTGATTTGTTAGAGCACATGGAATTTTCCAGATTGTCCAGCATATCGAAGAAGGCTGTATGATAAATGATCAATACCACAGACTCATGATACACGCCACAAAATCCTTCTGAATTCTAACTTTGGATTTCCTTCAACCAGCGATAAGCTGGAAGAAACAGAATGTAACGTTCAGAAGAACTTCTTGGTCTTTAATAGACATTATAAAAGACTTTGAGGGACACTAAGCTATAGTGAGTAAACGTAGACAAATGGATTCAAGGATGCCATTCCCTTCCTTTCGTTATAAGCTCCCCCACGGATAGGCCTTGTGTTAAACATGCAAATAGAAGAGGCCATGTTTTGGGGACATAGGCCTAGATAAGCCATGGTTCCTGTCCTCAAGCAGCTTACCATCTAATGGGAGACAGACCAGGAAAGGGGCCAAGGGCAGGATTGTGGCGGGGTCTCTCTTTTCCGAGTCCAGCACAGAAAGAGAGATGATCTGGTCCTTCAAGTAGAGGAGCTGGGGATTGAGAAATAGAAGAAAAAAAGAGACAAGACACAAAATGAAAGGAAAAAGCTGGGAACCGGGTGGGACCGCTGCCCTCTTCTGCGGGAGAAATAGTGACCCATAGCTGATACAGTGTGTTTATTTTATAACTCCACATACCAGGAAGTTTCACCAAAAGTCAAGACAAAGATCATTTGCATTTTTTTAATGTATTTTATTGATTTTTTACAGAGAGGGAGAGAGATAGAGAGCTAGAAACGTCGATGAGAGAGAAACATCAACCAGCTGCCTCTTGCACACCCCCAACCAGGGATGTGCCCGCAACCAATGTACATGCCCTTGACCGGAATCGAACCCGGGACCTTTCAGTCCGCAGACAGACGCTCTGCCGCTGAGCCAAACCGGTTTCGGCTGCATTCTTTTTTTCTTTTTTTCTTTTTTTTTAATATATCTTATTGATTTTTTTACAGAGAGGAAGGGAGAGGGATAGAGTTAGAAACACAGGTGAGAGAGAAACATTGGTCAGCTGCCTCCTGCACACCTCCTACTGGGGATGTGCCCGCAACCAAGGTACATGCCCTTGATCGGAATCAAACCTGGTATCCTTCAGGCCGACGCTCTATCCACTGAGCCTAACTGGTTAGGGCTGGGTGTTTTGTTTTGTTTTGTTTTGTTTTGTTTTGTTTTGTTTTGTTTTGTTTTGTTTTACATACGCCTGGACAGTTCATTTATAAAAATGTATGGTCAGCAGGTTAGCAATCACGTGCTCCTGTTTCTGGCACAGAGGGGGGAATATTAGAACATCATTGGGAGCGTTGTGCTCTACATTTAATGAAGCTTTATGTCTTCCTAAAAACATCTCAGGGACATCGATGGAGTGTTGCTGCGAGCGAATAACACGGAGTACGGCTTGGCCTCGGGGGTGTTTACCAGGGACATAAACAAGGCGATGTACGTGAGCGAGAAGCTGGAGGCGGGGACCGTGTTCATTAACACCTACAACAAGACGGACGTGGCAGCCCCGTTCGGCGGAGTCAAACAGTCCGGCTTCGGCAAAGACCTCGGTACGCTTCGCTGTTCTCCTGCGTGATCCTTGGTTTCCAGTCAAGTCTGCTTCATGTTTCATGCAACACCCATGTACTGTGTGTGTTGTTTGTTGTTAATCTTTGCCTGAGGGTATTTTTCCATTGATGTTTGGAGAGAATGGAAGGAAGGGGGGAGAGACAGAAGGAGGGAGAACATCCATGTGAGAGAGACACTGGGGTTGGGGATTGAGCATGCAACCAACATACGTGCCCTTGACCGGAATTTAATCTGGGACCCTTCAACCAAACCAGCGAGGGCCCATGTACTGTTTTGAAGGGCATTCTGGGTTTACTGGGCACTAGGTTGTTTGTTTGTTTTATTAATCTTTACCCAAGGATATTTTTCCCATTGATTTTTTATTTATTTCTTTATTTTTAGAGAGTGGAAGGGAGGGCAAGGGGCAGAGAGAGGAAAACACTGATGTGAAAGAGGCACATCTATTCATTACCTCCCACCTGCACCCTGACCTTGGCTAGGGCTTGAGTCTGCAACTGAGATTCGTGTCTGACCAGAATCAAACCCAGGACCCTCCAGTCCACAGTCCAATGCTCTAGCCACTGACCTAAACCAGCTAGGACAACTAAGCTTTTTTTTTTTTTTTTTTTTTTTTTTAATATTAAATCGTTTTTTGAACATACAAAAAAGTACACAAATAGAGTGAGAAAAGTGTTTCCTTTAAAAAACATATATTAGCCATGAAAGGAGAAAGAACCTCTGACACTATCTTTTAACTAAGACAGGTTCATTTTTTCGGTTCTTGTTTTTACTTGACATTCAGCATGAATTTGGCTTAGTGTTCATGGGAACCAAGACAGGAAAGATGGGTGCGGGGCAATTACCAGCTATCTCCGAATTACTCGGCACGCTTTCAGAGTCAACACTGCAACTGGCAGGAGTTTCTGGGGATTCGGGAATTTGGATTTTGAGTTTGTAGAAAGCCCTAAGTATAATTTATGATGGGCAGAGACACCATCACATTTAAGTAGTAGCTTACTCTGTACACTAAACCAGGAGGCCTGTTCTAACTACTTTACCTACATGACCACAAGCAATCTCACAATAGCCCTGGGAGACAGGTACTATTTATTATCTTTATTTCATGGATGAGGAAAACGGGGGCCCAGAGGGGTTGGGTAACTTGCTCAAAGTCACACAGCCAGCCACTGGCAGAGAATTCAATGCCAAGCAATCTGGCTATGGAGCCCATGCTCTTACTCCCCACCGTCAGTCTAGCACGTTATTTCAAAAACTGAAATATTTGTGATTTACTGACATTATAGTCCACTAATATACGTTTGGTTAATTTGGGGTATTTTTATACTTTTCTCTTGATGACTTTGGGCAATGTATTTGCAGCAATGAAGGTAGCTCTCATTTTAAATGCCATTAAGATGGAAAGTTTTCTGTTTTTGTTTTTAATTCGTGTCTTTAATCCAGCTTTCATCCCTGCATCCAAATCACAATGGGAGATTTTCTTTGAGAAAATACAATTATAAAGCAAGGAAAATGTCCACTTGTCTTTTGGTAGAGTATAGTGGCCCAGCTTCAGGTCTCTGTTTTATTATAGCAGAATTTGCCTACTAGTTTCTTCCTCTCCCAATTTTAAACCCCCTGAGCCCCGTGGCTCCCTGCGGCACATTGGGTTAAAATCACCAGGAAGCTTTAAAAAATACAAAGATGCAGATGTAATTGCTCTGGGGAGTGACCTGGATCAGGCGTTTTAAGAGCTCCCCGGGGTGATTCTAATGTAAGGTCAGAACCCCTGTTTTAGCTCAACTGTCAGAAATCACAGACTCATTAGTGTTGCCTGTGGCATTCATGCCCTTAACTGCTAGAAGCTGATGATTGTCTAGCTCAGAAAGCAAGGCCTAGTTATATTTGCCTGGATGTGGCTTTCTTTTATTTATTTATTTATTTTTTAAAATATATTTTATTGATTTTTTACAGAGAGGAAGGGAGAGAGATAGAGAGCTAGAAACATCGATGAGAGAGAAACATCGACCAGCTGCCTCTTGCACACCCCTTACCGGGGATGTGCCCGCAACCAACATACATGCCCCTGACTGGAATCGAACCTGGGACCTTTCAGTCCGCAGACAGACACTCTACCACTGAGCCAAACCGGTTTCGGCCTGGATGTGGCTTTCTCTGTTCCCAAGAAAACTGCATTTTCCTCATCTTTAAAATACGATTCGTACCGAAGACTGTAGGCAAGTGTAACAAAATGCTAAGTATTGATGTATGTAAACATAGAAAAGATACAGTGAAAATCTGGTTATAAAAGACAATAAATGGCCGTGGCTAGTTTGGCTCAGTGGATAGAGCATCAGCCTGAGGACTGAAGGTTCCCGGGTTCGATTCCAGTAGGGGATGTGTACCTTGGTTTCGGGCACATCCCCAGTGAGGGGCGTGCAGGAAGCAGCTAATCGATGTTTCTAACTCTCTCTCCCTCTCCCTTCCTCTCTATAAAAAAAATCAACAATATATATTAATATATAATTATTAATATATATTGAGTATATATTAATATTTTTAAGAGATTAAAAAATGGTTCCCCTGTATAAGGCACTTACCATAAAAGGAGCCTCTAGGACTGGCAGTTGCTCCGGTGTCAGTGAGTGAGAGATGAGGGATTTTTCGGGCCTACGGCATAAAGACTTCACACACACTGTACACCCAGGCAACATTAAATGTCTAAAATAACTCAAGATTAAAGCAAGCGTGAGAAGAAAGGATGAAATCAAGAGACACAGTATGTGCTACGTGAAATGAGTCAGTCAGAGAAAGACAAATACCGTGTGACGTACTCATATGTGGAATCTAAAGAACAGTGTACGTAAACAAACAACAGAAACAGGCTCATAGATACAGAGGCCAGACTGATGGCTGCCAGAGTGGGGGAGGGCGAGGGACCAGGTGAAAAAGGTGAAGGGGTCGAGAAGTACAGCTTGGTAGTTACAAAACAGTTGTGGGCATGTAAAGTACAAAACACAGACTATCTATTATGATAAAAGTGTAATATGCAAATCAACCCAAGGGCCGAGCAGCAGAACTATTGTCGAAACAAACACACTATGACACGCATTAGTGTCAGGCCAGCCAAGGGGGGTGAGATGGGATTGGTTGGGGGAGGGGAGGAGAAGGAAGGAAGGGGGCTCCGCCATTGCCCCATGTTCACCTTGTAGAGGGAGGCCCAGGCCACCTGGCCTGCAGTACCCCAGCAGGTGGGCGGGGCCTCCTTCTGCAGGGTGATCCATGTGGGGGCTCCAGGACTGCAAGTGGGTGCAGGCTGGGCTGAGGGACACACACACACACACACACACACACACACACACACACACATACCCCACCCTCCCCCGAGTGCATGAATTTCGTGCACCAGGCCTCTGGAAGTCACTAATATTGTGATAACTATTTAATATGTACAGTGCTAGGTGGTACTGGAAATATCGGGAGGGAGAACACTTTGTAAAGTGTATGATTGTCTAACCACTATGCTGTACAACTGAAACTAACACAAAATATGAAACATCAACTGTAATTGAAAAAAAATATTTTTAATTAATAAAAACACTTTTTTTTTTTTTTTTTTTTAAGATAGAGACACAGTAAACGCAATGGTGGGGCCTACACCATTTTTAATTGAATGAGAATCTGTAGTTTCACAGAATCATCAGGCGATTCACAGGAATTTTAACGTTTGAGCAACACTGGTCTGGGCCACATTCTATTTGCTTAGTGACTAGACACCCACACCTGTGTCCGAAAGTCTAGTGACCTCACCGCCACCCGTGAACACTGCCCACCAACAGTTTTTCTCTCCCCTAGGTGAGGAGGCGCTAAACGAATACCTCAAAACCAAGACGGTGACGCTGGAATATTAGAGCAACACCACGACAGGAAACCCTCGGCAGACAGCACTGCTCCTTCGTTCTCAACACACTGAAGAGGGCTGCCATGAGCCAAAAATATCACACATGGGCCATGAAGACCATCAGGCCACATGTCTGAGCACTACACCTGTGCCTGAGCTATACGCCTTCTACTAGTATATCTTGTTTTGAAATAAGATATATTTTTGTGACTTTGATGTTCTAGTTTTCATTCCCCTGTGATGGGTGATCAGCCCACAAACAGTTCTTGAGTACCTACTGGGTACAAGGTGCTATATTATGTCCTAAAGTATATATAAAATGTAATGGTATGATCTCTGACCCTTAATAGTTTACATTCTAGTTAATAGCTTTTTTATTTTTTCCGGAGTGGGGAGCGCTTATCTGGGATTTGAACCCATCAATAGCTTTTAAATTTTATGATATGATACATAGGTGTGGGCAAAAGTAGGTTTACAGTTGTCATGCAAATAAATAATACAATAAATAATAAATAATACAAGAATAACTGTTTTTGCGTAGTTACATCCGTAAACCTACTTTTACCCACCACAATCGTGTAAAGCTTTTGGAGACTGATCTTGGTTCCCATCATCCCATCTTACTAGCTTATGAACTTATGCAACTTCTCTGAGCCTCGGCTTCCTGATCTGTGAAATGGGTAGAGTAATGCCTCCCTCAGGAGCTTTTTGATGGGGACTCAATGCAATACTATAAGTAAAGCACCTCACCCTGTGCTTTGTCATGGTAAATACTCAATAAAAGTTAACTGTTTCCACCATCACTGTTTAATCAATATATTGAGATATATTAAGTAGATGGATTAATTCATTTGCCGTCAACCCTTTTCAGTCACCACTGGCTCCTATACTCTTTCTCTCATCCATGTCCTGACACAGTGCCCGAGACAGCAGCACTGGAAGATGCCACAGATGAAAAATAACTATGGCTCAGGGCAGTGGTCAGCAAACTCCTTAGTCAACAGAGCCCGATATCAACCATATGATTGAAATTTCTTTTGAGAGCCAAATTTTTAAAACGTAAACTTCTAGCGCCATTTCTTCAAAATAGACTCACCCAAGTCATGGTATTTTGTGGAAGAGCCACACGCAAGGGACCAAAGAGCCACATGTGGGTCGAGAGCCACAGTTTATCAACCACAGGTCCAGGGGAAAGGGGTGCCTTCCTTTCTAAAGCTCACCCATCTTTCTGAGGACATCTTGTTTTCCATTTTCTATTTACTGGTCTTGCTGCTCGCTGGCTGTGTGATCTTGGGCAAGTGAGTGACCTATCTCAGAGGCAAGATTTGGAATCTATAAAATAGGTAAAGTCCCTGTCTCATTAGGCATTGGAGGGATCCAATGGGATCATCCACATAATACACTTAACAAGGTGTCTGTGCTCAAGAAGTGGGAATGAGTACAACTCACACCTTACTCATAGATTTCATTGTCTGTGGTCAGACAAAAATAAATAGGTAAACGATCACCATCCTTGTATGACTAGAAGATGGGCAGAGCAATTCATTCTTATTATTCCTCCTTTTAAAGTAAAATGTCTGCAGTTGTGTTGGCTTTGCAGAAGCCCTAAGGGAATAGTTGTGACTATAAGACTCTGGCAACCTACCATCAGTGGATGGTAGGAAATCCATAATCAGTAAGCAACAATAACAAAATCAAAGACGGAAAGCACTCCAAAGGAAGAGTATCAGGTGATCCTGGCATGGTCCACAGAGCGAATATTGTCTAAAAAGCACTTGTTATTTATGATACGGTAGCTCATCTACCATCCGAGCTTGGCACAGCTGAAGTTCTCAGTTGGAATGAATGTTCTCAGGGTTCATATCTGAATAAATGACAAAGCCCCTATTATAAAGGAACCACTTCTAAATGCAGTGTTTGAACGGCTTTCATATGATTTAAAATATCATGTTCCCAAATATTTGTATGATAGAGGAGATAGCAAACAAAAACATGCCCGTTGTTCTAGGCTAATTTTACCTTCTATTGTGACTCTCAGTAGCAGTGTTTTTAATCTTCTTTCGGCCATAAACTTCCTTGAGAATTTTTATTTTTAAAATATATTTTATTGATTTTTTACACAGAGGAAGGAAGAGAGATAGAGAGCTAGAAACATCGATGAGAGAGAAACATCAACCAGCTGCCTCCTGCACACCCCCAACCGGGGATGTGCCCGCAAGGGAATGTACATTCCTTTGACCAGAATCAAACCTGGGACCTTTCAGTCTGCAGACCGAGGCTCTACCACTGAGCCAAACCGGTTTTGGCAACTTTCTTGAGAATTTGATAAAAATGGAACTCCTTTGTTTCACTTCTACTCCCCAAGTTCACTGCACACACATAATTCTGCAAATGTCCTCCCAGGTTCCAGGCCTCCCGAAGCCCATGCTCGGGCCTCAGATTAAATGCTTTTTTTTTTTTTCACAGCGAGTTCTAAAGTTCTTACTGGCTGGAGTTTTTACATTGGACTGTTGATCAGAATCAAAGGCTCCATGGAATTCATAAAATGACCAGTGAATGTGAATTGGAACCTAATGATCCACAGACTACTGGGTGATTTAATTAACATAAATTATCACCATGCCTTCAGATCACTGATTATTTTGCTAAAAGATGAAGCTGAGATCTGTTTGTCACTGAACTGGGGAGGTGTAGACACTTTAAGCAGTTGTACATTTCTTCTAATTCCATTCCCCCAGGCCCTTGCCAAAGCTGCCCTCTTAACCAGCCTCCCTGGTCTTCCTACCCACAAGTTGGCCAAAGTGTCTCTCTTCTATGCTCCCACTTGTCTGGAACATTCTAGTAGTATTTACCACTTGTTGCTAAAATTATTTGCCTTCCTAACCAGATAGGAACACCCCCTCCTCACTCCAGGATTAGCATTCTGTCAATAATAATAACAAAAGCTCGGCAGGCATCGCTCAGTGGTTGAGCGTTGACCTATGAACCAGGAAGTCAAGGTTTGATTCCCTATCAGGGCACATGCCCAGGTTGTAGACTTAATTCCCAATGAGAGGCATGCAGGAGGCAGCCAAATAATGATTCCTTCTCATTATTGATGTTTCCTTTCTGAAATCAATAAAAAATATATATATATTAAAAAAACTAACCTAAAAAACATTATCTGCAAGAGCTTTTGTGGAAATAGGTGGAAACCGGGTGAGGAACCAAATTTGGTTCCCCCATACCACCCTCCAAGAAAATAATAGCTATTGGAATATCATCAGCAATGAGACATTATGGATAGGGTGGCTTATTATTACTACTTTGCAAATAATACCCAAGTGGATTTTTAAATAATTAAATAATACCAAATTATGTAAAACAGGAAGGTAAGACTACCATAAACTCTTCACACAGAAATAACCAGATATCATTTGAGGTTTCCAGACTTTTTCTAGGCATATACTGTTTTTACAGAATCAATATAAGTGTACATGACTTTGTTGCCTGCTTTTTCAATTAATCATCTATAAGCATCTTTCCATGCCAATAAATGTTCCTTCCTCTGCATGTTTGGTGGCTTTATCTTACTAATTTGAAAGAGCCTTGTTTATACTAATGTTCTCTATTGTTGGAATATTTACTAGTAGGCCTGCTTTTTGCTATTTTAAACATCACAATAAAACATATATAAATTTGTGAACAAAGTCATACTTATTTAATTGGATAAATTCCTAGGAGTGGAATTTCCGTGTTAAAGGATGTAGGAATCTTTAATCTTATCAAGTTTCCCCAAAGTTTTTGCTCCCATTATGTATTAATAGAGGCCCATTGCCCGAAGATTTGTGTAAGAATAGGCCTTCCTTCCCCTGGCTTCACTCCTGGCCACCGGAGAGCCTGTAAGTCATCGCTCCGGGCTGGAGTGCTGCTCCTATAGCTCCCTCCACACCCTGCCCGCCCTGTCATAGCAGGCATCCTGCCTCTCCCAGCTGCTCCAAGCCTGCATATGCAAATTAACCCAACATCTTTGTTGGGTTAATTTGCATACCCACTCCTGATTAACTGGTGGGTGTCACAGAGTTATGGTCAATTTGCATATTTCTTTTATTATTGTAGATTTCTATACCCTACATTTACTATTGTCATCATATTATATTAATTCATTAATTCCTTATTAAGACTCCTCGAGGGACACTATTATTCCCATTGACAGATGGATAAACTGAGATGTGGCTGGGCTGGGATTTGAGCCAGGCGGCTTCAGAGCCTGTGCTCCCAGCACAGTGACTAGCAGGCCAATGATGATGGCCAGGTGTGTGACTGAACCACCCATTGTGAAGCCTTAGGAAATCTGCTTAGTATCTCCATGCCAGTTTTCTCATCTGTGGAACAGGTATTAGCAGAGTATCTCATAAGGTGATTTTAACAATAAGAAAATTTGTCTTGAAACAAGAAATTCAGCAACAGTTCCATCTAGTTATTCGATGCAGGGACTCGATGTCCTTGCTTCTTGTCTCTGGTGTCCTTGGTGTGCTGACTGTACCTCAAGAGTTGACTCCATTTATTGCTACTAGATGGGAATCCCAGGAATCAGATCAGTAATAAGTATCCAGTCCTTTCCCTAGAAAGGACCCAGCTCCTCATGTGCCTCCTTTTTAGGAATGGTAAATACTTGCCCTTCTCAAAGTCTACTAACAAGACTTGGCTCATGCCTTATTGGGAAGGTTCACGTCCCCCACCCACACCCAAACCAATCACCGCCAAGACTTTTCCATGAATGCATGGTGGGGAGTCAACCGTAAAGATTCCAACGTTAAACTTTTGGGAAAAGTCTACCAATCATATTTCCCCCCCAAGCTTATGAACCACTGATATTTAAGATGAATTACTTTATTAACATAAAGAGAGAAAAACAGTTTAATGAACATTTATTTTACATTCCAACCGAATGAAAGGCACTATATATGCTAGGCACCGAGGGAAACACAGATGAAAATAAGACTCATCATTTGTCCTTGTCTTTCCTAC